TAGCATTTTATTAAGTTGATTGGACAGGAGCCAATTATCATATCACATATCTCTGAGAAATAATAAGAATATGAATTTATACAATGAAATCAGTGTTTTATAAATAGGATCCCTACGATATCATACAAGACTGATATAGAGTGCTGGATGCACGTGCGCATATGTTTCCATTGGATGATTTTGATTTTTGGAACACAAATTGAAGAATGTTATCATTTAAGCATATCAAATAATATGTCAAATAGACATTCATCATATATGGAACTTAATCGGTAATTTTTCCTCACACTATACTTTTTCTATATTGTGGATTTCATTCTTTTTTGAAAAAGATCATAAACCAAAGTTCTCATTCTAATCAATCTTATAAGACTAGTCACTCAGCAGAATAGTCCCTTAGATTATACTTTCATTTTGAACAATTGTGGTTTATCTGCGCGTTGAGGTTTGATTTGCCTCATTAGCTTCCATGCTTAAATATATTATGCTAATCTCCCAATCGTGCTCAAAAGACAGCCAATTGTTGTATGCTTAAATATTATAGCCGCTTTTTCGACTCTTCCAAATTAAAAATGACTTCACACAAAGCTTTTAGCAATAGCTTAGAGCGAAATCGTTTCGTTTTGAGAACAAAAAAGTAGAAAACAAATGAATCATTCATTCTACCGTTTTCTTTCGATAGATTTAAACATCGAAAAAAATGATAACACAGAAATTGGTTCTGCTATTTTGATCGTTTCACATTGAACGAATATATCAAATACAACATAATCAAACTTCATAATGTTTATGAGGTAACCTACAGATTTAATATTGTTGGCTTGACTAATTATATATTGAGACATGAAATAAGAAAGTTATACATTCAATAATCACAAAGATTATTGTTGCATATCTTCTAGCTCTACTTTATCCAGAAGAAATTTTAAAAATGAAACAGAGAGAATGTACGGATATTTCCTAGAATAGGAATTTTTATAAAAATCTATTTATAATAATCTAAAATCTATTAAATTAGTTGATCTAGTGAATCAATGAGATTTGAATAATGTTGAATATTCAAATATATCTAAAGTTAAACTGAATATGAATGCATTGAATGCTACAGAATAGATTAGAGTCAGAAACTAAAGATGAAATCTCAACATTTCTAATTTATAAAATAACACTTCACAATTAAAAATTGGATACCACTATCCAAATACTAGTCATGGCAAGGAAGAATATTTTTGTGTATAACCATTTCTTATGAGTAGAATAAATAAAAATTTCTTTCTTTCAATGTTGATTACAATCTCCTTAGATACAATTCCATGGCCTTTTTTTCTTCCGAAACTACAGAATACTATCAAGTTTATTGTCATACCAATGGTAACAGCTACTACCAATAGATAGCCATTTATTTGTATGCCTTTTTTTTCAATAACGGCATTTCTTAATAGAGTATAATAACCTATTATATATTGTGGCCAAATAGTAGGAAAGAAAATTTCTTCCAGCATGATTAATGTATCACATTTAGTTCATATCATTGTCTATTGTGTTCAACGTACTACTGTCAAAAGGTTAAATCATCGTTTTTCAGAATGAAAAATATGAAAAATAGAAGAGGGAAAAAGTGTGTTCAATAGAAATAACATCAGTCATCAAGCGTTCGCTGGCGTATGAAAACAAAATAGTTATTTAGAAAAATTTTCTATCAATAATAAATTGTATTCAAAAACTAAAATTATTATAACTAATTGAATAGAATATAGTTTTCATTAAATAAGGTAGGATACGGTTTTGAAAATTGCTGGAACGTCATTGTTTTTTTCAATTTTTTCTCTAATAATTATACAATCTTGTTTCAGTAAACATTTTTCTATACTTTTCAACAACATGTTTACAGCTAAATTTATATAATTCATTACATATACTCAAGTAACATCGATGCATTTTTAAATCTATGGTATTTAGAGCATTTATCGAAGTTGGCAATTTTTTCTTTTTTTGAAAAGTATTTGTTTCTCAGTTGCTTTGTTGCAGATAAGATTTTTTTAATTAAAATACATGTTACTCACAGTTATTTGCATTCTATTCAAAGTCCATGATACTATGCTTGGTACAAAGTCAAGAAAAAATGTTCTTTATTAAAAAAAAAAGAAACTACGTCATTTGCTACAGAACTGTGGTGATAAATTACGTGATTTCGATTTATTTCTCTATGAAGTTTAACAAATGTGCTTGAAATTGTTTTATAAACCCATGTTAAGTTTTATTAACATCTACAATTCAGTAGATATTGCTATAAAAACATGTATGCATATCTAAATCTGACATTAAATGCATGAATTTCTTATATAAGAAAAAAATACATTCGCATAAGACAATTAGAAATATAAACCATCTATTTTTATATGCAAGTGTAACTTGAAACTATTTAATAGCTATGAAAAACTTGAGAGTGAAATCAATCGATAAGAATTCGATATTTACAATCAAGTGATTTTTCAAGAATTTATCGTTCAGTTAAACATATATTTCACTTGCACATACATCTTGATCACAGAAGAAGAAAAAAACTGAACAAAACCTAAAAGATGTGTTCGTTATAATAATTTAAATTTACTAGCTCTTTTTTTGATATAAAAAGAAATTGGCGACATGTTCAGATAATATGAATAAATCATTGAACATCATTTGACTTTCGAAATCTATTTGAGTTCGGACGATCACTTAATAAACAGCTAACAAGAAGTAATATGAGAAGTGCCCTTCAAATCTATTTCTTTGTTACACAAATACTTCATAATTTTAGTCATGTGTGATAAAAGCTTCCACTTTGCTACTCGCGAGAGATAAGTAGTTCTTTATTTTATGACAGAGAAAAGAAGAAGAAGAATAATGTTACCTTATCTCATATTACATATAGATTCTTCCCTTATATTAATAAGAGTTTATAAAGAGCAATTTGTGAATGATTTCATTCATACCGAATATAATTATTCGTAGAAAAAACACTTCGTTTAGTGATATAGTCAAAGCCTTTGAAAAAAAAATGTTCCTATTTGCATGCCATTGTTATCACTGCCAATTCAGCACGTACTTGCATGAGAATTTCGATCGTTGTATAATTAATTTAAGATACTATCTGCCATACTGATATAATGTATCTTTTTTTGTTCTCTCTCAATTACTGCTCGAAGTAGCAAAAATTGACTTGGAATATTCTTATGAGAGCAAAGTAATAATAATCCATCAAATATCATGCGATTTTATCGTTTCATCGTTTCCGTTTTCGATTCTGCTGAATTTTTTCATGTACATAAATAAAATGTTATAAAAAGATAATCATCGAAACGTTCTTTTTCCTATTGTTAATTCATGCCTTTCTTGAACTGTTCATTCATATATATATTTGTCATCTTGGTGATAGATTCGTTTGAAATTCATTTATTTCAGCATATGATCAAAGCCATCGTCTCACCTTCTTTTCATTCATCCTTTCCGTTCAATAGAACCTTTTTTTTTCTTTAGGAATATAATCTAAAAAAATTCAATAAGAATGACTTTTATTGCTTCTAAATATATTATGACATCTAAATGGTTTAATTTCCTTTCTATATTCCTTGCTTTATTGCACTTCTTTTCAAACATACCTCTTATTCTCTGTTGAATACTTTTTAATACTATACTTACTGTTCCATTGCGAAACAAAACTCAAACATTTCTATACACACACACATATATATACATACTAATGATGCAGACAAAAACTCGTGTATGAATTTGAATAACCATTTTTGTTCTTCTCGTCTCTGTTTGATTATACTGTATTTCTATTTAAAGCATATCACGCATATACCTATAAGTATTATTTTTTACTATAAATTGAAGGTAAAAATCACGAAATTTATATTTTTAACCAATCTACTAATAGTCAATAGTCCTATGTTGCTGTAAGAGTTCATACTATAAGAGTCTCTTCGATTGACTGGAAACTATTTATTTCGTATGAACATTGAGAACAACTCAGATAAGCCTTTTTCTGTTTCCGTATGCATCAGATACTTTTAATGTCACAAAAAATTAGGATTTTTATTCTCTGTATTCATGAAAAGTAAAATTGATAAACCTAAAGAAAGAAATAACTATTACAAGAACAATCGTTACTTGATGAAAGAAACACGAATACTCTCGATACTTACCAATGCAAACCGATCGATAGACAGAAGATGTCTTAAATTTCACATCTATTTTTATATTTAATGGCAACAAAATTTTAAATTACAAAGATAACGTCAAAACCTGCTTTTCATACGTTCTCTTATACTGTTTCAAAATAAACATTCCGACCTATAGTCGACAAGGTTCGATAATTTTTTTTTCACTGGCATTTGTTTGATTAAAAATGATGAAAATGTTTTTTTTTCTTTCTTTCTCCCTTAAAGATTTTTTTATTGTATTGAAAGGATTCCTTTTTTTCGCTGTACATCCTAAGTTTAAAATATAAGTAAACTATTCAGTTCAAAAAAAAAAAAAATTAAGATGAGTAGACTTGCTGTATGTATTTTTTTTTACCGGATCGAAAAAACTAGAGAGTGAGAGCGAGAGAGAGTGAACAAACAGAAGATGATAATTATTAGTCAAGCGAGATAGGACACGTATACATAACCTTGCTGAATGAAGGAAGAAGGAGAAAAAATTTATCTTGAATTGAATAAATGATGAAGAAAAAGGCCTATACCATCCTCAACAATAGGACAAAAAGTGGTATAGAGAGAGAGAGAGATGAAAAGCGAGAAAGGCAAAGGGAACGGATTTCATTTCATCTACAGCTCACGTTTGCAGCATGGGAGAAAATGAGATAAGCAAGATAAAAAGGCACCATACAAAATAGCCTTTCAATTTCGGTTTGCATTAGAGAAGAAAAAATGACTATATAGAAGATGTCCTATTCTTCTCTTTGAATATTATATAAAGTCAAGGTTTGTTCTTTTTTATATATTTATTTTAGAATGAAACTCGTCCTAGTATCAATTGTTTTGTGTGTGGCTGTTTGCGTGGTCAGTACGACGAAGCTACTTGCTTCATCGACACACCAATTAAGTCGTCGGGAAACTAGCCTATTGAAACGATTAGTCAAACGTCAGGCTCGAACTGGTGAGAATCGATGAGAAGTATTGTAAAAGAAAAAACAACAACTCTTGTAACAATTTAATTTAGATCCAAGTTGTAATCCTCGTACATGTGCTATACCTAATTGTGGTAAAGATTTCGTAGCAGGAACTTTACCGGGTGAATGTTGTGAAAGATGTATACCATGGGAATATGCTAGAAGCATGGGAATTCAATATCGACAAGAACCACAAACACTTCAAGATAATCGAGGTCCACAGCCAACTTATGATCCACGCAACCAATATGCATACAATCAACCTCAACAACAAGCAAGTCGTGCTGATGTATACATCTATGGACCTGATGAAGGAGCTCGAGTATCAAGTGGACAAAGTATTTACTTTGATTGTGAAGTCATTGCACCTAATAATCAATATGCTCAACCACGTTGGTCACGAGGTGGCAACCAGGTAAATACGTGTAGTACATTTTAATTTATTCTTATTTTAAGAAGTAATCTTTTATTCTAGCCATTACCATTCAAAGTACAAAGCACAGCTCTTCCAGGTAATCGTAAAATCGCACGTCTTACAGTTCCAGATGCGACCCGAAGTGAAGCCGGTCGATATGAATGTAGCGCTGGTACAGGCAATGCTAATGAACAAGCTTCGATCGATTTACAAGTAAGATTTCTTCTCATGATTTTTAGTTGGATCTTCTTCATAAAATCAAATTCTTTCAGGTAACAGATGGCGGCTATTATCCTCCACCACCACCACCACAACCACAACCTCAACCACAACCTCAACCTCAACCTCAACCTCAACCGCAACCACAATATCCTCCATATGATCCATACAATCAATATCCATACAACCAACCAGGTTACTATCCAGTACCAAACCCTCAAACTCCACCCCCACCACCACCACCACAACCACAACCAGGTCCCGCCCATGAAGATGATGACTCAAATGATAATGAATATCAGGTAGAACCAACAACACCAAGACCAGCTCCTCCACCAGCACCTGCGCAACACGAAGAAGGTGGTGAAGAAGTTGAAGATGAAAGCGAATATCCAGAAGATTATTCTGAAAATGAAAAATAATCAAAACAATAGCCGTATATCAATAGAAACTATTAAGCAGCGAACTGAACTCTATTATCTAAATCGTGTTAAAATCAATACTAGTCTAGATCTATTCATTTAAATCATTTTTTTTCTTATTTCTTACATACTGCGTTTTTAAAATAATAATCAGTCCTTTTTTTTTCAATTTTTTTTCTATAAACATAAGGAAAATCGAATACATTAAAACAATCTTTCATGTTATCATGAGAAAACAATTAATTAAACCTCTTATATTTATCGTTTTCAACATAATTCACACTCGAATAATATGATGAAATGCAAAACTTACTTTCAATCTTTTTAGTTTTATAAAAGAAAAAAAATAAGAGTCTAGTTAAATGTAGTCTTCATCACTGCCATCAATATTAAATCTTCTTCTGTAATCTAGAAATTTAATTTACATTAAAAATTTCTGAAAGATATCTGAACAGATATTTGTTTCTTACCGTAGGTATCATAGAAGATACTAAATAATTTGGAAATCAACTATCAAAATACAAAAACAAGTCAATTTTATCTAGATTTTATTTTATATAACGATTTTATTGATAATTCGCGTAATGATAAGGATCGATTTTATCGGTAATTCAATCTATTTGATTTTTATGAAATAATCACGATTTCTAATAAAATTCGAAATTAGATAAAATTGTATCAATTGCATTTGCTAATCTAAATGATTTATAATCATGCGTAAAAAAACAAATTTTGTTCTCTTTGAACTCTTTTAAAACATTTATGTAGCGATGAGATAACTCAGTTCGAATTATTTCATGTTTACATAAAAACTTAAATTCATACTACCTACGTTATCAGTACCTTCTTGATTTCTATTGTAAAAATTTTGGCTTTGGAAAAGATAATTATTTCTCATTTCTTATTCTAGTTTTAATCGCAACAGTATAGCATAGTAAAAAATATATTGATAATGATTATTTTCGAAGAGGTATACGAAAAAATAAGTTTACCTTAGAGACATCATATGACAGTTTACTATGACTACTATAGGTCATGTAAAATAGCTATATGCTAATGTCGATTAGAGTTTCGAGATTGATCAGTCTAATTTATCTACGTAACATTAACTCGTATTATGAAAAACAAATATTTTAATTAATAGAAATATACAAACAAAAAACTTGATTGTTTCTTTTTTGGCAGATGATCACAGTGCTTCTGTTCACAATACTAATTTCTTAAATACGAATGCTTGACTTTTATCCATATCACATACATTCTTACAAGACATTCGATGTTCTAGGATCATACTTTATTTGTTTACATAATAAATCAAGTAGTTGATAGGAAATATTTCTTTACAAAATTGAAAATCAATTACAATGATACATATTTGTTAATGAAAAATCAAAATAGTGGACATCATTTTGACAAGGGCTAAGCTGTGGTACAAATATCATGACCAAATTAGAATCAATTTGTTTTTTTGCAAGTTGAATAAGAAAGATACGACTAAGCTTTTTTTTTCTATTAACATATTCACCATATTTGAATTAATGCTTTCGTATTAGGCGAACACAATTGGTCAATACTGGCTCAAAATTATATGCAACCGAAATAGTCTAAATTATCAGATAACGCCAACACTTCAAATAATATTAAAAGATTACATTTATCAAAAGTCAGTGAAAGTATGAATATGAATCATTATGATGATAAAATATCACACTATTTATGTAGTTATGCATCTCACTAGCTTCCCAAAAAGTTTCATATGAAACTCGTAGTCCTGATTAACTCGAGTGACTTTACTTTCAATATTACATAAGTTTACCTGTCGAATACCTCGCAAACAATATGAACTAACAATATATACGTATATATTGTTTATCTCCTACTCTATCCTTGAATTTTGACTTCAATATATACTGACGAATAAGTGAGAATTCGGTCTTACGATAAGCGTGTGTCGTGTAGTCTATGAAAAGGATTTTGCATCTGATATAAATACTCGCAGCGAAGCAAGAGGAAGAATCTTTTAGTCTATATTAGAAATGAATTTAGACTAATATTATGTCTATTTACTCGTTATCCCATATGATTTACTTTTTCTTACATACCTGATGATAAAAGAAGCTATCATTCGTTTATGTACCATTTTTTTAAATAAATTAGTTATCCAGTGATAATCCTGATGTTTGCTTTCTTTTAAATAAAGTTAAAACCTATTTCAATACTATATGAATAAAAAATATTTTCATCAACTGAGTAAGTATGATTTCTTTATGGACACACAATTGTGTTAAATTTTAATGGTATTTTTGGCGTTGTTGTATATCTGTAGAAAATTTAATAAACTGGATTTATAGCTATGAATTTTTTAGTGAACTAAACTATTTCAACATAACGAACTAGTTATACCGGATGTAAGAAACATACAATCGTTTTAAAATCGTTTCGGTGTATGATATCAAGTTTCTAAGGAGGAAAAACTCACAAATGTTTCTCTAGGATTCCAACAAAAACTATATAGGTAATTATATCGAGTCGGGTGATTCAATCTGAAATATAGATAAATGACTAGCCTAGTCTGATAGAATAAAACAATTTAAAGTTAAACTATTTTTTGATTGACATCGTCTAAGATATCATAGCTGAGTATTTTTTCCGGCTAAAGTCACGTTCACAAATAAAATCTGAAACGTTAGTAAACCGATTCCATATTTTTTTGCTCTCGATTCGAATGAGATTTATCTTTGGTTTGAATTACGTTTTCATAAATTAATTACTATTGTATTCCTATGAAGATATTTGTGTAAGAAATCTTTCACAACCAATTGTGTTCTCGACTCGCCAATTTAAATATTTCACAGGTGTACCTGTACGATACTGTTTTGTATGCGATTCATTCATAGGTTCATTATAAAACAAAAGGTAAACATTTAATAGAAATAGACGATGGTAGATCTTGTTTATTACGAAAATGTCTCGTTTTCATAAAAAAATACATATTAAACACATGCAATTTTAATTACAACAAACATATTTGCTAGTATTTGTAAACATGTCATGGGTTACTAGAGTTTCTTTTCGTTTTACAAATCACGCGTCGCTTCTTGCCTTTGCCAATCACAGTAAAACAGTTTTTGAGTAAGAACGAACAGGATGTTAAGTACGAACATATGTAGTAGTTGTTGCATATGGTGTTTGTGTAGTCCGCTCTTTTAATACAGTAGTTTATTGAATTTTTCGGGGTAATCGCGATCGATGTGGTTGTTCAATGATAATTTTTGGTGCTGGTGGCGTCGGATTTCGAGACGTATGAACAACTACCGTTTTGTTTGTTCGCTTGTGTTTTTTTCGATCAGATGGCATATATGTTAATGTTCCTTTATCGGCCAACAGATTAGGATTCACTGTTGTAGTCGTTTGAATCTGCTCTTGTTGTTGTATTGTTGGATTAGTAGCAACTGTTACCGGTGGTACAATATTATTATACATGTCGTATTGTGAATTACTAAACGATAATAAAACAATATCTAGAAACTATTTCCATGTAGATACCTTTGTATATAAGCTGGATTATTATAATGAGATGAATAATCATAGTTAAATCCAGTTCCTGATGGATCATAGGCATAAGTTAAACCAGTGTTCGGGTCTACATATGTTGTATATGGCATTGGATAATACGCTGGTTGCATTGGAACAGATGAAATTGTTGGTAATCTATCATTAGCTAATGATTTTGGTTGTGTTGCTGTTGTTGTAGTCGTTGTTGTTGTTTCTACGGTTGGTTTAATATTTGATGGAAAACTTTCGACCATATGAACATGTTTTCCTGGCTTCTGTAACATAGTCAAATAATAAATATTATCGTATTAAATCAATCTGACAGGTACACTTTGTTACTAACCCTTGAACGATCGGTTTTTGTTGAAATAATAAAATCAGATTCTTCTAATAAATCACATATTTTACAATTCTTCGAGTGAGCATGTTTATGTCTATATGGTTCCTAGTTTATCGAAAGAAAATATGAAATATTGTAAGTAGGACGTTTCTTATCTGCATACCTCTGTATCGAAAACAATTTGACTACCCCTATATATATTTACTTCACTATTACTTCTTCGTTTTCCTTCATTCATCGCTGATCGAAGTCGACGGCATACTTTACAATCGTTGATACTACAGTCACTATCACTTTCATCAGCATACTAAATTCGGCCAAAATTTCAATATTGATAAAGAAAAAGAAATAGTTTTTCAAAATTTTCCACTTACTCGACCCGCGTGCGCATGTTCTATTCCACTTAGAAAACGATTAACTAGTGTCTTAGAATGTTTTGGTAAACGAACATTTTTTGTATTCGAGGGATGAGGTCGCATTAATCGTCCTCGTCTAAAAGGTGACTCGTAAAAACTATAAAAATAATTGGAATATTCGTCAACTAAAGTCGGTGTGTAAACACGTTCGTAAACTAGAGGTTTTCTTTCGATTATTGTTGGTTGCATTGGTCTCGATGACGGCATAGGTACATATTGAATCCCTGACATTAGCGATGGTTCCATTATTTGTTTGATAACAATTTCTTTTCGTTTTGGTTTTGGTGTTGGTGGTTGCGTATTAATAAGAAATTGTTGTATATATTTGTGATGCTTTTTTTTCTGTTTTTCAACTGACTGTGTATTGAGAATTACTGGTAATGATTGAATTATGTTCTTTCTCTTGGATGTTTTTGAAGATTTTGAGTTAAAAACGAATGGCGTCTCATCATTGGAACTACTTTCATCCTCTGAAGAGTCAGATGATGCATTAGCTGCCGTAAATGCATATGAACGTGCATGAGATCGACGTTCTTTTACTGGTTTTAACTGGCGAATTTCGATTAATTCAGTCATGTATTACTCTGTTACTATAAAACAACTAGGTTGATCATTGATGAAATAGCAAGAGAGAATGACGTCCTGTAGAGATGTTGTCAACGATCCATGTATACGAAAATGATTAAAATAGTTGTTAACATATTTTTTTCTACTTTTTCTTTCTTCAATCGATACGATCAATAACAATAGTCTGTTATTATTCAAAATACAACGAATAATTGTGTTTTTATTTAATTTAATTGTATAAAACTTAATTAAAAACAAAGTATTTGGTTATAATTTCGATTTGTTTTACTCAATTTATCAATATCATTATTTTAATTAAACTTTGACAATTTATTGGCAATGAGATTCAAACTGAATTACAAACAAAACCAATAGTTTTGTTTGCCATATATAATGAACTTTCAATAAACTTTGAGGAGCTATCAAGTTAAATTCTTTTCTATGCTTTGTTATTTTTGTATTTAATTTTTTAAGTGATACTTCAAGATGTTGGTCGTTGAATTTGCCAAATTCGTTGTCAACGAAATAAATCTTGAAGGTAGAAGAAGAAAAAAAATTCTTCCAAAACTAACATTTGTCGATGATCAACATAAAAAAGGACTCGTTGATTACTGTTTCATATCACCTCTTAATTCAAGTTCAAATTATTATCGAACCCGTCGATAAAATATCACCTTACAACATATATACAGCAGAAGTAATAAAAAAATTCTTGAAACAAATTTTGATTCATTAGTTTTATATCCTTACGAAGCTATAGATCAATAATGATTTTAGAATTAATAATGCACTGAATAATTTTCTGATATATTCTTAGGAATAGTCGTCGATATTGTTTTCAGCCCTTCTAGGTAGTTCCTATGACTAATAATTTATATATAGATGCTTTTTTATTTGTCGAAATGTTATCTATTTCTCGGTATTAATGATCTCAATCGTATCATATATGCATTTTAAATAAAACGGGATCGTTGTGTGTGTCTCCCTCGTTTTCTTCTGTTCCTCTTGTTAGAATAACCTTCAGCATCAAAATGTGTGGTATCAAATAAATGTCATGATTGACATATGCTGTTTTTTTATATTTCAATATCAGAACCATTCTGATTCATCATCACGATCATCATCATCATCATCATCATCATCAAAATTAATCATATTATTACTCATTTTTTCAATTATTCATCAAAAACTCATACCATACGAGTTCTGATGCACATGTTTGATCGAAATTAAATAGTGAGTTATTATACTTAAAAAGTATCTAACAAATATTATAGTTAATCTGTAACAAATCTCAACGAATGCCATTCTATTTTTGTTCTCTATGATGTTAATGATTGATAAAAAAAATATTCATTCCAAATGGCTTTTCGTTTTGTTCTTTAAAACGATAAGAAAATAAAATACTAATATCGATAATCTATATAAGAAAGGAACTGACTGAAAAGGCAATTTAGTTTTTATTAATATGGTTGATTCGTAACGCACGTTGACAAAAAAAAGAGAAACATGTACATATTTTAAAAACCTTACGGCGATAAAAAGGCGCCAACTCTTGTGGAAAATTTGGTTAATTTCGTAAGTGCTTTACTGTTGTTTTTCGTTGTCACTGCTGCTTTCATGGCCGACGGCTTGCAGAAACCTAGACAATATGGCGAAACTATAATGTTTTTTTTCTTCTCTCACGTCGTTAAAAATGTAAATTATATGTATAGCTTTTCTCACAATACATTATAAAAAAGAGAAGTGAACACTATTTTTTTTCTCGTCAATCGAGCATGTACATTTGGGCTTGAATATGATTTTATTTGCCTTTCAATAAGCAGAACATTGAAGGAAATTACGGTTTTCAATGGTGTTGCATACGCTGATAAAATATATGCTTTTCGTGTACCACGCAACAAGGAAGACAAATGTAACTATACGTAGACTGTACGGTTTACAAAAAAAAAAAGTGTATCATAACAGTGACAAGTAGTAGAGAGAAAAATTCCATTAATATTACGTACAACGAAGCAGAACAAATGCTTTATCATTTCGTGTTTATATTTGTAGAGGTAACAGGCACATGAGACATTGCACAAATGCTGACCTATACTACACGAGTAGAAAGAAAGATGATGACAAGTCTGCTTGGTGACTAGTGCACGTCATCAAATATATACCGAGAAGCAGATCAAGATAGAGACGACGCCTAACATGCTTGTTTCTTCGTCTAAATGTACTACTGACAGAATTATAGATGAACATATGACAAACTTTACTACTACGTTGATAGAAATATTACAGACAGTTTGCGTGCAGAAAGAAAGAAGGAAAGAAACGAAAAAAAAAAGAACTCTAACCGCGCGAGAAGGTACCAAAATGAAAATTTGAGAGAGAGAGAGAGAGACAGCGACAAAGAAAGTAAAAAAAAGGACAGAAGAAAAGTTTATGTTAGTGTCCACACCCGACAATTCCTTTCACTACCGTCATTTGTCGTTCTCTCCTTTTTGTCGTCATTTATTTTACGATAGTTTTATTGCTAAAACCGAGAAAGAAAGAAAAAAGAGAAGAAAAGAAACACAAGAGAAAAAGATTTCGAATGCTTGGGGGAATTTTTTTCTACGTTTCTTTTTTCAACATTTTGCATAATTTTTTTTTCAACATATATCATAGCTGGTTTGTCATTTGCTTCTTCAATTAGATTTAATATTCATATAAAATAAAAAAATTAGTCAATTTTAATGGCTATTCTTTGGAAAGTGATTATCACTCTCTCGGTATTATATATTATAGGTACGTATATTATTTTATTGTTGTTCGCAACTTATACGAATTTGATAGAAGGTGTCAAACAAGAAAGTAACCTTGAAAAATGTCTCATAAATATATGAATTGTGAGTAAGCACCTGTAGGCAAAACCTTCGAATAACGCTAGTGAGATGAATTTTGTTACTTTAAAATTGTATCTTAACACACAAATCGAAGCCTATTGAAGATTTTGTAAACGACTAGTAGATTAAATGTAATTGATAATTCCTGTGAATCAGTACCTTGAAGTATTTGACCTTCAAGAAAATAAAATGAAATAAAAGGTTAGTCAGAGATTAAGAACACCATAATACAGATTTATTAATGCACGACAACAGAGTGACGATGACCTTTTTTTTCTACCATCGAATTCAGTAATAAAAAATATATATTAATTTAACAGAAAATGTTTAAGTGTATGTACATGTAAAGTACCTATATATATGTAAATAGTATGAAGCTGATTAATCATTGGCTATCAATATTATTATTTTGGTTTTCAGGGACTGATGCAAATCGAGCTCGTCGTCTTCGACGACACGCAGTTAATCCAAACTCACAATTAAATGAATTCAATTCTAAACCAGAAGCTCGACAACTACCACAAAGACCAAATTCTCAAATTTTGAATGCTCAAGGTCAACAACATGTTGGTCAAAGTGAAATAGGATTACCAAAAGATGGTAGCTTAGGACAAAATCAAGCTGGTCGACAATATTATCCATATCAAGGTCAAATGGGTGCCGGCTATAATCAACCGGGTATCGGTAATATAAACCCATATGGAACTGGACAATGTAAGTACAGAGTTTTACAGTCATGGATATTGTATTACTTCATACGTGTTCATATGATATATATTGTTCATAGCCGTAACATGAAATTTATTTTCTATTCATTTCTAGATGGGCAATATGGCCAAGGAGGGGGACAGTTTGGTCAAGGAGTGGGACAGTTTGGTCAAGGAATAGGACAGTATGGTACAGGGTTGGGACAATATGGTTCTAGTTACAATCAATATCCAAGCTCAGGTGGTTACTATTCAGGTTATAATAGTGGAAGCAATTATAATCGTCCAAGTTATTCATCTAATTATCAATCAGGGATGGGAGGCAGTAGTTATTATGGTAACAGATGGAATGCTGGTCAAAAACAACAAGTGAATACGTTCAGTATTTTTCTTTCTTCTTTACTTGCTTTAGCTATCTGTTCTATTGCTGTTTGAGCTTTTCAAAAGATAGAGACAAAAACTAATTATAAACATTTGAATAGTTTTTCATGTTTTTTTCATTTTTCTCCACTTGAATGGTCATAAGTTTTTTTCATTTTCTGTAAATATTACCATTCTTCTCTATGTTTGTTCATTTTACTTCTGTTTTTTTTCTATATTTTTCACGTATATGAAGAAATTCTTTTGTTTTTCACAAACTTTGTGCGTAAGCGCTCAATTTTCATCGTTGTCCATTTTTGAAACAGCTACATTTAACTTTTATATGCATGCATAAACAATTATCCTTTTCTTTCTTGTGATTTTCAAAATGTGCCCATGTTATGGCTACAACCATAGTTTGTGAGCTAGAACAAACTTTTCTTTTTGAGGCAACTATAGAATAATAATACATCATAATTTGATGCTCTTTAGATCTTTTGGCTACAATTATATCATTAGTTCAGCACAACTAAATTTTAATCTATCGCAAATCTTAAACGATTGTAATCGTCGCATTCAAAAGTTGAATAGACTAAAAATGAAAGAAAATTTTCTCATAGATAATTCTAATCAATATTGTTCAATAATAATAAAACATATCAATCAGTCTAAGTCAAGAGATAAATATTTCATTAAGTTATCAAATGGATTAAAATATATTGATTATAGAATTACGACGGTTGAACAAACGACTATTTAATGAGGATAGAGAAACAAACTAATACAAAGAGATTAGTTTTGTTTTCAAAGTAATCATTTAGAAGTTAACTTTGCAATCTACAAAGAATATAAAATGATCGCATGATAGTTGGAAAGAAAAGAATTTTCAATTTTTAAAAGCTTTTTTAAGCATTATTTTACAACTGTTGAAGTGTCTGATACCCTTTAGCGATGTAATAAAATCTTGATATTATTTCATGTGTCATATTTAACTGATTAGGGTTGTTAAATAGCTATCATCAATCATTTATTTTCTTCCGCTCAATTTATAAAAACGATCGAATCCATTTTTTTCATCAATATGTAAAAGAAAATATCATGATGATCTGAATAAGAATACAAAATAAATAATGAAGTTCGTCATATGATACAGAATAAAATGTTTGTCAATTTCTTACTCTATATTTCGATATATTAAATAATAAATCAATAACGTTGTTTCTTTTTAATGAAACAAATTACAAAATAAAATTTCTCCTATGGTAGTAATTGACAACTTTATCAATTAGTTGTTTGTGTCCGTTAACTCTTAATAGGAAAGAGTTAATGAATCAATTTCTGATATAAACGATCACAATTACGGTTGCTTTTTTCATTTCAAAAGAACATTATCAACCGATGAATCAAATGAAGCGGCTACTGTTATCGATAACATTTAAATACTAAACAATAAATTTGACTCATCCTGTTATTTCTTTTGATATTCTTTAGTGCGCCAATAGCTGTTTTGATGAAATTGCTTCAGTTCATACGCATAGTATTACACGTAAATGTCAATTTCAATCAAGCATTCAATCCAATTATTCAATTTCGTATTACTAATAAACTTTAAGCTTTATTTGACTTTCTTCCCACATAAAGCTACATTGTACTAAAACCTATAGTGCACATAAAATGTTTCTATTAATGTCTTTTGTTTAACAATTGACACTTGACCAAGCTGGATGAATAGTTGTACCCCAAATATCATAGCAAACTCTATCTTGAGGGCGGATTTCTTCACGAAATATTTCTTTCCAATACCAACCAAAAAAAGGATAGAATATAAAACGCTCAACACGAATACGAGTCGACACTGCGTTACGTGGTGGGCCAATAACTCTTGCTTGATCTATTGGATAATTTCCCGATGACATTGTCTGTTCAAATAATCTTATCGGCAATCGAAGATGAGAACCCGAAGCTGTTTCCGTATTAGGCACATGATAATCGACAAAGAATCGTGCAACATAGCCACCCTTATTTCTTATCCGAATCCAACCTTCAGCTAAAATTTATATTAATATTTAAATAATATTAACAAAAAAATTCAATAAACAAAAACTTGCTCGAATAAATAGTAGTCAAGATGACTAAAATCAAAAGATAAGATTGTATCTTCATCCTCTTTAAGAAATTACAATTGATATGATGGCTAAATTTATAGTGTCCACAATGGCCTTCGATTAGGATATATTTAATTAAATCTTTTGATCTACTTTCAAATGTCAAGAGTAACATTCATGGATGGACATTTACAAAAAAAATTGTGCTCTATTGAAGTCTCCTACTTCTTATATCACATAATTTATGAGAATCCTATGAATGAAATAGCAAGCAAAGCAGATTATTAAGATTCATATATAAATGGAAAGAATATTTAATATAAATCTGACATAACACATAACACTGAGCATAAAACAAAACAGTTTCTATTCATTAAAATTTCGATTGTCCCAAGTTTTGTTCAATTTCTCTAAACATAAGACAAAAAAATGATAGTTCGATATTGACATATAAAAAGTCTATGTTATTAAATCTCACCGAAATGCTACTAGTAGTTCGTCTCGTTTTCTTATTAATATATTCAATATTTCATCATTCAAATAATCAATATGGCCATCATCATCGTCATCATTATCTAAAGATAAAATTCAATACTCTCTCTTGTACTAGTTTAGAACAAATACCTTGTCGTTGTTCATGAAAATCATCCATCGTAGCAATACTAGTATTGTTTTTAATAGAACCATGATTAGCCGTATTATTATTATTATTATTATTATTACTATCATGAATCACGATGGATGTAACTTGTGTTAATGTACTATCTTGTGAAGATTGAACAATATTTGAAGAATTTATCATCGATTTTTGATGATGATGATGATGATGATGATGACGTTTAACAGGTGATGGTGATGACGTTCGTGTTATTTCACATTTTGAACGTGGTGGTGGACGATGCCAAATAGATGACTGATGATCATTATCACGTGTTGGACGTAGATCTATTTCATTGGAAATGCCTGTTGATGCAGAAAGATGATTTTCAATTGTTAAAGATGTTTGAATACAAGCATCCTATGATTGAATGAATGATAAAATTTTTGTTTATCTGTACAGAAATCATCAACATACTTGTATCGTTTGTGTAGCTGCTTCTGAATATTGTCGAATCGGTATTGGAGTTGTAACTAGTTGTTTTACATGTTCTGTTTCGATAGTTGTGATTGTTGATTGTTGTGCTTCTCGTTTAGGTGATAACGGCTTAGTAACTGGAGGAGAAGGTGTACGACGAGGAAGTACTGTAGATATTTCGATGGGTACTGAAGGTAACATTAAACATGCTGGAGATACATTAGTTCGATTATTAATCTATAAAAAAGACTTATGATATATGTTCTATTAGAATGTAATCGATAATTACTCTCGTTGGAAATGTGATTGGTTCGTCATTATGTGCTTGTTCTAAGCGTCTGCGTAAACGCCATTGATATAAAATATCATCGTCTCCATCATTATTTACAAAATTAAAGTTAGAATCCACTAAAAAAATCTCATCAAAAATAAATAAATATTCTACATAATATAATTTCGTTTTTCGTACGGTTTCGAGTAAACATTGGTCTCGCTGGTTTTTCATAAACAACCGGTTGAAAAATACTTGTTGCCGTTGTTGCTGTCAATGTTGTAGACGGAGTCGAACCAATACCTGTACTTGACACATGGCCTATATCAGATGACTGAGCACTAAATGTTTGGTTGAGAAGTAGCGATGCTCGTTTATTTAAATCTTGATCAATATCTGTCGAAGGGAATATCTACAAGAGAAAAGCATTCATTTATTAATCGTAGATTTTTATCATGGAATAAATAAATTTACTTCAATAAACTCTGGAATATTTGATTTCACTTCATCATTATCCTCAGTATTCGTATAATTTGTTTTAAGTTCATCTAAAATTTAAGAAAAAAAATTTAAAAAAGAGCAAATTCAATTGAACCTATACCATGTAACCACCAAAAATCAAAACTCTTCGAATCTCGTTCTGGTCGAGCTTCAGGTTCTTCATAACGAAAACGATCAACTAGTCTACAGTACATAAATTGTGAATATAAACAGATGTTAATAAAATAACACACTTTTTTAATGTTGACGGTTCGTCTGATTTTGGTACTGGTATATCTACAATTTTCTTCGGTGAAATGTGAGATCTAAAGAAACAACTTATAGCATATAGTGCTCTCTAAATTTTTACTGTCATAAATTCACAAGAAAAAAATATTTCAGATTCTATAAATGTTAAGTTAGAATAATGCTTTTGTCCAATATCTGAATGATTAACTCATCTTTACATGAAACAACAAACCATAGAGTAAGTATCTTCAATGAATGGTGGTAACAAAAGAATATTCATCTTTCTTTTTCTTAGAAAGTTATTACAGACAGAGATAAAATACTACTTTTGTGTAGCTAATAAAGCATGTATGTTCTTTTTTTTCTTACACTGTTGGAGTATTAGAATGTTTTTTGCTGTTCGAACGATTCCCCGTTTGATTTTTCACTGGTGGTGTGATATAACGACGAGTTGTTCGATTAGTGACTTGCATTTTTTGTCAAATTTAATTCTTATAAACCAAAAAGAAAAGAAATATAGACCTATGATATAATCGCCATTAACAGTAAATCTTTCATGGGCGTTGTTAAGCAACCAAAATTCTGACAAAAGCTATTCTCCCTATATGAAAACTATTGGAAAACTCTTTTTAGTAGAAAATAGTTTCATATTGTGAAAAAAAATCGATATCCTTCTGAAATACCAATAGTGTTAAGGACCTATTATACTTATTGGTTAAATATAAAATACAATATTAATATTATAAGAAAATCTTGATTTCTATTGGTCAACTGTCTATTACTCCATACAGCCATTATATAAACATGACTCATTGGAAGTAATAGTGAACACTACAATCAAGAATATTTAATAATGCAATCAGAATAGAAATCGTTGTGAAAAAACTTGAATTATTAACATCTAGGATATATATCAATGATGTAGCTTTTTTGTTGTGTTAAGTTCTTGCAAAAGACCTAAACTAAGAAAATAAATTTAGCGACATCTGACGTTAGAGAAGTGTTGTCTGATCTCATGCAGTTCTGTATTGTTATTTTTTCCCAGTTATTTTTTAAATTTCATCAGAGTACAGCGCCACCATTGTTCTGAAAGTGACATTTCTTAAAAATAAAATAAATACATGAATAAATATTTTGATTATCATGTTTATGTTTTAGTTTATTTTATAACATTTTCATGAGTTTTAGATGTCGCTTCGACTAGTGCATTTGACATTGATTCGCGTTTCTCGTCAGACTTTTATATCAACAGATAAGGCACTATCTGATTTGTTTTTACGTCAACATGCCGCAGCAGATCTTTATTTATTCATTCTCTGTTCTTAACTAACCATACTGAAACATTATCGGGGTTAGATATTCAAAATTTTCTTCGGTGTAGTAGAAAGGATCAGAATCAGAATTATGATGAATACTACTTCAGAAAATTTGACGAAAGAAAAAGCAGATTACATTTATCAACGTTTGCGTAAACAAATTACCTCAATCGATTCAGAAGCTTGTCCTCAATCATTCGTATTTTTTGTCTTTGGCGCATCTGTATGTTTAATATGCACGCATAATTTAAAAAGTATATTTTATTTACATTTTCTTCTTCTAAGGGCGATCTAGCTAAAAAGAAAATCTATCCAACACTATGGTCTGCCATGAATCCAAAATAAATATAAAATATGTTTCTTGTTTATTTTCATAGGTGGCTTTATCGTGATGGTTTTTTGCCAGAACATATTTGTTTTGTTGGTTATGCTCGTAGTCAATTGACAATCGAGAAAATATTCCAAAATGCTGATAAATATATGAAAGTAAGCTACTAGGACTTTCATTTTACATTAATTTTTTTATAATTTTATTCATTAAGGTTCACGATCACGAACGTGATCTTTATAAAAAATTTCTTGAACTCAATCACTATGTTTGTGGTTCTTATGACAAATCTGAAGATTTTGATAAATTAAATCATGAAGCAAACAAAATTTCACAGCACACAAGTGCTCATCGATTTTTCTATTTGGCGCTGCCACCAAGTGTCTATGGAAGTGTGTCAGAATTGATCAGTACACATTGTCGACCCGGCGCGTAAGAGAATTAGCATGAGTTAGTTTCATTGCTTTTTCTTCATCTTTTTAGGCCTGGTTGGGTACGTTTAATTGTTGAAAAACCATTTGGTAAAGATCTTCAAAGTTCCAATATATTATCGGGTCACTTGAGTAAATTTTATGCAGAAGAAGAAATTTATCGTATCGATCATTATTTGGGAAAAGAAATGGTTCAGAATATAATGGTACTTCGATTTTCCAATAGAATATTTTCACGAGTTTGGAATCGTGATTCTGTTGCTGCAGTGAAAATTATTTTCAAAGAAGATATTGGAACACAGGGACGTGGTGGTTATTTTGATGAATTTGGTATTATTCGGTATGCATGTACTTCTTATTTTGACGATGAAAGTTAACAATAGAGTTCCGTAAACAGTCTCTGACTGCAATGTGTGTAGATAGTAAATGTGACTGATTTATTTTTCTGTAAAAATTCTCTCGTTTCATAAGGAAGTCACAAAAAATTCTTGCCTTTAGTTTTAGTCGAGTGAAATTTATGCTAGAAAATTAAGAAACTTTATAATGATTGATCAATTTTTTAGGGCTCATGTAGAATCAACCGAAACTTTTGACTAATCGAAAAAACATGTTTTCTCCCTTAACTTTGTATCTCACGTCAGTTGAAACATCAGTTTTCCTGAAGAAAGAAAGATAAGAATGATTCTTTTTACAAAATGCATACAATCGCTGTTCTGCTTTCAGAAAAAATATATAGTTTTTGTTAGACGGACCTAGTTTTATATTCCAAACTAACAAATCTTGTTTTGCGATTGATCCAAAAAGTGTCTACATTTCCTAGAAACATCATTGTCACCATAGATTAAGAAGTTGAACAAAAAACCCTTTTAATTATGTTTAGCGATCCATAAGCTAGATTATGAGCAGAATGATTCAAAATCTGATTTTTCATTTTTTCATCTAATATCTACATTGTTGTTGATTGTCGAAAGATTCGATTAACTGGTTATTAAAAAAAGAAAATTTATTAGTATGATCTTTTTTATTTAAAGTGATGTGATTCAAAATCATTTAATGCAAATTTTATCGATTGTTGCAATGGAAAAACCTCGTTCAACAACCGGTGAAGATATTCGTGATGAAAAAGTGAAAGTATTGCGTTGTATAGCGCCAATTAAATCAGAAAATGTTGTGATCGGACAATATCTAGGTGATAAAGAATCAAAAGATAGTGAGCGTCAACTTGGTTACTTAGATGATGCAGGTGTACCAAAAGATTCCACAACACCAACTTATGCACAAACAATTCTTTACATAAACAATGAACGTTGGGATGGTGTGCCTTTTATACTTCGTGCAGGTATTATTTCAATTCTAAGGAATTTTTATAGCGTGTTACATCTAATTCACTAGTAATATAATTCGGATGCTAATAGTTTTATTCTACGTATGTTCCGTAAGAATGAATATACAAGAGCATAGGAAAACAAGAGACTGTTTTGAGGCAGAAAACAAGTATACCTCTAATAGACAACGAAAAAATTAGTATGCAAGGTCACCTCTGGCTAGTTCTAATTTTCTCTACTCAATAGACGTTAATGCACAATTTTCACTGACACCTATTTGGCAGTCTATGATGCAATATATCAGTACATAATAATAATATCAAATTAATATACTATTTGTTACCTGCAGTCATAGTTAGAAGTGAAAAATAGACTATTTTTATTTCTTATTTTTAAATAGTCATGTTCACACTTACTGCTGAATCTGTCCTACAGAGAAGTAAAATGGTTGAGATCACACTTCACATTTACACTTGTATTTTCTGCTAGAAAAAATAGAACGATAATAAAATTCACAGAAGATTTATCAGTACTGTTTTTATTTTTACATTGACACTCTTGACAAATTTCAACAATAACGTAGACTGCAATAAAAGATATTTTTCAAGTACAGTATTTTGAATTAATCTGATGAGAGTAACGGAGGATATAAATAAATTTCAAATTTTAAGTCATATGGCTGCGTTGCTAAACTTGTCGGTTAATTATTCATCTTGTTCAACAGGGAAATTATCGGAAAAGCTTAAATTAAAAGTAGTTTAACAATGATTTCTCTCGGTATTCTAACAATTTGCATTATTCGATAAAACTTGAATTACTTGTTTGTTCAACAAATATGTCTAAAAATACCATTTAATAAAATGTTTAATCATGTAAGAAAAGAAAAGCAACATACAAGTCAGAACTGGAAAGATAGAGAAAAATGAAGTTAGACTTAAAAACAAATATTTACAAATATAGACAACAATTTCAAACTTCAATCCATTCATTCATTCGACGAATACTATTTTAAATATTCTAGTCATTGAAGTGAGTGTATGCACAAATATCACCCGTATGTTAGAAGTGAATTAAATTTTAAATTCTATTTTTGGTTAGAGTCGACTGAAATTACAAAACGCGATTAGAAAAGTTTTAGTTAAATTATGCATATTGTTCTCATTGAGTGCTTGTAAAAATTCTATCTACCGACGACAACAATCAAACTATGAGAAGAAAATAGTTCTAGTGATAAATAAATCTTCGAACTACCCTAATGATGTAGAAGTTTCCTATTCCGAGTTGACGGATCTATTCGTTTTTTTCAAAATCCAACATTTTTTTGACTTTCATGCAGAATGTTCAGGTATTAACTTAGATTCTAATTGCATCATTCATGATTACAACAACGAAAGCTATTCCATAAGTAGAATAGCTCTAGTTTTTAGAAGACAATACAAGATGAACTAGTATTTTTAAACGGAGTGCCATTGTAGTTATGCAATCATGAGAAATCATGCGTTCAAATGAGAAGAAGTGACGTTCTATTTTTTCTCTTTCCAATTGTTGATTGTGATAAAAAAAATTATCTTGAAGAATGTATCATTGTTTAAACAGTATAAAGGTTTTCATGCTTACAAATGACGTTTCTTTTATCAACTGTTATGTTTGTTTCTACGATAAAGAAACGTGTAGAAAAAAATTCTCCTAGAATCTCACATTTATATTTTAAATTTCAGGCAAAGCATTAAATGAGAAAAAAGCTGAAATTCGTATTCAATTTCGTGATGTACCAGGTGGAATGTTTGATGAAAATGGCTCGAAAGCACCACTAGCTCGTGATGAACTTGTGGTTCGTATACAACCCGATGAAGCTATTTATCTTAAAGTCAATACAAAACGACCTGGTGAAATGAGTTATAGTATTGAAGAAACTGAATTAGATTTAACTTACAATGAACGATATCGTGGTGTAAAATTACCTGATGCATATGAACGCTTAATACTTGATGTATTTATGGGTTCAAGAATCAATTTTGTTCGTTCAGATGAATTACAAGAAGCATGGCGTATTGTTGATCCAATATTGACTGAAATTGATCAGAAAAAACTTCCAGTCGTTCCATATAAATTTGGTGCTGCGGGATTACCTCAAGCTTTTGATGCAGCAGTAAAACATGGATATGTGTTTACTGGTACATATGTACGAAAAGATGAACGTTCAGCATCAGTGATCAATTCACAGAAAGAAAAAGAAAAGGAAAAGGCAAAAGAAAAAGTGCAATCATAAACAATGAACAAGATATAAACTTTAAGTCTTTCAAATAAACATTTTTGTCATTTTTCTTAAGAAGATTTTCCTATGCACTGGTTAACTTTCGTTTTTCATGTGAAAATCACCTTATGCAGATTTTTCTCGTTTAATTATGTCGCTGAAATCTCTTGCGAAAAAGAAAGAAAAAGGTCATGTATTGTTCATTTATTCCCTTGTTTTTATTTCAGATATTTATATATAAAAATAGATATATAAGATGAGTCTAGTCGGAGCATATCATATGCCAAAAACAAATGGAAACATGTCGCATGATGATCTTCTTATACTTGATTCTGATTCATCACAACAACAATCTCAACCACAACGACCATCACCACCATTCTATCTCTTATGTCATTATCCACTTGAACCACCACCAACTGGCAGTACCAATCTTATTGTTCATTCAGGCTTGAGTCGGGATTTTGATAAATATGTTAAACAACCTATCCCACCATCATTAAGTGATTTTCTAACTGATATACCATTAGCTGAAACAGCTCAACATAAAGCAGGCCAGTTTGCTGGTGATGTACATGGTGGTGTTGGAACATTACGTTCGTTATTAGCTGGTCCTATCATTTCCAAAGAAATTATTCCACTTACAGAACAGCAACTTAGTGCTTTCCGTCTACATCGTGAACCATTACTACCTGATTTATACCAAATATATACAAGTTCACCAAAAGAACCACGTACAGCTCCAGCAACAGAAGCACTTATTCCTCTACCAGTCGCAAATCCAATACCTGGGCCTTCACCACAAGTTCAACGCGTTATCAATGAGCCAACGTCACGTGTATCTCCGGATGTTAAACGAAAAGCGCCTGCTGATATAACACCTATTATTCAACCGCAAACAACAACACCTGTTGCTGGCATTCTTAATCGAACAACAAGCACACCAACATTATCAACTAATTCAAATTTATCATCGACTAGTGGCCATTTAAATGATGATCAAGACGAAATGAATTTGTCTAAAAGAAAAACAAAGAAAACAAAAAAAGAGAAAAAAACTTAATTTACATATTTTGTTATTATTATTTGTTTTTTCTTTGTACTTATTGTTAATACGATTTATAAAAATCTTAATTTTCATTCTAGATTAATTATCTTTTTTTTGTCATCATACAAACAATAATGGCTAATCGAGATAAACTGCCGAAAGTCGGGGATGTTGAACGAGAATCTCTATATGGTTATGTCTTCGGAGTATCAGGTCCAGGTATGAGAAAAATCTTCTTTTCCGCCCCCGAAGAGATACACTTTTATTTATTTTATTTATTTTAGTTGTCATAGCTAATCATATGGCTGGTTCGGCAATCAATGAATTGGTGAGATTGATAATAATCATATTTCAACAAGAAATAATACAAAAAATATATTTTTTCTTTCTGTGAATAGGTTCGAGTTGGTCATGAAGAGTTAGTCGGCGAAATTATTCGTCTAGAAAATGATTTGGCAACAATTCAAGTTTATGAAGAAACATGTATTTTAACAAGTTTTCATATAGTATTGAAATGCTTACTTTGAATCTTCTTTTTTAGCTGGTGTCACGGTTGGTGATCCAGTCTTAAGAACAGGAAAACCATTATCAGTTGAACTTGGTCCTGGCATTATGACCAGCATTTTTGATGGTAAATTACTTGAATAGATTTTCGATAAGTACGATTGTCGTGCGAGACATCATCGAAAAATGACTCTGAAGTATAAGCAGAAGTTGCAAATTTGTTCACTGTTTAATCGTAACAGATATTTATCATATAAAATTGTACACTATTTCCTAATTATACATATTGAAGCTCTCATATGAAAATTGCTTCTGATAGTATTTCTGTAGAATAAAGTAAAAGGATGGCACCGAGATATACCCCATATATGCAGAGTCTGTCAACTAACAACAAGACCGTTTAGCGTTCAAATTTTACTGTTCAATCTTTTCGACATTTAACTAATCGTTTTCTCATATAGGTATTCAACGACCTCTTGAGGTCATCTACGATCATACCAAGAGCATTTACATTCCACGTGGTATCAATGTACCCGCATTAAATCGTACAAAGTTATGGCAATTCACTCCAGATAATCGTATTCGAGTATGCATGTTTTATTCTTTAATTTTGAAGCACTAATTAATCGTACTATTTATATTAGATTGATAGTCATGTAACCGGTGGTGATATATTCGGTGTAGTACCAGAAAATCGAATGATTAAACATCGAATTATGCTTCATCCAAAAGCAAAAGGCACAGTTACATATATTGCAGAAGAGGGCAATTATTCACTTGACGTTTGTTAAATAGATTCATTATCTTTAAATTTTATGTTATTTTGATCATTTTAAAAAACAAAAATAGGATGTCGTTCTCGAAACTGTATTTGATGGAGAAAAAACTAAGCATACAATGCTTCAAATATGGCCTGTCCGACAGATGCGACCGGTAGTTGAAAAACTTGCAGCTAATCATCCATTGCTAACTGGTCAACGTGTATTAGATTCTTTATTTCCGTATGTATCATATGAATTAGTGATTGACCAAGAAAACTTGTATTCATTTGTCTATATATTTAGATGTGTACAAGGCGGTACAACAGCCATTCCGGGTGCCTTTGGTTGTGGAAAAACTGTCATTTCACAATCGCTCTCAAAATTTTCCAATAGTGATGCTATTGTTTATGTTGGTTGTGGTGAACGTGGAAATGAGATGGCTGAAGTATTACGTGATTTTCCTCAAGTAAAATATTAAATGATATTTCTTTTAAACTATAATTTGATTGTGGGAAAATTTCTTATAGCTGAAAATGGAAGTCGATGGTAAAGAAGTATCAATTATGGAACGTACAACGCTAGTCGCAAATACATCAAATATGCCTGTCGCTGCTCGTGAAGCTTCGATTTATACAGGTAGATTTGATAGCATTAATATGCATCGAAATTTTTATTTGACTTTTTTTGTTTTTGTATAGGTATTACTTTATCAGAATATTTCCGTGACATGGGTTATAATGTTGCTATGATGGCTGATTCAACATCCCGTTGGGCTGAAGCTTTACGTGAAATTTCTGGTCGTCTAGCTGAAATGCCTGCTGGTCTGTTGTGTTATTCAGGAATATTGCAAATTCTTATTATTATATATTCTTGCTTTAGACTCGGGTTATCCAGCTTATTTGGGTACTCGTTTAGCTTCATTTTATGAACGTGCTGGCCGTGTTCGATGCTTGGGTAATCCAGAACGTGAAGGTTCTGTCAGCATTGTCGGAGCGTAAGTATAGCATTCATACGAACACAAAACACTAACGAATTGTTGATATCATTTATGATATCGAGTTAATATTTTGGATGCATGTAGAAAAATGTACTCTTCAACAGTGCACATCTATTTGAGAACGAATGACTCGTGTGTTTTCTCTCTGAACAACATATTTGCTTGAAAATATAAACTTGAAAGATTGTTTGCCATTTTTCTATTCGAGCGGCTTCAATTAATTGTTGTACTTATAATAGAATTATTTTATTAACGAGTTCGCCACAGTCATCGAAATAAAAGATCCATTTTATTAAACAATAGCATTTGTTCTCTTACAGTATATCTTAATAATAAGAGTATATCTCAATCATTGTCGAAAGGTTTCTAGCGAAATTCATTCTAAAGATAACAACGATATTGGGATTTTCAAATGAAACACCCGATGAAAATACTTGTCGTAAAATAATTGAGATTGCTTATCTGAATTTTAACTTCAGAAGATATAGACTTCGGGAAGATGTATTAGAGCGTATCATTATTGTTCTCGTGTATCTCAAAAATATTAACTCAATATTACAAAAGAATATGATTCTTACATGTAGATTGATTAATTGTAATGAAAAATGACAATAAATTAATTAAACAAGATCTATGATATATTTTTGTTCTATTTTAGTGTATCTCCACCTGGTGGTGATTTTGCTGATCCAGTTACTGCAGCAACATTGAGTATTGTACAAGTATTTTGGGGTTTAGATAAAAAATTAGCTCAACGTAAACATTTCCCATCGGTAAACTGGCTTATTTCATATAGTAAATATACACGTGTTCTTGATGACTATTATGACAAAAATTATCCCGACTTCGTTCCATTACGTGCCAAAGTATGAATATTGTTTGAATAAGAAAAGTCAATATTTCGTATTTGCTCTACTGTAAATTTAGTGTAAAGAAATCTTACAAGAAGAAGAAGATCTTTCCGATATCGTACAACTTGTCGGTAAAGCATCATTAGCTGAAACCGATAAAATAACACTTGAAGTAGCACGCATGATAAAAGATGATTTTCTTCAGCAAAATGGTTACTCATCATATGATAAGTAGGAATAATATATATTTTTATGATTATTAATTTCAAATATAAATTTCTTTTTCCCTTAAAGATATTGCCCATTTTATAAATGTGTTGCAATGCTTCGTAACATGATTGCATTTTATGACTTTGCACGACATGCTGTTGAAACAACAGCTCAATCAGAAAAGAAGATAACATGGAATGATATTCGTACAAATCTCGGAGATATAATTCATCAATTAAGTAGTATGAAATTTAAGGTAGCTTTCGATCAGTGAATAATTCAAATGAATATCAAAATATTTTTTTTAAATTCATTTAGGATCCAACAAAAGATAGTGAAGAAAAAATAAAACGCGATCTTGAAGAGCTTAATGAACGTATGCAAACAGCTTTCCGAGATATGGAAGAAAATTAATTTCGAATTTCCACGATATTTATATGCATTCTGTGTTGTTATCATTTGTCGATGTTTTCATTTTTATCGCAATCATTATCTTGTAGACTCGATTTTATTTTTTCTCTTTTTAATTGAGTGTCATTCTAATGGTTCTTTCTTTTCTTAACATTATTTAGCGTGTTCTTTTTCTTTTGTTCATCTAATCAAATAAGAACAAACCACATTTGTGATCCGATGTATGTCGTATTAATTTTTTCTTTAGACCCATTATATGTCGTAATTACGTGCAATAACATTTTCTTTTCTCTATGATAACTTTTGCAATTTAGACACTTTACTTTATCCATGATGTTTATTGTAGCATGAGAGGGGATGTTAGTCATTTCATTTATTTTTCATTTGACACATAAGAACCAAAAACTAATTAAAAACTTTTTTCCATTTCAATTTTAAGATATGAATCAATTAGCTGATCGTAAAGGATTTAAAATTGAATCAACTTTACAACCGAAAAAAAAAAGCAAAGATAAAAAATCAAAATCAAAATCAAACGATCCGGGACATGTGCGTATTATCGATGACGATGCACCAGTACCGTGGGGTGCAACAGAAAAACTTGAAATTATAGCTGCTAATGAAATTGTTTCATTTGAAGATGCTCCAACTGTTGTCGGTATGAATTTGTTTTTCAAGTTAAAGATGAAAATTTTTCTAACTTTCATTAATACATTCAGGTGTTATTGATGAACGTCCATCGAATGTACGTGAAAAAGAACGTTTTAATGATGCGAAGCGTTGGCGTACAGCAGCTTTTGAAGAAATATCAGAGCCTGATACTATAGGACCTCAACCGAAATCAACAAAAATATCTTCATCGGTAAATTCTCGCCAAAAACAAAATTCATCTGATGATAGTGATCCAGATATCGATAGAGGTCCGCCAAGGAAAAATGAAAATTCTCATTTTGCTGCAACACGAAGAAAAAACTATCAAAACGATAGTGATCCATCTCCTCCTCGAAGAAGGTGTCAATCTGACGATGATATAAGTCCACCACGACGACGTGATCCATCTCCACCGCGAATAAAATATGACGAACCGTCTCCTACAAAAAGCAAGCAGAAATCCAATGACGATTCAAGTCGAACACGCCACAAACAGTACCAAAATGATGCTGATATATCTCCTCCACGACGTCGGGATTCATCTCCGCCGCGAAAAAAACATGATGACTCTTCATCTCGAAGAAGAAAACGTCAATCAGATGATGACCCTAGTCCACCACGACGAAAACTTGATAATTCTTCACCTCCTCGTCGAAAACCCAATTCGAATGATAATTCAAATTCATTAAAACAGCGTGATACATCTTCTCATCACAAAAGACGATCACGAGATGATGACGATGATGATAAAGCAAATCCTCCAAGACGCCGAGATAAATCTTCACATTCCCACCGTAGAAATGATCGTCATTCTGGCCAAGAAAGATCGCAATCACCAGTACAGAGTCGTCAACCAAAAGAAGAAACATCATCATCGTCAAAACATGATAGACTAAAGCAAGAATCTTTTCCGTCCGCACCATCTCAGCCAGCTAAATCAGAACGACGACGTTTAGCTGAACATAAAGAACAACTAGCAGAACGATATCAAAAATGGGGTCGTGGTTTAGCTCAAGTACAACAAGCAGAAGATTCTGTGAAGGATTATTTAGAGCTAGCAGCAAAACCATTGGCACGTTATCGCGATGATACAGATCTGGATGCTATGCTTAAACAACGAGAACGTGAAGGTAAATACATTCGATATATTCTTGAAATTTTCAATTAAAAATGTCAAATCTTTTTATTACTAGATGATCCAATGCTCAAATATCTTTCCCATAAAACTTCTGATACAGGTGATCGAACTAATAATAGTAATAGTGCTCCAGCTAAACCTCGTTACAGAGGGCCTGATCCTCAAAAGAATAGGTATAAAAATAAATCATTTAGTATTTTATTTTATGTAGCATATAATCTATATTTAGATTCGATATTTGGCCTGGTCACCGATGGGATGGCGTTGATCGATCGAATGGCTACGAAAAGAAACTATTTGAATCAATTGCTAATCGACATGCTAAATCTCAAGAAGCTTATTTATGGAGTGTTGAAGATATGTAAATAATGTTGTACTATTATGTTTTGTATTCATACAATACAAAAACGAAAGCCCTGTATTCAAAACGTCTTTGATTTGAATAAATTGGCATTTTTTTCCCGTCTTGAGCGTGATCTTTTGTTATTGAAAATAGAACTTATTTCATTTGATGCTTTCTTCAAAAATGTGTACTATGTACTTAAACACGATGAAAAAGTGTAATAAATAACCTTTCCTGTGACATTTACAAAAATGCACTACTAATCATTATTATAAATTCGTAAACTCTACTACATGCGGAAATATCTCTTAGTAAGAAAACATCCCGGTGTTATGGACTCCTTCGATTCCAGTCAATTGTGTAAAATGAAATTTTTCGTTTGTAGTCTGGTTTAGAAAATTCTAATTGTAGATCAGAAATTCTATATGAACTCGAAAGAGAAAAGACGCTGATTTTACAGATAAGTGGAGCAATCTATACTTTGCATCTTTGTACAAGTTGAAGTCTCATAAAATAGAAAAAGCTCTTGTTCTGAAACGAAAGCAATCAATTTGTTGACTGGTCTGATAGGATTTTAATTACGTATAATAAAATATCGTCTAGTTAATATATATTTTTGTAACGGTTACATATTGTTTTTTTCAACAAACAAAAAAATATCAAATGGCAAAAAAAGTATTTTTCTACACAACAATATTTAAAAATAAATATGATAAAATACTAAAAAACGCATAAAAAAAAGTAAGCTTCTTTAGTTGAAAATAAGGATTTGAAGGTTTATTTAGATTATTAGAACAAGCAAAAGACAGTAATATTATGCCTATCGAATCAAAAAAATATCAAAAATATATTACTCTTCAGTCATTTCAACTACATGACGTTACGCCAGACACAATAATCCTTTGCCTTTTCAATCTCTTGCTATGCATTTCGAATCGAAACTGTCTTACATACGTTTCTCCGGATCTTATCGAAGATGCTGCCATTCAAATAGTACACCATCAGATTATCATAAAAGCAGTTATGAGATTAAGAAACAATACTTTTATTCAAAATCTTTTCAAATAATAATTTCATGAATTCGATTTTATAACTACATTTTGTCAGCCATATATCAAATTTCTTCGTTTTTTAGAAAAAAATCGTTGAAAAAATGACGATTTCAACTTGATAGTATCGTTTTTAAATATTATGTTTGAATAAAAAAGAAGTTAACATCCAGTGTTATTATCAATAATAATCAAAGATCTCAATTCTCATTAATAATCATTGACTTAATCTTAAGTTTTCTTTTTTTTGTAAAATTTGTGTGGTATACCTACACATGTATATACACAGAATTTTCCAATATTCATATTAGTATCTATAAATCTAGCAAAGTATCATCCATAAGTATATAGATGTGTATACAGTAAAACAAACAGCTAATGTCTCATGAAATATGACGTTGAATAGACAAGTAATAAGCCGAAACTCACTATAAGCCCAATTGAAATAAATATGGATTAATTCTTAATGTAAATGACTTGAAAATCATCACTTATGGTAAACACAATCAACTACTTCATAAGAACGTGAATCAAAATTATTAACAATATTTATATTTTTCTGCAATCTGTTTTTTAGTTTCTTCTAAAACTATTAAAGAAGTAATGCATTCGTAGATTAAATTATAAAAATAAATTCTATTAGTATCTACTGATATACATAGATAAGCATGACTGTACCGATACTTGTTTTGGAACTATTAATTTATATAAAATGCTCTTTAATGCGCATATTAGAACAAGTTGTATGTAATCTTTAGAATTTCTTTACAGATAATCTATCGATGCATTAGTTTCTGTAATGTCATCTAATTATTTGTAATCTATGTCGAAAAGAAATCATTATATTCCAAAAGGTGATGTATACCTTTTCTTTTAAATATCGATGATGAAATCATAAAGTTGATGTCAAAGAAAAAACTATTCACTGAATTACTAGTAAATTATTTTGGTCAGCAAAGATATCAACAAAGATTCACTATGAATACCACTAAAAACGACAATGAATAATCAAATTGTCAGTGTATTTTTTTATTATTTTTATTTTTACTTCTCAATGATTGTAAATGTATATATTATTAGTCTACTCTGTCAGCTAGAAAGAAAATATAATTTAGTCCTATGATAAGGTAACATGACATGTAGACATAGCATTTTCTTTTTCCTTCTAGATTATTTATTGTACCTTGATAAATTTTCTCAATTATCTTTCATAAAAACTCATTTTGAAGACATATATATATCTCAATTCAATTTGCTTCGTGTCTCTTCTTGTCCTAATCATTGCATTTCACCACATGAAACATCAACGGTTACTTGTTTCACCATTGTCATACGTCAAATCTTCAAGTGACTCGTGAACAAATTGAAAAAGAGAAAAAGAAGATGTGCACCCTGCGCGTCAAGTAAAGAGGCTGTATATGATGGCTATTCTGAAGCATTCTTCCTCGAATCACTCTGCGATAATCAACTCAAGCTTGGTTGTCTCTTATTTCACACATTCTAACTCTATTCGTTCATTTATATCAAAATAACGAAAAATACCGTTTACAAGTCTTGTTCATGGTACTACAAATCCCATTTCCTCTTCTTTTAATATGCCGATTTCCGTTTTTGTTTTGTCATTTACCGTTAAGAGAGGGCGGTAAAATAAATAGCTTAGTATCAATGTGACTTATCGACATATAGTAATGAGTTTGATCTAATCAAGCATATATAGTTCAAGCACCTCTCGTATAAAATACAAGATTAAGAGAATGAACAAGTATCTATAGATGTATTTACTTGATGGGAAATAGAAAAATGTTGATAGCAACGATCAAAGTCTCTGTCAATAAGTTAATTAGTTGTAATTGTTTTTGTTTTTGTTTTTGTTTGCTTATATAATCGAGAAAATAAGAAGAAAAAAAACTATTTTGTAACAACGCACACATGCAAATATGTTTTCTTTTAAATATACGTTTGAAATACAAGCTCTTCCGTAATCGATTACCGGAACAAATTTGATTGACAAATCGATTCAATTGAAATGATACTAAGATATATAATCATAATACGAAAAAATCACAAATAAGAGAAGAAAAAAATCGCATGTTGCTATTTGATCCTTCATTATTATTGTGCAGTTATTTCTTTTTTAGTCAGAGAAAGTATATTTGCCTCTTAGCAAGTTTTCTTTTTCCCTTGTCAATCACTCAAACTTTGAAAGTGCTCTTCTCCGCTCCGATTGGTAGTATGAAATGATGAAGAGAAAGAATCTCTTTACGTTTTTAATTCTCTCATTCTCGATAATTGAATGATTGGAAAAAAAACTAAGGTGAGCTCATTGGCGTCGATGATTAACAGAAAGTGAAAATTGTTATTGTTCCGATTGAGTGTTGTTGTTATCACCGATTAGGTTACACACCTACAATTGACGACGCCCATATAGAAAGAAAAACGAATGAACGAATCAGATTTTACTTTTTTCTTTTAATGCATCAATTAAATTCATTTTATTTGTTGCGTAAATTTTACTTTTTCTTGTTGCTGCCACTTATACTGTTTGTACATTTTCATAATACTTCTTTTTCTTCTTTTTCTCCTCCCCTCTCTCTATCTCTCACTCATTTTATACACGGATCAGTTTAGTTTCATTCATCGATGCCGCTTTATTGAGTGTGCGGCCTCTTGAGCTCACATACATATACATGTCAGTTGACAAATAGTGGAAAAAAAAGGAGAAGAGAGAAAGAAAGAAAGCACTGCATTTTTACCTGTGAGCGTTTTGAATGGTGGATGCTTGTCGTCATTTATTTTTTTTCTCTCTCTCGCTCTCTCTCGCTCTCTCTCTCTCTCTCTCGGCAATGATTGGACACTAATGGAAGCGACATAGAAGCTGATCCGACCCTGCATTCGTCTAGCTAATCGACAAAATGAGAATTTTGATTGCCTGCCTGACATAGACACATACACATAGAAGATGATGATTGACGCTGCATGTCGCCAATCCTCTTACTTATTACCACTTTTAACGAATACAGGTAGTAGTAACAATAATAAAATGAAAAGAAATACAGTAAATGACAATGAAGACAAATTAACATTTACGTCTGCAATTGGAATGAGAATAATTGACCATACAAAATTATTGCCACCACGAAAAAAACTGAAATTCGGTGTTGACGCAATTCTTGGCACAAATTCAGATAATGAATCTTCGTTTGATGTTGGTAATGATTCTGATGATGATTTAAGACATAAAAGTAAGAAATTTTCTAGTTTTTTTCTTCTTCTTCATATTATTATAATATTCTTAGCGCATTACACAAATGTGCAATACAAAATAGATTTGTCTTGTGTATACTCAGAAGATTAACGAGAAATAGGAGATCATAATTCTAAATTGACGTCAATATTTACGACAATGGAATATTGTATATATATATTTACAGAAATCGACAAATATCTCAATACTTAAATAATTTATTTTCTATGAAAAAAAAAGACTCATTTTCGTTAAAAGATGTAGTTAATGAATAGTGAGTCCATTTTAATTCAACTATATTCGTTTAGAGAGATAAACAAAACAGAATTAGAAATTAAACAGACTTCAGAATTATGTAGTTGTTTTCTTTTAAATTTCTCGAAGATATTTAATTTGGATGACGAGAAATTTTAGTCTTTTTTTTCTCGACAATTTCTATTATTTATTTATTTTTCATCTCAAACGTTTACTCAACAGCGTTTCTCCTTGAAGTCACTTGAACTATATAACAATTATTTTAACTTATATCAAGAAGTCCCATGTCGTATTAATAAATTGATCGTTTGATTTGTCTTGTGTTTAGTTCGAACTCATGCTGAATCACCTATTTCATCAAGTTCATCTGTTTCCTCAAGTGAACCATGTATGGCTAAATCACCTTTCAAATCACCATTCCGAACACATCTCAGTAGTAGTTCACCATCATCTGATCAACATGCTTTACCATCAACAGCACTTCTTTCTCATCCTATGTATGGCTCCTCGTCATCATATTCACCATTCAATTGTCTGTCATCAAACAATAATCAAAACAACATCAACAGTAATAGTATTACTGGATCATCCAGAGATCATTGCAATGAACAACAACAACAACAACAACAACATCAAAATCTTCTTCATGATCGTCTTCTTTTTCAAATGGCAGCTAGTAATAGACAACAACATCTCTCATTCGATGGTCATCCACCACCACCCAACGGTTTATGGCGTCCAAATCTTCGACCTTTTATTGGTAAGTAAAAAAAAGGTTTTATTTTTTATTTTTATTACTTGTAAAAGACGTTGTAATTTGATCTAATCAATACTCGTCACTCGCCTAGTCACAAGTAATTATAAACGCTTTTTATTTATTGCACTCTCCTTCCTCAATTCTCTTTTTCAAACTTATATTCTTCAATTAAAAGTCGAAATGTGCATACAGACACATACGCATACACATACAAGTATAATTGATTCTCGTTGGCATATACACATAGTCTAAAGAACATGTTCTTTCTCATTTTCTTATTCTCTCTCCCCCCCCTCTCTCTCTCTCTTTCTCTTGTTTCATCATCCAAGTGGTTGCTTGTATGTACGTCTCGATTACTCGACTACATGGGCAAACATACCCAACAGGTTTTAAATTGATGAAAATAATAATGATGATGATGAGAAGAACTACCAATCAGCGTTTTTATTTGTCAACTACCTATCATATTTCACATGAGAATTTCAAGTGTGTGCATATATATATGGCATGGTAAAACGAAGGTAGATCTAAGAAGAAGAAAAGATGAAGATGCAAGTTCTTGCCAAGAGGCAATACGATCTCTCTTTCTATTCCCTTTCGGCTAGCTTGTTTTGATTTCTTCACTTCAGGCTTATTTCTATTGTATGTGTCTCTGTATATATATCTCTAATCATATTATTTTTTTTCACTTATCGTCTCTCTATTCAATTAATGTATGCTACCTATTATGAAAACAATAGAAATTGAATGAATGTGTGCATTATAATTTTGTTGATTCTGATAATTTGTCGTTTTATTTTTTCTCTGTATTTCTCATAGGTAATCAACCAGGTAGTTATTTTGGTAGCAATGGCTCGTCATCATTAAATTCATCAACACCTTCATTATTAAGTGGTACAGCACCACCAAATGGACTCTACATTCCACCTCCTCCATCCAGCATATTTTGGCCGTTAGGTCTTCGTAGTAAACCACGTCGTGGAATGTTACGACGTGCAGTGTTTTCTGATCAACAACGTAAGGGCCTTGAAGTAGCTTTTCTTAAACAAAAATATATAAGTAAACCAGAAAGAAAAAAGTTAGCTCAACGACTTGGATTAAAAGATTCACAGGTAATTATATAATAAAAATAAAAATAAAACTATTATATTTAATGATAAAAACTTTTTTTTCTCTCTTTTTCTCATCATTCATTATTCAAGGTTAAAATATGGTGAGTAATATATATAATGTTAATCATGATAGTGAAACATAAAAAAGTTTTGGTTTCAGGTTTCAAAATCGTCGAATGAAATGGCGAAATACAAAAGAGCGTGAATTACTTACATCAAGCTCAAATAATAATAATAATAATAATAATAATAACAATACTAATACCAACAATAATAATAAGAATAATAACAACAATAATAATAATAATAATTTTACTGATGGTACAGAATCAACCTCGTCGACAAAAAATTCAACAAACCATGATAAAAATGAATTATGTACTTTATCAAATGATTGTTGTGATTGTCAACAACAACAAAATGAAGACACGATCACCTTTCATCCAACATTAATTGTTAATAACGATGAGACCAATAGTTCTGATGTTGATGTCAATGATGATGCAAGAAAATAATAACTGAATATCTTGCTTTTTTTTATTTGTCTTCAACGGGCTTCGGTGATTGTGTATGCGAATGAAATGTATTGTATCTAATTTGACGTGTTTTTTCGTTTGTGTTGTTCGTGTGAGTCTTTTTGTTTTTGTTTTTTCTTTGCCAAACTTCATGTGTCACTATTTCTTTTTCCAAGTATTCGATTCGATTTGAGAGATTGTGGATATTTTTTCCTTCGATTCCAACAATATACATGTATAAATATTTGACTTTTTCTTGATTCATTTAATATTGAATACTCACTCAAACAAATGGTTCATATCAATAACAAAAAACAAAACGATATTAGTTAAGTCGATTATATTTTAGAATGTATCATTGAGGGATAACAGATTTTTGTAAAATAATCAAACACATGATTTTCAAATTGTCATAGATTGAATTTGTTTTATATGGTATCGCTGTATTGCATGTTGAAAATCATTTATGAGATGCTTTGTTTTCGTGATTGGCTGATATTTTTCTCAAAAGATGCACTGTTGTATTTTCTATTGAAATCATATGAACAAACTTGTTGAAATTTAAAAAAAAAAGTCAATTTTCTGATTGGTAACTATGGTGATTTTTAATCAAATAAAAAAATCCTAAGATAGGCTGCTTTTCGACACTGTAAAAATTCAAAAAGCTCCTTGCTTCATCGATAAGTCGTACGAACTAACGTAAGTACTAATTTCTCTTCCACATCATTTCATCATCTTCAGTTGAAAGTCAAGTTCGCATTGTATTATTTTGTTTATTTGCTTTTTGTTTAACTTCATTGTTTTTCTTCGACTATTTCTTCCGATAGCTGAAGCATTTTAATCTAGCGGCAAAGTATCCAGTGATTGCTTTGTTAAGCAAACAAAAAAAAAAACTTTTATTCGAGGAAGAAGTGTTCATCAAGATAGACATGTGAACCAGTTTTTACTGGCATTTTGAGATGAAAATGAATAATAATTTTCATGGTTGGAAGATTTCACAAGTTTTAGGATTGGTTTAAAAAGCGTATGGTGAAATACATGAACAAATAATGATTGAAACGAAAATTCAACTCTTTTCAAATTTCTTATATTTAGTATTATTGTTTTTTATTAGATTAAACATTAATAACTATTGAAATAAATGAAATGCATCTATATAAAAGGAAAAAGCAAATACTATTTAACATCATGTTAGCTGGGTTGAATCGAAAGAATTAGTGATTTTTCTTCGGTTAAGACTGGTTTATATATCAATCGATGGTAATTCAATTGTCCATGTATGTATATGTACATGTAAAACAGAAACGATTCTATTTAAGCTATATTTTGATAGTTGAAATGTTTACTATGGCTATCAGTTAGATTTTAATGAAAACAGAACTTCAATATTATAAGAGTATTGAAATATATATTAGAAGAATAATGACTAAATAACTGTAATTTTGAAGTTTATATTTGATACGATAGCCGTGATAATGATGAGAAAACGAAAACTAAAAGAATCCTTTTGTGCATTAAGTTTACAAAGGAATCATCTCAACTGATAAATTGTGTTTTTGTAAAGAAATTCACTAGATTTTCAGCACTTTAAAAAGTATCATGATACTGAAGAGCAGTATGAGAAATTTCTATAAATCAAAATATGCCGGATTTGTAGAAAATTGAAATTTAGATTATCATAGGATTTTGGTTAAAAATTTTCCTTTTAAATCTGTACAAAATACAGAATATGCAGCTTTGTTTAGTTCGTTTTTTTTTTACAAAGCTTTATTTGAAATAGAAAAACTATCTCTTTAATGACAGCATGATATAATATCTACCTAGAAAAACCTATAATAAACAATCAGCAGAAAATCTGCTCTTTTGAACAATTGGTTTTTGAAAAATCATTGTATCAAAGTATACACAAATATCTTCTGGATTTATATTTGGTATCAATAGAATAAATAATTTATACGTAAATAGATTTCGTAAAATAGAATCTTTTATTAATTCAAAAGATTTTCTCCTCAGTCAATGTTGATTTTATAACGGTATACGTAGTATTCAGAAATGTGTACTCTAGTAAAAGAAATTAATACGATAAGAAAAATCTTCCCATTCGCTAAGACTAATTCATCGCTGAGTCCACTAAAGGATATTTAACTATCATTCTCCTGTCTGAAAACGAATTTCAGCACTTTCGATTCTATCTATAGAAAAAAGATTTGAAATTTTTTATTACGGCTTTTTTTATGTAAGCATATCTTCTTTCTTAGAATTATAATTTTAAAGAATATCAATTTCTTTTGCATTGAAATTCAATGAAGCTTCGCATCGTATTTTCTACTACGAGTTCGCATCTTTTTCCAACATAGTATACTATATTAAAATATGAATGTTTTTATCTACTTTTGTCAATAAAAATATTCGAAATAGGTTTCGTATGCGTTGATGGAAAATAAACAATTGAAACTGATGGTTCATCAGCGTCAATCAATTCGTCAACATCAACATCGATATCTTCAATTATTAATTGCTCTTTCGATGTTTCAGTTTCATTGGTATCAATGCATGTTGTTGAAGAATTATTCTTGATCCGTGATTCTCTTTCAGATGTAATGAACGAAATAGAATTTTCGTTGTTATTATATTCATTTATTTTTTTTGGAAATAAAAATGAATCTTTTTCTGATAATCGTTGATTACTATTTGAAGATACGAATCGTTGTTGAAAAATCTTTTTATCACTTTTATCGTCCTTTTAAATGAAATACTTCTTAGAAAAATTTGTATTTAAACAAACTAGACTCACATTATCATCTTCTGATATTGATGAATCATGTAAAGCTGATCCAGATTGTGGCATAGCGGACATGTGTTTTGCTAAACTCATTGACTTTGGATCATGACAAACAAAAACAAAATCTATTTGCTAATGATATTTCCTATCGAATGCAAAAAAAGATAAATTTTCATTTACCACAATAACAATTTCGATCTGCATCCTTTGCTGCAATAGGTAAAAGATCTCCTGTGCCTCGATAGATAACAACACAACGGCCATGAATCAATTTAATTGTTTTTTTCAATGATTTCCGTTTACATCTAATTGTTGTACGACAATATCTTGAATCGACTAAATAGGGACCATCGGATTCAGATGATGAAGAAAGTTCATTTATATTGTAAGTATTCATGAGAAAGTTTTAGCTTTTAAAATTGCATAGAGAACATTGCTGATCATTTCTTTCAAAAAAAAACAGAAAAGAAAGAAAACTGAACCCGCAAAATGTTGTCAAGACAATTTTTAAATACTGACATCTAGATACAATGAAAAATATGTTAAAAAACAAAATAAAATAGCAAATTTTACGAATAAAATAGTAAATTTTACGAATAAAATGTCTAAACACGAGGATAGATAATGAAAAATCTCGAAGATAATTATTAGGAAATACGTTAAGTTATTGCTTAGCAACTGTAGACGCAAAAAAAGTTCTATGAAATAACAAGTCGAGCGAGCAGCCAGAAGAAAAAGAATAAAAATTTTGTTTCATTTAGTCTTATTTTGATATTTTACAAATTGAATATAAGCGACGGGTTAGAGAATCATTTTTTATTTTATGTGCTTATGAATATCTTTGTTGTGATGACGTTCTTATGCATGTGATCACAGTATTTGACTGCGTTTGATCATTTTTTTAGAGTGTCTAGTTTTTGAGTGGTGAAAACATCCTCTATACCAATCTCTGTTTGCCTTTTGTTTGTATACTAATAATAATGGGTTGTGGTGCATCTGTTGTAAAAGGACCCGGTAACCGGAAGAAATCTTCAAAACCTATTGGTCAACAATCAATAGTTCAAACAGCGATTATTGAAGGTTTGGTGTGTTTTTAGTTTACTTTTCTATATTTTTTATTTGATCTTGCTTTGGTTTGTTCTCGATTGAACTTCAACCTAGGATATATTTTTCTCTCGATGTATATCTATTAGTTACAATATATAGGTTTCCTTTCTTCTTCTCATTATTTAGCTGTACCTATCATGGCTTCATTACAAAGTCTGATGGCACCTGGTGAGCATACAGAAGATGAAGCAACAAAAAGGGTACACGTCATAGATATAAGTGGTGGTTCATTTCCGGAAAATTTTGAGGGTCATATTGAATGTAACGATATTGTTGAATTTACAACCAAAGGAACAGGTGCTTTCGACGTCGTCGAAGTATATAAAGATGGTGATGATTATTATCCAGCAGTAAATGGTTACACATTGCGTAACATAAAAAGTCGTTCACCAGAAAATGATAGACGTCTGATATTTCCGTTTGCTCTGACTCAATCTGATATTGAATTATATTTTTGTATTATTCCATCATTGCAACGACAAACAATAGAAAAAACACGTAAATGTCCAAAGGCTTATTGTGAAAAAAATACTCTTAAAGTTCACAAAGCTGAAATAAAGTTTTCTTTGACGGATGAGAAAGAAGATCAAAAAATTTATTTACACAAAGGTGAAAGCATCGATATTGAATGGATAACAACACGAAATCCTGGTTACCGCATTGAAGAAAAAAAATATTGTCCTGTATCTGATGGCCTTTACACAGTTGATCGATCATCTGATAATGTATCTACTCGGTATTTATCTAGAGGCAAATTTTCTAAAACGTTCACTGAATTGGGCATGTCATTTCTATGTCGTATGAATGATAAAAATCAAATTCATGATATAGCTGCTTGTATTGTTCGTGAAACATTTAAAGTTAAGCATATCGAAATAGCTGATGATAAAATTGAACCAAATATTATTTGGGTACAACAAAATGATTTGGTTAGATTTGCTTGGAAGGGAAAGCGTAAACAAACTGTTGTACAAATTGAACCATTTACTGTTACTGAAAGTAAACAACAATCGATTGAGGTTTATACATCTATATATTTAAAAACAGAATGAAGAAGAAAATTGAAAATGTTTCCATTTCTAATTTAGCTTAAAACAAGCGATGAAAACTTTTTTTGGCCGCATGAACCATCACGTCATGGTTGTATGTATCATCAATTTGTTGCAACAGGAATATATTGTTTTAAAGCTGGCGATAATCAAATTGGTACAATCATTGTTGAACCTCATAGAAACATTTATTCAATTCAAGTTTTTGGTGATTCATATAGTAAATTAAAAGAAAAGAAATATTTTGAAGAAAAAAATAAGTATTATTTTCTTCGCTTTTAGCTCATAAAGTTAATACTAATGATTTCATTCAATTTCATTGGAAAGCTACCGATGCACAAGAAGAACTATTACAGATTACTATGGATTCAAATTCATCTGTCGTACCAGATATTGCTGGTGGCCTTACTGGAGTCTTTGATTGTGGTAAGTAGAAATAAGAAGATTTTTTTAAAGCTTATCTATTCCAAAACTGTATATGAGCATATCTTTGTATGCACACAAGTGGTTGTTAGACAATGTTTGCTTTTGTATTCGAAGTACAAAAGTTGAACGAAAGAAAAAGATCAATATCGTTTTACTAACAGACCCGTAGAAAAAGAAAACAGAAGAACAAAGAAAAAAAGCTTTTTTTCACATCATTGATTAAACGATCGTCATAGAAACTTGGTTGAAATTTAAGCTTTTTTTGGCGCTCGGATCGATTCGACGGTTATAATCGAAAAGTGAATTTTTCAATTAACAATACTGAGTAATGAAAATTGATCCACACACTTTTATACAAATGCTTGAAGTTAAATATAAAGAAAATTGTTTCTCTGCTAATATGATCTGTTGAAGAAATTCTATTCTTTACTAAATAATTGAATCGTATATGTCTATAAAATAGTTCCTCAAAATATAGTATTCGTTTTTAATTATTATCTTTTAGTTGATTTCGAGATTTTAATCTGTTTGCATAACATAAAAGTCTGTCTGTACAAACAGTAATAAGTAATAAATAGTATAGTCTATTGAATCAATATAAACATCAAACAAGAATTTAATTATATTCATTCATTTTATTTGTCTTGAAAAAATATCTTAAAAGTATCTTTGTCTAACAGGCAATCAAGATTCTACATAATATATATAGATCAGAATCAATGGAAAAAACTCAAGTTGTCTTAGAAAACAAAGTCTTGAATAAACAAAACAAAAATTATATAGACGAAATAAAGAGTAAAATAGATACGAGGTTAGAAGATATGCTATTGAACTGAACAGCTATTTTCTTTAGTAATAATTATGAATTGCCGAGAATGAAGCTATTCTGATGAATCTTCATGCTGAGTAAAGATGCGTATCTAGGATTGTTGTTGTTTTTTAACTCTGTGATTGAGAAACAATTGCTAATTCTCGATTGACTCGGCAGGTTAGAGTATAGAGTAATTAAATCAGTATATCTTAAGTTCAGAACAGCTCAAATTAAATCAAAGATATTAAACGAGTATGCTAGAAACGAAAGACGAAAGCAGTGTAGATTATATCTTGTTATTTTTGTAATTTCATCTGGTTTTCTTTGAGTTTTTCTAAAATGATTTCTCTATTAAAGAAATGCATGTTTTTTTTCTCGTGTTACTTAGAGAAATCAAGTGTGTTGTTTTTGTTTTTGAATTGCATCGATATTCTTTCGTTAGCTTTCTGTTTGGATATAAAGTCGATTTGTTTTTTTGTTGTTATATAAAAAGAATGGGAATGTTTCATATTTTTAAATATCATTTTAGCTTTACACAAATGTAATAAAATCGAACAAATCTTTCGTCAATATTTTCATACATGCGAAATATATCTTTTAAATATTCCTCAACATGGTCTCTACAATTTTGCTTATTCCGACAAGCCAGAGAAATCTCTTATCAGTGTTATTGTTGAAAATGGCGTTGACGTAAGAGAAGATTTAATTTGATAATTTTGTTTTCAATAGATAAAAATTCTAATTTCCATAAAATAGAATCACCGAGTTGCATATAACGAAGAGAATTCGTTCGAACCCAATCCATTAATAGTAAATCGTTTTGATCAAGTTTGGTTTGATTCGTCATCAGCAACTATTGCTGCTATTTATCGAACAGACGAACTCGGCAATCCATATGAATTAGAAAAACCGCTGTTTCAACCGCAACCAAATAGTATTAATTATTACATGCAAGAATTTCAAGCTTTAGGGGTTTATTATTTTTCAACCGATATTAATAGCAATAATAAAAAGAAACAGGAACAAAAGCCAACTCAACCATTAGCTATAGTTGTGATACCTGAAATTCGATTTCATTACAGATCAATTGGTAAAGATAATTTTGATAGTGATCCGATCATAACAAATATAAATGATTTTGTTATTTGGCAATTTAACGAAATTATTTCTCATCGATCTGTACAATTAGCACCAAATGAAACATACGAAGAATTAATAGGCTGCCACGAACGAGCTATTCCTGGAAGACATAGACAATGTCTTGCTATTGAATGTACTATTCCAGGAACATTCTTTTTTGCTAATCCAGGTAAACTAAAAATCACAATTAAATGTTTTCTTTTTTTTTAATCATAAATTTTACTTTTTATGTTAGACTTTGAAAGAGTCAATGGTTCATTGGAGGTATTATTTATAAATGAAAATATTTTCTTTTCTGAAGTTTTTCTTTTTTTTTTTGAAGAATCGTCTATTATCAACAATTATTATTGATCCACCGTTTAGTCATAACTGTTTTGTTACAAGTGGCCATGGCTTTGTTCCTCATGTTTTGCATATCTCAGAGGTAAACATCATATTCAAGTTTTTTAATAAACGTTTTTTTAAATTGTTACACATAGAACGATACTGTGTCATGGGCATTATGTAACAATGAAAAAAATCATCAAATTTCTGTACAATTGGGTGAAGCTGACGAAGGACAAGATGAAGTAATTTTTTGCAGTCTTCAATCTATTTTCAAACTATTTCCACTTGAATTTAATCTGCTAGGCGAGTTTTGTTGACTTGAGTATTGCTCAATATGTACCTGGTGTTTATCATTTGCACACATTTAAAAAACAAGGACAATATACTGTTCGATCCAATCGGTTTCACAGCACAGCAACTGTATTTGTTTATTCAGAAACTAGCATTCGAAATGAAAGTGAGTATTTATTTATTTATTTTTCTGTTATTTCTGTAGTTTCAAATTTCTATGTTGAATAGAGAGACAACTTCAAGAACCTAAAATCCTCGAAGAGATTGATACTGTTAATGAGTTTGGTAAACAAATTCATTTTACTTGCCCGAATCGAAATGCAATCCTTTATTATACTCTCGATGGTTCAATTCCAACCCGACGCTATGAGAGTGTTTTAGTAAATAATTCATGATTAAACAGACAGAAGAAAAAATTTTCTTTTTCTTTTTCATTGTTTGATTTAGAAATATGATCCAAAACAAGGTGTCTGTTTGGTGGAATCGGGTTTGCATATTTTACGTGCTTATTCAACTGAAGATAACAGACTATCGAGTGCTATTATAACAAGCAGGTTTGTTGTTCTATATGAAAAATAATCTGAAGTTAAAACGATTTAGTTAATCATTGTCATTAACAACAGACAGACAAAAAGATACTAATTTCTTTTTCAAGTTAACAAATTCTATGGTCGTTGTGATAATCAGAAAATTGAAAGCCTTGTTCAGGGTAGCTTAAATCGAGAAACGATATCAAGAACTTAAGAACCAGTGAAACATTAAAGAAAAAGAAAATCAAATAGATCAGCAATCATTGACTAAAACCACGAAAAAAAAACATAACGTTTGGTGAGGAACAGTTTATATAGTCTTTCAGTGGCATATCTATATAGTGTTGATTGCATCGGAAGAATAGTCGATATTTGATAAAATTGAAATCATTCAAAGCTCAATAATTAATTTAACTAGTTAACTGGTTGTATCAAAAAAATGGAAAAAATAAAAATTGACTAACTTTTGAAATCATGCTAATATACACTTTTCATTCGATAATACAGCTAGTATCATACATAAATTGAGAGTTTTGACTGTTTCGTATATCAACCGTAAAAAATCTATACGACTCCTGTTTAGAATGTACAAAAGTAATGATGATTCACCTGTGTAGACATACATATAAAGGTACAATTAAAGCAATTAGATGATAAAACGACAATAATCCTAGATGAATTTTTAGCAAACAATTGAATTATATGAAAAATATAGTTTAATGATGAGAACGAAGTCTTCGTCGGATGAGAATCTGAAAACTTAACTAATCAAACAGTAATTCAGTCCAGAATCAAAAATTTCTAGTCAATTATTATTGCATTAAATAATTTTCTTGAAATAAACGGCCTAATCTCGAAAAATACACGTCGATAGAGACTGATTGTATGATTACTGTTATTCTCTGCATAGCTACTTAGAACGCAAAAAGAATTCTACTTTAAGTTCTTGTAACAATACGTCAGAACCCTAAGATATATTGTGTAATAGAGATTTGTTATAAAACCTTGCGACCGAAAATTACACATGAAAGTATGATTTGTTGTGAGCTCCGAACTTTAAAATATCTTATTCGTCGTTCATATCGTCAAAAAATAAATGGTTGCTATGTACATTGACACTCTATCAAAACTTTTATTGCAAAATTTATTATTTTTTTACTAATGCTTCCAGTCACATCGGTAAATAAAGAGAAAAACAAAATTTAATTATTCTTATTTTGTTACATTGGAATTTTTATAAGCTCGCATGATTTTCGATTTGCTTTAGTCCAACTTTTGTTATGGAAAATAAAGAAATTGAACGAATGAAAGTAAGTTAATATTATTTATGCGGCTGAATTTTTTTCATTTTCGTTTTGTTTAATTATTACTTAAAACAAAGGAACGTCGAAAAGCATGGAGTAATACGAAGATAAAATTGTCGGTTTCGTTAGAACTTCCAAATAAAATTTATGGAACCATAACAGTTGAATCAACAACTACAATTGATTTTATTGATCATTTTGAATTATGTATCAATGATGTTGCACAAAAAGTAAATATAAAACCAGAAGAATTAGAATTTTCAGCACAAGGCTTTGCTGCTGGAGAACAATATGAAGTATTTGTCACTGCTCATGCAACAGATGATATTTCTGATGTCGAACCGATTGCATCAAATAAAGGAGTGAGTATTGTTTTCAAATTTTATTTAAAATAAATCGAATTTTGTTAAAAATTTGTAATAGGGATTTGAAATACAACGAGAATATGAAGGTGGTGGGCCATTAATTAGTTTAGCTGTATCACATGATCAAAGTACATTGCTTTTAATGTGGGCACATATTGGTGATCATGTTACTGAATATATTGTTTATGTTGATGATGTTGAAACAAAAATTGTGAGATAAAATTATTCTTTCAATTTATATAGAATTTCTCTCTCTTCGATTTTTAAGATTACTGACCGAGATTTCAGCGATTTCTTTGCTATTCATTTTCATAGTGCGCAGCAACGTAGAGAATATGTACTGCGCGTTGAAGCAAAAATTAAAGGTTTATCGCTGAAACATAAAAAAGGAAAATATTATATTTTTGTCATTTTGAATTTTTTAGATAGCACTGAAAAACGTAAATCAAATGATATCTTTGTCACGCCACCATTAGATCTGCCAGTTAAGAACCCTGCGCTTGATCGATATTTTCCTTATATTATAATTAACGGCGAGAAAACATCACATAGTGCTCATCCAACAAGTAAGTTAATAGTTTGATATCACATGTAGAAATGCTTCAATAATTTTTAATTAATGAATCTTAAATGTTATCGGTTTCAAAATAAGAGAATTCAAATATTGGTTTAATTGAGAATAATATGAAAATAATAACAACAGATTTTATTTTTCTCAAAAACAAAAAACAACTTATTGCTGTTCGAATAATTTTATACGAGATGATTGGTTAGATTCTCTAGTAAATTAGTACGGATACTTGATGCACCAGAGAAGTATCACGAAAAAGTCTTCAATGATCAAAATAAAAAACGATTCAATCAAATCTAAAATTCTGGCAATTAATATTATTCAGCATGTGTTTGAATTGGTCTTCGATAAAATTAATTTGAACAGTTTGCTTTGACAATGCTCACTATATTTTAAACTATTGATATGACTTTTATCTTTAATAACTTGAAATCGAAATCGAAATCGAAGCTTGAAGTAGTTGCTTTCACATCTCTAAAATCCATGGTACGGTTTATTTTCACTTCAAGCAACAACAACTTCGTACCAAATAAATAATTTATTCCAAATTAAAACATTAAAGATCAAAATCTGACTTAGCAAATAATTCTTCCTACTCTATATTTATAGTATATTTTAGATTATTTCTATGTAATATATTCTTATAATCGAACAGTAAAAATATGAAAAACTAAATTTTTACAGTTTACGAAGAATATTTCTTGATGTTCGAACGAAAGGACTGTGCTAGCGTAAAAATATATGTTCTATCTGTTCAGATATTGAAAAACTTTTATGAAAAAGTCCAACGAGAAAACAATTAATTCTTTTAATTTCCTATTCTCGATAGACAACATTCGATCAGTGTCAACTTGTTTTTCCATATCGATTTTAAATAAGACTAATTGACACACACACATAATAATTAATAATCAAATATCTTAGTACATCCCATTGGAAATTTAATTGCTTGATCAATCTAGTATAAATCTCATAACATTTTTCTATAAATATTTCTAATTGAAGAATCATCAAGATTAATATCCATACGATTTTAGTCTTTATATATTCGCATACACCAAGGATTTTCACCTCTATAGAATAGTTTAGAACGTCGAACACAATAAATTTTATAAAAAAAAGATCATATCTCTGTATATATATCTTTCATTATATTACATTATATTAAAGATAAAATCAATACTCTCTAATTTTGAAATCGATAACTGATAGTAGTGAACCCAAGGATAGGCTCAGCTAAATATCAAATCAAATAATTTTTCAGCTACTAACTGCATACAATGCTTGTATACTAATCATCTTCTTGTGTGATTTGTTGATGTAAACCGTCGAAGAGGCTTGCAGGAGCGCAATAAAAGCTGTTTTCGGTAGAAAATTTTAAAAATCAAAAAACAAAGCTGACATCAAAATTTTTATTTTTCTTTTGTCCATTTTCTAGAGGGTTCGGATCGGTTATCTTCTTCAAAATTATCTATCAGAAGTTCTTCTTCTCTTCCGCCTTCTTCGCGTTCTCCTGCAGCCTCTTCGCGGGCAAATATTCATATAACTGATTTGAACAAATCATCAGTAACTTCGAACGAAATCGTCCGTCATCAACATGACGATAATCATGATGATAAAACTAATAAATTAACAGAAGAAGAAGAAGAAGAAGAAGAACGGCCACCGCAATCACCTATTTTCGATGACACATCCGTCATATCAGTAAAAATTGACAAAAAAGCCGAATATACCACCACTACAGAAAACCGAAATAAAAATTCCATTTTATCTGAAGCAGATAAACATCGAGCACAAAATCTTCTTGAAAAATTAACACAAGCAATTGAAAATCGTTCAACAGAACGAGATTTAAATTCGACACATACAAATAATTCATTCGTTCGTGCTCAACGTCAGAAAGATGATCAACTTCTTTTACAAAGATCATCAACATCTACTCATGATCCATTTACCGATAGACTTCCACCGAAACCCCGACGACGTTCATCAACACTGAATAAAAGTTCAAATCAAAACGATGATTCAATGCCTAACGATACTACATAATTTTGAATTTTTTTCTATTAATTGATACGTTTTCGTTGAAATTTGCTTTGCATCTAATCTATAATATACGCATTTTGATTACAGTTTCAAAAAAAATGAAATGATTTCGATACTGATTTCAGAATTTCAGGAAGATAAGATTTAAAGCGCGAGTGTTTTATTTTAGCCGTTGGCCTCGCTGGTCTTCAATATCGACGTCCTGAAGCAAATCGAAAAATTGAAAGTCTACCGATTGTAAGTCATTCATTTCATCGCAAATTAAAAGCAATAAAAAAAAGTTCAATTTTCCCTTTGATTAAGACAAATGGTTTACGCAAATCTGTACCAACAATTGTATACAAACGTAATCCAAAGGGTATTACTCTATTTTGGAAGATAAAATCGCCAGCCATGTCTGAGCATGTGCGATCCTATCGAGTAAGATGACAATTTGAAACCAGTCGGTGGTTTGACGTTTCGATTTTTAGATTATGGTTGATCAGGAACCATATGGAAAACTAATAGAACCAGATGTCGAACCGAAATTTCAAATAAATCTTGCACCAGGAAGACATAAATGCCAAGTAGAAGTCTTACCGAAGGAGAGCAACGATGAAGTCTTCAAAACAAATACTCTCGTATGTTATCTATCGAATAATCTAGTAAACTGCTTGAATTTACGATAATCGAATACTAGATCAGCTATCAACAGAATATCGTTTGTTTTTTAGCACTCTGCTTCTAGTCGACCACAGAATATTTTACTAAGGAATATAACTTCATATGCTCGCATCTTTTTGAACTGATATGCTTCTCATGGGCAGACCTTGATGAGCGACAAATAGTCGTTGAACAATTTTACGTTATTTGGTATTCATTGGCGAGTTTCGCGTCGTTTGATTGTTTTTCCATACATACGAAAGTGGTGCCAAATATGTTTTGAAGACTATTAAAAAGAGTAGAACACTATAGATATTTTGCAAGTATCAATTTATTTACGACGAAAATTTATTAGATTTTTCAAATTCTTAACCTTAAAGAGTTCGTAGTTGATGAATCTTGTTCATCAGATGCAAGTATTTATCGTATTGTTGAATAGTATGCACTCGACTTAATACTAAAGTCATGAAGATAAATAGTTTATTTTCTAATGTAGATGGCATAAAAAAGAAATGTTACAAGATTTAGTATAATTTAATTATCATTAAATTAATCATCAAAACTATTCACAGTATTCTACTTTTCAATAGTCTTCAAAAGCATTAGCTATTACTTTTATGTATTTGGAAAAGAGTCGAACACATCAACAGTTACCAACGAATGTCCATAGAGAAAATTCTTCAGAAATTTCTCATCTCTCAGCAAAACTTGATCATAGACAAAGAGTTTCTACTCGAAAAGATACACACTAGAAAGTGTCTTCTTATCGAACCGTATCGTTAACTGAGTACATTTGCTAGTAGTATTACCGTTTTTGTTTTCTTCTAATTTCTACTTCCTTAAAATAGACAATTGACATTCTACCTGAAAGTGGCTTAAAATACGAACGTGCACAACAGAGAGAACCATCTGATATTCCTGTTAATGTATGTAACTCTCTTTTGTTTTCTTTTGATTCATGCATATAATTTTATTCCTACAAAATATTTTAGAGTGTTCTTGAACAAACAGATGCCCCGGTACCAAAATTAAATGTGCAAACAATAAGTCCATCGTCAATTCGTGCACAATGGTATTTAGATCGAGCATTACCAACAAATGTATTTGTTGCTCTCTTTGAACTTCATATACGTGGTCAAGACTTTCCAGATCATATGAGAAGTGATGAAAAGTAATTGATTTTATTTTCAAATATAATCATATTATATAGTTATACGGACGTTTCAATTGTTTCAATTTTAATTTTAATTTTTAACATATAGAATAGAAAAGGATGGCTACACAGAGCATGCTTGGTATGTAGTAAATGCTCCACTTGAAATCCAAGGCATTTCGGAAGAACAGGAATATACGTAAGAATATCCCAACACTGAAAATAGGACAATTTATTAATGGAATGTTATATTTATTTTTTTCTCGTAGATTTTTTGTTCGAGCTTTATTTCATGCTTACGAATCAAATGATTTAAATTATGTTACGACAACATCAGATGAAGTCATAACACAAAATTATCATGGACTTATTGAATTGTTGACTCGACCATTATTACAAGTAGCCAGTATTGGATTACAAATGGCTACTTTATCATGGACACTTGATAGTTCTGTCGATCAATCATTAGTTAAAGGATATCGTATATTTCTAAATTCAAAACCAACTGAAATTCTTCTACCAAATCAACATGAATACGAATTCCGCAATCTCAAGCCAGGTATACACTTTATTCAATACTAAAAGAATAGCTTCTATGTGACTCACATTTATTCTGTGCAAAAATATTCGACGTAAACTTTACTATTTTTTCTCCATTGTAAATATCATTCTCACCAAATATCAACGTATTAGATCATGTTCCATACCAACGATGAATATCAATCAACCATTTTAATACTGCCATGAATCGTAACTAATATCATTGTGTAGAAATTTTAAGATTAACAAGGACGAAAAACAAAAGAAAGGGTATAGACTTGAGATACTAATATTTTGATGATTATTAGTGATAAAATGTTTTCTCAATATTACAATCAGTACTAGAACCTCAATTTGTAACTGTTTTACTTGATAAAAGCGTATACTCATAGTCATTCATACTTGCATCAAATTTTGCTAGTTTTCTGTTTTTTATCATATCACGAAAACAAAAACAGTGGTATTATTGTATAATAACAGATAAAAATGAATTCAATATCACAGGTCTAAATAACATTGTACTTCTTTTTATGAATCAAATATTTTGTAGAAGAATTTAATTGTACTAAAAAACGATTTCTGTCAATACAATAATATATTCTATAGGTACCAGCAATGAAATACAAGTATCTGTTACGTCTGATCCAGATTTTGTTGCTGAGAAGACCTCTGAACCTATACGTCTTATATGCCCTCAACGTCCTCAAGCTCCAACAATTCAAGCAATGGAAGCTGAGAAACCGTTTTCAATACAAATACAATGGACTATAAATAAAGATGAACAAGATGTAATTACTTCATTTAAAATTTTTCTCGATGGGAAATTACATGGTGTAGTAGAAACCAATGGACGTCAATCATTTAAATACGACTTTCTTAAATTAAAATCTGAACAAACTTATACAATTTATATAAAATCTTTCATCGAACAAGCAAAGCTTGGTGGTTATTCTTATCAATGTGAAATAGAATCAAATGCGTCCAATGAATTATCGTTGAAATGTGCTACTCCACCCAAAGGTACAATGCCAAGAATCGAAAGCATGGATTCAAATGGTATTGCAATTGTTTGGGATCCACCGGCTGAATATGGAGATGTGAGATTAACTGTAGGTTATCATTGACTTTGCTTTATTTATATCGTCTGAAAATTAAATAATGCTTAATAGGGATATGAAATATTAAAAAATGGTCGATCTCTTGGAAAATCCTTGTCAACTGATAAACAACGGGTTTTAATTAATGATTTAGAAATTGGAAATCGATATTCATTCCAAGTTGTACCAATAACAAATCAACCAGGCGGTATTTTACTTCGAAAAGGAGATGGTTAGATTCATAATTTATTTATTTTTGCAATAGGAAGTTCTCATTTTTCTGTATAGAGTATGATTCTGATCGTCACAGTCATTATTTACCAGGACCAAAGCTAGAAGTAGAATATACAGATTTAGTTCTGCTTCCAAAACGATTTTGGATCGAAAACATTACTGGACATTCTGTTATAGCTTGTTGGTCTCCAAGTAAATTTATTGAACAGTAATTAATTAATATGATGAATATATTATTTAGTTGATGAATCGAAGTGTTCAAGTCAACAACCAGATCATTATAAACTATCAATATGGAAAGATAGTGATTCAACATCTGATACACCTAAAGTTGTTGAATTACCAAGTAAAATACCAATTTGTTCTTATTCATAAAATAGCAGACGATGAACAAAATTCTTTATTCAATTCTCTGTATAATATACTGAATAACTAAGAATTCTATTGTTTCGGATTAGATTTAAGTTGGCAAATATCTTCAAGATATTTCTGTTATATATATATATCATTTAGTTATCGTTTTGTGAAGGGGATATCTAATCGACTATATAAAAGCTTCGTAGATATCGGAAATTTGCTTAACATTTAATTAGTAGCTATTTGACGTTCGATTGTATAGAATTAAAATTGATTGAAACATACAATTATTGATTGTTTTAGAAATATCTAAAACAATCAATATTAAGGGGTTGAAATTCTTCAAACTGATATCTATTGCTAGAGTTTCTATTAGCACTAATAAAGATGATCAAGCAAAGTTAGTGAAATTCTAAAGATGCATTATTATCGATCTTTAGAGTCAAGTTTTATGATCATTCGAGTGAATTTTTGCTCCAAATTTACATACATGCTAAGAACACTATTAAGTATCAGATGAAGGGAATCTTTTTTCGACGTATTAACTTATAGCTTTAGAAAATTCTTCAGAACATTAGATCGATTGATGAGATAAGTTTTATATGAACACTCGATTTATTTTGATTTTTTCACACGTACCTAAAAGTGAATCGAAAGTATAGTCAATAAGACCTAAACCACTTTTAAGGATTCAACATAACAAACTTCTTTTGACTTTTTCAGTTCCTATTGAGACTTAATGATAAAAATCAATATGATTAAAACCTGCAGGGAACAATTTCAATGATTTTCTTCTTAGAAATTAGATATACTTTAATGATTTTTGTCTCATGTCTTTAACTGATCTGTGAAAAATTTTCCTGTCACAAATGAAAATCTGAATCATATATTTCAATTATTCTTTTTTATTCAATTCCATTTTGAAAACGACGGAACAAAATGAAATATTCTATTTGCATCTTTAGACGACAAGACCGACGTATCTTTGAAAAGTCTTCAATCCAAGACAATATATAAAATTCAATTAGAAGCCATAAAAAGACGACGTCATCAAACTTCTAATGGTATTAAACATCAATAGAAAAATAAAATAAATTAACGCTGTTTTTTTCTTTAGACTCGTACATGTTGTCGGCGAAATCAGAAATATTAACTTGTGAAACTGGTAGACCACCGGATGTACCATCAAATATTTATCGTATTGCTTGTACAAATACTAATGCACGTTTTAGTTTTGATGCATTCACTGAACGTAATGCTGAAATAATAGCATTACGTGTTAATTATAAGCCAACGTCTACTGAAACAAATCCTAGAGAAATTTCAATGGATATACCACCTGATTCTACAGAATTTATTCTATCAAATTTAATTGAACGCACAGAATACGAAGCAACTATTTATGCTCTAACTGAAGAATATTTATATGAAAAGCATTACCAAGATGTTTCACGATTGCCACTAAAGTTAGAACCATCGGATTGGCTATCAAATAAAAGTTTCCAATTTCAAACCAGTGGATTTGAACCCGTCAGTAAAATAAATATTAAACGAGCAAACACTGAGTTAATAGAACTTGAATGGACATTGCCAAAAGTTTATGGTTCAACAAAATATATTTCTCAAGTACTTCGTTGGAAGTTAGAACATGGTGGTGAAGAACATAGTATTAAACTTGATCGAAATACGAAACAGTATACAGTACATGAACGATTGCCATCGGGTTCCTATAAAATTTCACTAGATTCATATTTAAGTGTAAAAGTAAATCTTGAAGATGATAATGATGACACAAATCGAAAAGAACTTCGCTTAACAACAACTGAAACAGCATCAGTGCGCTTTCATGCGCCAGTTACATGTGAACGGCCAGAAATTTATTTAACGGGTTATACAACAGATACCATTGATTTAGAATGGAATAAACCAAATTTGTTTAGTATTATTGATCATCCAGAAAAAGTCAATGAACAACTTAAAATACATCGTCGATTACTTGCCTATCGAGTTGAGATTAATGGAAGACAACAAAATAAATTAGAGGGGAACCAATATAAATGTACATTAACTAAATGTCAGCCAGATGAAGAATATAAAGTTCAATTATGTGCACAAACTATTGTTCAATATGAATATATGGATAATATGGTAGATAGCAACTAATATTTTGATTAAAAATTAAAATTTCTTTTCTTTTTCTAAAGATAACAAATGGTACAGATGATTCTGACGAACCAGATGAACTTTTGTCTAAACCATTAAGAGTTCGAATGTTAAAGAGTCAAGGTAAAGTAAACACAAAAATGAATTCTATTAATTTTTTATCCTTATTTTCTATTAGATCTACTTCGTTCATTTCAAGCTAATTTTGAATTTAATCATAATGATTCAAATGAAAATATATTTCAAAGACAAAATGAAATGAAACCCTTAGGAAAAATCAATGTCAAATGGGAGGTATCAAATTCGAAAAATATTTTACATTATATTCTTCAATGGCATTCATCGAAAGATTTATATATTCAACAGAAAATTGTAAAAAACGATGAAACATCATCTACTATAGGTTAGTCAAAAATTGTTCAACTCTTCCCCATCATGCTGTTTCATTATGAAAATACATATTGTTCGTACAAAGATGATATTCTATTACGAGCTAACTTCTCGTAACATTTGTTGAGAAAGCCAAAATGTTTTTTTTTCTAAATTTTCTAACTTTCAAATAGACTTTATTGGTGTAAATACCTCAAAGAAAATCAAGAAAACTTTTGCTCAGCTATAAAACATTTGAATAAGAAAACTATTCATCTCTTTAATCAGAAGTTAAGGTTTTGAACGTTAAAATTAATTTACATATTTAAACACACATGCTGATATTTCTATTATACGTGGTAAAATTCATTTTGTGAATGACTCTCTGTTGTCAAGAAACTGATAGGGGTATTAATACAAATTATTTTACAAAAAGAAAATTTTTTTCGTTTTATTTTTTTCTACATTTTTAGATGCATTGGATGAAAAACATCTTTATTCTATTGGCATCATTATTGTTACCAATGACAACCATAGATTGTCATATGAAGAATTAACTATACCAATTCCAGGTGAACCAGATGCACCAAACTTATGGCTTGTGAAAACATCTGATACGAGCTTCATTGTCGAATGGTCTGAACCAAAATTATATGGTATACCTGTTATTGGTTTTCAATTATATATTGAAGGTAAAAAGAAAGATGATATAATTCAAGTTAATTTACGTCGTGCTGAAATTCCATCACGCATTAATCGTTCATATCAAGTCACTGTATGCGCTTTAACAAACAATCCTTCACGTCCACGTTCTGTCATGTCTGCAACATTATCTGTTATAACAACACCAACAACCAGTCTTATTCCAACAATGTACTATGACAATGACGATGGAAATGCGACATCATTTGATTGTAGTGTAGCACGAATTATACCCTTAACTATTGAATCGGTCAACGAGGAAAAACTTCATATCGATTGGACATCATTTTTACCTACTGAAGACGTACGATCTTATTATATTCATTATACATGTTTGAATAATGGAGAAGTAAAATCAATGAAAGTGTCGAAACGATTTCGCCATTCTGTAAGCTTAAAAACAAATTCTAATCTCTAGGAAAGCAATCAAATTTTGTTTTCTTTGACCAGGTTTTACGCGGTTTGAGACCAGGTTTCACGTATGGAATATCTGTGATAGCTGTTAATAAAACTAATGGTGTTTTATATACATCAGATAAAAGTACTGTTCAGATGAATGCTCCACCAAATGCTCCAATTGTTGCTATAAGGTAATGTTTAGAAACAAAAATAGAACCCAAGAAAAAAAATTTTTTTAATTTAATTTTAGTGAACGTACAACAGATCATGTTAAACTTGAATGGCGTCCAGCAGCAAGCTATGGTGAAATTACTGTTGTTGGTTATAAAATCTTTGTTAATAATCGTTTAGCAGCCATTCTTGCACATGATCAATTATCATACACATTAACCAACGGTCTACCGTGTGATATATATATAGTACATGTTCAAGCATTGAGTAGTGACAAAAATGTTCTTAGTCCAATGTCACGTGATATCAAGTTTGCATGGCCTGGCGTTAAACCGGGCGCATTCAAACGTATTGATGACGGACAAACAGGATCTGTCATTGTTGTTTGGGAAAATCCTCAATTAGAAGACGAAACAGAAAGACTGCTTGGATATAGAGTATGAAAATATTGTAATTTGTAAAAGATCAATTTTCATGAAATCGGGAATACATCAAACGATTCGTTTTTAAAAGAATTTCTAAACGAAGAGCAGAAAAGAATCAAAATATTAAGCTTTTTATTAAATGACTATGAAAATCAAATCAATCTTTTGAATAATTGGTTAAGTTTTACTCTTAAAATTGCTATCGATTAATTCTTATTTCATGATTAGTTATAAATTTATCTTGAATTAATTCAGTGTGGAGATTTTCTTTTTGAGATCAGAGATTTTTTTATCATAATGTTTTGAGTGAAATTCATAAACTGGGATATCTGATATGTATAGCTATTTTACACAATATGTATATAAGAAATTTGATAAACTGCAGGTTGCTCTTTCTTCCTTCTATCATTTAAACAATTCTGCACTTACATAATTTTAATTATAAATATGGCATAAATTTTTTTTTTATTTATTCGTTAGATACGTTCGGAAAATGTTACAACACTTGCTGTTCGTTCACATGGTGAATATGATGCTGCTACCAATCAAGCGACAATCCATAATTTAACTAGTGGGAAATATCGTCTTTGGCTTGAAATTCAAACTGAGAATCATTGCGTTTGTGCTCGACCAATTATAATTGTATCTGGTCGATTTGGTTCACTACGTAATCGTGCATCATCATCTGATGCAAGTAAATGCTACATCAAAAACCAAAGACGGTAAATTAATAATACAGTTTTAAAAAAGCATAAAAATAAATCCAACAATGTTTTACATTTTGCTTCTATAGATTTCGTTCACCAGCCGTCAATAACATGATGCCTCCAATTCGTCATACTCAATACTCATAAATGAGAGTGATCAATTGATGTGAGAATTTATTGATAAAACTTGCCTTCTGACCATGATGATCTTATATTGTGATGATTTTTTTTCTGAATAAATGGATTTCAATCAAATATACATTTCATATTTATCCGTATTAAGAATATTTTATAATAATCTTTCTTTTTGCACACTTGACTTTATTATCAAATAGGTTTATTTTCTTAACATATTTGTCTCTTTTATATACGCTTGTTATAATATATATATTTGTGTGTGTGTGTGTGATCACGGATTTCTTTCTATTGTACTTTTCAACAACAATAAATGAAAAATCTCATATATTTGTGTTTCCGATTGAAATCATATGAAACGAGATGTATCACCGGTCAGCTTGTGTATCCAATGTTTATTTTTAACTAGATCTCATATCATGATTCTATCGTTATGCACACAGGCATCATTTGAATTCATGACACTAACCATTATAATGATCATAAACATTAACAAAACAGCTGACGATATGACGATTAAATATTAATCAATCTTCATAGTTCAATATAACATATTATATAAAAATATTATCAAGATCGATAGTTTTCAAACAAGATATTCTCATTGAATGATCTCTAATACTTAGAAAGTTGATGAGAAACATTGCTGTTGATGTTTGATTGTATGTTTATGTGAAGCAGATTGTCTTTTCATATAAAAAGAAATATTATTGAATAAAACCATGTGCTTTGTCTAAATATGACTTTTCCACTTTCGCGACACTCAAGTCACGTTTTCAGTAATTCTTCTCCCAACTTTAAAAATATCAATAAAGACGGAAAGTATTCTCTTGATTGACTCAAAAATGTTGTGTATCAACTACATTTTCATTGTTTTTGTCTTTTTTTTACACGACATTTTCTCTTGTGTTTTCTCTTTTTTAATCTTCCTCGTTGTCAGTCGTATATTCTACTTAGATACCATCGCTTTTCTATGATCTCACAATAGGAAAAAAAAGAGAATCAACCATATCTCCCCAATATCGAGCAACGAGTGACGCCAATAAACTTTTGAGATTATTTTAATATTATTGAATGTAAGTTCTCACTTTATTCAATATATTTTTGCTATATTGTTGATTTTTTAATTTCAAGAAAAACTAAAAATATGACACGACGTAAAATTCTTTTCTTTGCTTCAAAATCTTATGATGAGAAAACATTTAGAGCAGCTCTCAAATCATTAAATGGTCAAGATAAACTGCATTTTACTTTTCTTGAGAGTAAATTGAGTGAAGAAACAATTTCCGAAGCTCAAGGTTTTGATGGAATATGCATTGTTAATAGTGATGCTCGTAATTCAAAAGTCATGGAAAAAATACACGACATGTGTGATACTGTGAAAATAATTGCTTTAAGAAGTGCTGGTCATAGTGGTTCTTCTGTTGAAATAGCTAAACAATATGGTCTTCATGTATGTCGTGTACCAAGTTATTCACCACATGCTGTTGCTGAACACGCAGTTGCTCTTTTATTATCACTCAATCGTAATATGCATCATGCATTTTTCCGAACAAAATTACATAATTTTAGTTTGGACGGTCTCGTTGGTATTGATATTTTTGGTAAAACTGTTGGTATTATTGGAGCTGGTATTGTTGGCATGTGCGCAATTAAGATCTTTTTAGGATTTGGCTGTAAAGTTTTAGCTTACGATATTAAACCTAATGAAAATGCTGCTAGAGAACAAGGTTTTCAATATGTAACAATCGATGAGTTACTCACAGAAAGTGATATTAGTATGTAAAATATAGAGAGATTTTCATTCTATAGCATGAATTTTTATTCTTTAGTTTCTCTTCATGCGCCATTGAATGATTCAACCTATCATCTGATTAATCGAGAAGCTTTAAATAAAATGAAATTTGATGCAATGTTAATTAACACAAGTCGTGGTCCCCTAGTTGATGCAAATGCTCTTGTTGACTGTCTAAAGTCAGGAAAACTACGTGGAGCTGCACTTGATGTTTATGAACATGAAGATAAATATTTTTATAAGAATTATAGTCAACGAGTAGGATATAAATATACGTTATAAAATTTTGTTTTTCATATTTATTTTACGATTCTTTTATTAGATTATGAATGATGATATATTAGCACGTTTGATTTCAATGCACAATACAATTGTGACATCGCATCAAGCATTTCTTACAGAAGAAACATTGAAAACAATCGCAGAATCTATTATTCAGAATTTTCTTGAGTTTTTCAATCAATTACAAACTGACAGTGTAAAAGAGTAATACAAGATTGATATCCAGCCGATTCTAATTCATTTTTCTACAATTCTAAGTGATAGTATGACTAGATGTATACAAAAATATTTTATGCCAATTGAATTGATTATAATCCTTTAAACCATAGACAAAAGTGAACAATAACAGGATTGTTTTATTGTTAGTTTCATGCTCGGTAGATTTTAAAAAAAATAGTCAGCTTTTCTGTGTATGCCTTATTTGTTGTCTAAAATATCTTAATACACTGTTAATAGTTCAAATGAAATTAATTAATAAAGTATCATATATTTCAGAAGTAAAACATTGTTTTTGTCTTTATTTTATTTAATATTTGGGCAAAAAAAAGTAGAGGTAAAAAGTTAGTTTTTTTCGTCTATTTTTTATTCAGACAAAGACATGTCAATATTGATTTTATGGTATACCAGCTTCAAAGCCAGCTAAAGCATTAAGTTCATGGCAAAATGTAAGATAATCGATATCATCTCGTCCACCAACACGAACTCGAAACTTTTCTAATAAATTATCTTTTTCAAAACCAGTTAATAAATTCATTAGAGAAAGATCATTTAGTACGCGTAAAAATTGATTTTGTGTTACATGACCATTACGAACTCTATCAAAATCTTCAAACAATGGAAACAATTGTAGACGACGTGCATGAACCTTAATTTTTCGTTCAAAATTAAGCAAATATTTTTATTTCTTAGCAAACAAAATGGTACTTACACGTTCAGCGAGTTTAAGCATTAAATTTCTGACACGGTCTTCCTTGTCAGGATCTAATCGAATAGTTGTTGCGTCTTTGAGGGCTAAATATTGTTCTGATTCGACAAGTGGATTTTTATCAAGAAAGTCTGTAGTAAAGATCGATTCAATTTCATCGCAGAATTTTCGATATTCAATCGAATTCGAGTCAGTACGTGATCGATAACTAAAAATGAAATAGAAATCAGTTGTTAGTCAGTAAAAAGATTTTCAATGCAATGAATTATTTGATGAATTCGTCCAAAAAATAGAATGAAACTTCCAGAACTATGAGTGAAAAATATCGTTTTTCACTAAATCTTAAAAGGAGACTTACAACGATATTCCGATTGATTACTTCCTGATTGATACAAAAACAAACACAGAAAAAGTATATTATAATGTTGATTGGCATTTGTGCTCATTAGGGGTGTCAATTTACAGTTATTTTAATTTAAATTTAACTTCGTGAAAAGTTAATTTAATTTTAAATTAAATTCTATCAAGTTAAATTTAAATTTTCAGAATTTAAATTTTATTTTTGAAAATTTATTTCTCGATTTAATAAATTTTTTTTAATTTAATAAATTGTTTGCATTATTACACATCATTCCTACGAGAGAAATACGTGACTTTAACAGTAGTAAATACTAAATGAGAGGAAAACCTAGTATTTTAGGTTAATATTTATTCAGAATAGTCAAAATTTCTCTACAGATTATGCAAGATCCGTCATCTTTCTTCTTCAGAATATTGGGATACTCATAAAATTATATTTAATAGCACAATTCATAGAAGAATGACTAGTTTTAACTTTAGAAAACAGGGAACATACTCAAATTTGACTTTAAATAGTAGCAATCAGGTCAAAAATTTAACTAATTTGAATTTCAAACAATTTTATTTAAATTTTTGAAAATTTAAATGTGACACCCCTAGTGCTCATCTAACTAAATCAAGTTGACTTGTTACAAACTACGTAAAAATAGTATTTTTCGATGGTAAAAGGATTTCAAGATCTTTATCTTGAACTTAATTTGAGCATAGTTTCCTTCTAATTATAGTATAATAAACTAATTTTAGAGATATGAACGTGTTCATACATTGTAAGTTACATTGAAAAATAACAAATAGTCTGATAATCAATTATATCTAAGTAATGAAAGCATCTATTCTTGACATCAATAGTATGTGTTAATTGGGTAACGAGCGTTTACAATTATTGATAAATTAGTCTAGTTTAGTAAAAGCATCCTAAATCTAAGGCAACCTGTTTCATATGATTTTAATCAAGCAAGTTGATCATTTGTTATTTATATCATAGCTTCTAATAATCAAACGACAAATGAAATAAGATTGAGTATTGCGTCATGCTCGTTTGATTCTTTATGATGTTTAAGTATTGTAGTTAGATTTTGTGACTTTGTTAGCTACTAAACAAGATTGTTTTCTTCGAGTATTGTACGAATGTTAACAACAATCAATTTGATCGGTACGATATTGTTTGTCTCCTCAGTAATCGATGAGTAGGATCGTCGTTTTAAATAATAGCTACTAGCCTATAACTATTGTCGGTCATTAATATAAATGATATAAGGCTTTTTGTATGAGATGTAGGCGCTCGTATAAAACAATTTCTCGTTTCGTTAATTGCTTTAATTAAAATTAGAAGAGACTAATGTTCATGATTTCTTTTTCTTTTCTTAGTGTTTTGACGTTATTTTCTTATGAGAACCTGTTGCGTTCTAAGGAAGTTATTAGTTTTGACTTCAGAAATTTAGTAAAATATGATTCCTATTTTATCACTGAAAATATTGGATTGGATAACGCAGCATCCGTCTTTCGAACAACGATAATAAGCAACGCTAAGTCGGCAAAAAAAAACTGGTGTTGTTTACCACTATATCGATGATGGTAACGCTTTTAACTAGAAAGCAAAAACATTTTTTTGTCCTAGAATCGTTGCCATAGGAGAGTATCGTTCTGTCTTTGTAAGTCCGTCAAGTTTTTCTTTTCCTTTTCTGTTCTGCACTATTAATACAACAATTCGGTCGCTCTATTTTCCTCTTTCTATTTTCACTCATGGCCTGCCGCTTTCTTCGTCCCTCATTTATGCCACGTAGTTACCAGTTAGGCTATATTTCTCTAACAGAAAGAGAAAGAGAGAGAAAAGTCATTTCTTATCATTAAACTAGAGAAACAGGAGAAAAACAACATCGACAAATAAATAGTGTGATTCAGTTCAACCGAGCACAGTAAGTTTCACGCTTATTCAATAGATTATTCTTCTAGAGATAAATTTCTATTTTTGTTTTACTTTTCTTTCGATACATTAGATGTCTATTCATAAAGTTATTGTTTTCGATTCAAAACTATACGATGAAAAAACGTTCAAATTAGCTTTAAAATCTTTAGGTGGCCAAGATAAACTTCGTTTTACTTTTCTTGAGAGTAAATTAACTGAAGAAACAGTCGATGAAGTTCAAGGTTATGATGGTATCTGTGTTTTTGTCAACGATGTTGTTAGTGCAAATGTTATAGAAGAAATACAGAAGAAATCCAATACACTGAAAATCATTGCTTTACGAAGTGCAGGATTTAATCATGTTAGTTTAGAAACAGCTGAAAAATATAATTTAAAAGTTTGTCGTGTACCACGATATTCGCCGTATGCTGTTGCTGAACATTCAGTTGCTCTTTTATTATCGCTCAATCGTAATATGCATCATGCTTTCTTTCGAACAAAACAACATAATTTTAGTTTGGATGGTCTCGTTGGTGTCGATCTTTTTGGTAAAACTGTCGGCATTATTGGAACAGGTGGTATAGGTATGTGCGCAATCAATATATTTTTGGGTTTTGGTTGTAAGGTTTTAGCTTATGATGTTTTTCCAAATGAAAAAGCAGCGAAAGAAAAAGGTTATATATATACAACTATGGATGAATTACTTCGTGAAAGTGATGTTGGTAAGAGAAATAGTTCGTTGTTTTTTTAAATTCTCATTTGACAATTATTTTTACATTTAGTTTCAATCTATGCACCACTTCTTGATTCAACTTATCATTTAATTAATAAAGAAGCTTTGGAAAAAATGAAACCACACGCCATGTTAATTAATACAAGCCGTGGTGGTTTAGTTGATGCAAAAGCTCTTGTTGACTGTCTTAAGTCAGGAAAATTACGAGGAGCTGCACTTGATGTATACGAAAATGAAAAAGAATATTTTTTTAATGATTACAGTCAACAGGTAAAACTTATTTAAAATTAACTGCTAATGTTTTTATCTTTGAAAAATTTGTTTCTTTTAGGTTATGGAAGATGATACATTGGCACGTCTAATTTCAATGCCAAATACAATTGTTACATCACATCAAGCTTTTCTTACAGAAGAAGCTTTAAAAAATATAGCTGAAACAACCATACAAAATTTACTTGACTTCTTCGATGGCAAACCGCTCAATGAAAATAACGAAGTCAAAGCACCACCAAAAGTTGCACCGAAATAAAAATTTTAACTTACTAATCTTCAAGTAAAGACAATTCACTTTCTAGTAATTCTAATTGACATGGATTTAGAGCACGACGAAATGTATCAAAAGACATGCGACCACTGTTTAGTTTATCATGATCTTTAAGCCATTCGTAGAGTCTTATACGGCGCCGAAATACCTTTATAAAATAAATTTAGTTTTGTCTTATATATTAATAAAAATAGATTAATAAATATCTTTACTTGTCCTTTAATTTTTTGTAAAACATCTTGAATACTTGTTACAGGTTTGATTTCTGGTAAGACTCGTTGTTTATTTAAATTTTTAAGATCTTCTTGTAAAATATTATAACGCAGTGGTTCAGGACGACGGGGTATAATCCATTCAAGAAAATGACGATAAGCAAATCCATTATCGTCAATAAAAGCTGCTTCAACGGCTTCTAATTCTTTTTCTGTATATGTTAAACCAGCTATGGCTAAACATTGACGAAATTGCAAGCGAGTTACATGACCAAGATTGTGTCTAAAAATATTGTTAAATCACTATGCTATCATTTTTGTGTAGCATAAATACATATAATCCTACCAACTACATGTTTTGAAGTTGCCTATTCTTTTATTTTCTTTGTTGTTATCTCGAGAAATAAACATTTCAAATACTCGACCTAGTATGTCTTTCTAGGTCAGTCAATCGGATGATAAGATTTTATATAAATCTAGTCTGCGATATTATAATATCGAATAGAAATTATATAAAATCAAATCATCGTCTTTGAAATTTTACATCGAATTCCACTGTAAAATTCTTCGAACATTCTCTCATCACATGCGACTTCCTATAGCTGTTTAGGTTTATCTCATGAAATCACTACATATTTCATGAATATTATAGTAGGATTTAAACTAGAATCTCAGAGAATACTACTTGATCTGACTGAAGAAATTTTACATGTAATGTAATTGAGTGGGATAAAAAGTTATGAAAGTCAGTTGCTTATGAACACTTGCAGATGGTGGATGATAATATACTAGGAAATCAATATGAATTGATTTCTTGTTTTTCTCAAAAGAAAAAACCTAGTTTACGATGATCCCAACATTCACTGTTCTTAGTCATAATAATAAAGTTTCTCTTTTCATCTCTTTTTTTTAATAATTTACTTATCAAATTGTTGAAACGGTCGAAGAATATCGATACGTTGTTGTTCGCATTTTGCTTTCCATGCTTCCATTGCTTGATGTAATTCTTCTTTATTGAATGGATCAATATTAGACCAGTTGGCTGTACCAGTTGTAGGCATTTCATAAATAGTTTGTGGTGAAACTTGCACATTAGGTGCTTTTTCCAAATCAGATAATGTAAAAACTAATTAATTCAATTATAATAGTACTTCTTAAATTTTAATCTAAATTATGTTATATACCTGATTCAACATCTTGTTCAAATTGTTTCCATACAATTAGATCACTGTGTTCTGGATGACGATAATGATTGCATAAAGCATGCATTTGCGCTTCAGTCAATGGAATACCATCAAGACCAGTCAGACCCAAACTGGCCAAAACACGAATGAATCGTGATTGGCTTATTGTGCCTAAACGAAGAGGATCGAAATCCTCAAAAAAATCCTTAACCTATTGAATAAGAAAAATATGCCATTTATTGAACGCATTCGGTTATCTTTTTACATACACGAATTCGATTGATCAGAACATGGTGTCGAATACGGCCCATTAAATCTTTCAAATTAACATTCGATGTATCAATTTTGATTATTAATTTTTCTCTCTTTTGTTCTTCTTCCATTCGTGCACGTGCAAATGTAAATTCTTCTTCTGGTTCAACTTTGATCGCCACAAAATCTATTTAAAAAGAAACATTTTACACATATATGATCGAACATAAAGAAATAACCACCATTGAATTATTCATAGTAGAGAAATACAAGATAATAGACTAGATTGAATAATTCTATGCTACCTACTTTTTAAACAAATCTATTTCTTATTAATCAATAGTACAATTTTATGATGGATTTCAGTCTTCATAATTCATTAACTGCATTGTTTCAGACGTATTCTATAGATATTCCAATTAGAAAACTAAACCTATCAAGTTCAACATAGTTTGTTTTATGGATATTTACTGACCAGATCTAATATTATTTGTAGGGAATCTATGGAGCTGACGAAGTTACTAATTGAAGGTAATGCCTAAGACAAAATTGCCAAAAGGCGAAACTAGTATTGTTTTCCCTTTTGATTGATTTTATTACCATGCAGACTACTCTGAAAAAGTCAATTGTTTTACAGGAATCTTTCTAGTCATTCTTATATTAATAGGATTTACCTATTCGGAACATTCCAACGAGTCCATCAATTTTTTGCTAAATCACAGTACACAATTCAAATTCTACAACGACCTATCATCAGTTTGAACTTTGAGTATGATTTTCAATATAATTAGAATTTAGTTCTACTAATAATAGATACAGTTAAAATCATAATTTTATTCAATGTCATATGAAATTGACAGCATGAAGTTTTCTACTTCTAACAATTAGTTCTTCTACTAATTCTATATCTTACCCTGTTCAATCATTTGACAGAATAAAGCATAATTAATATCGCCTGATTCTCGATCTTCGAATTTTTTACAAAGTATATTGAAATCATAGGGTGATGGAATTAAATCAAGTGTACGAAGTACTCGTCCAAATTGATGTTTTGTACAGGTACGTGTAAAGGCTTTACTCTAAAAAAAAAGAAGAATTTATAAATTTTATTTTCAAAAAGTAAAATTTACTCGATCAAATGGTTTAAAAAATGGAAACAGAACTAAACGACGCTTTAGTACTTTGTCAATGATACTATCAAGTATTTGTGATACACGATCTTCTTCATCTGGTGTCAAATTAGTATTCAGTGGCTAAAAGAAAAACGAAACTTCATCACGCAAACAGAAATTAGACGTTTCATACTTTTGATAAAAGTCCTCGCCCTGGTCGAGTAACTTGTGTCAATGGCTTTTTCTCTAATTCAGGAATATTAAAGGCATTTTCCATCATATCAACAAATTCTTTATAATGAATGCGACCATCGGGTCTACGATAGTATTCCGTTATTTTTTTAATATCATTCATATTTAAAAAAGCTTGTTTTTGTACACTTAATGAGAGTGCACTTTCAAATTGACCTTCGGTGATAATGCCACTACGTAATTTATCATAATCTTTAAAAAAATCTGATATCCTAATACCATATTTAAATGTTGCTATACGAATTTTATCTAAAATTTCTTGAACTGAACGTTGTTCAGGCTAAGAAGAAGGAAAAATATTTAATTTCATTTATAGTCACTAGAAATTATAATTACTCTTTCTTCAATACCAACAACTACAGTATTGTCGGTGCCAGTAGTATCAGTTTTAAGAAATGTTGTTTCATTTGTACGTGACAATGCATTCAGATCTTGAACGAAATTTAAATAGTTGATTAAACCTGGCTTTCCTGGATCAGAATATTTATCTCGAAGAAGTGTCATTTCAGCTTCAGTTAATTGTGGTCCAACAAAGGCACGATAAAATTGACTATCAGTTATTTCACCCATTTGATGTTTATCATATTGTTCCATGGTTGTTAAAACATCAATACCACGTTGCTTACAATAAGTAGCAATGCGTTGAAGAACATTTCGCAAGCGTTCACTTTCATCTTGTGTACCTATATGGCGAGTCGAGCGCCATGAATTCAGATATGGAGGAGCCGCATTGGTAAAATTTTCCGGATATGGTGTAATCTTTGTTTCAGGATATTCTAAAAGTGAAGTTAAATATAAAAATGAAAGTCATCTAGATAAACGAATCAAAATTGAGGAGATTTGACAAAAAAAACAACTTCAGATTGATTTTCAATCGGTTAGTATCAAGTATTCTTTTTTCTTCTCGAAAAATACATTCAGTTATTCATGAGGCGAATGACTTACTTCGATTAATTACATCACAGAATTCTCGATAACATATTGTTCCATCATGTTTAATGTCATATTTTCGAAAAAGTAATTCTTCTTCTTCAGGTGATAATAGAAGACGAAGATTGGTATCAAGACATCTAAATATGAAATAAAATAAACATAGGGTTCTTTTTGTAACAACAAAAGCAAAGAATATCAATAATATACCGTTTGAACTGTGATGCTGTAACAAAACCTGAACGAAGACGATCGAAATCGTGAAAAAACTCGGTTATACGAAGACCCAATGCGATTGTTTTAACACGAATTTTTTCTTCCGCCAATCGGAGTATTGTTTGAGGATCTCCGGAAGACGTCATCAGTGTTGTAGTAAATGTATTCGGATTACTAAAACGAATGATAAATTCAGAATAAAATCTCTATAATACATTGAAAATTTTTTTTAGAATTATTTCCTTTAAGAATCAAACATGATACAATGATCAAAGTTGTATTTCAATCTAGCCTATTCATAATAAGTAAATGCTTTTGAATACAGAATGTATCAATTGCAATGGTAGATGTTCATTTGATTATCTCAATCAAGACCGTAGCGAAAATTTTCACAACCATTTCACTAATATTAATTATTTGTGCTCATAAAACGATTTTAGTGTTACAAAATGATTGATCATTAGTGACAACAATGTTAACCTATGATAGAGAAAATATTCTATTCATGGTATCATAACGAGAAAATTTATACAATTGAAAAAAAATCAGTTAAAAACTGTTCACTCACGAAAAACCAATGTTTCTCTTGCACTCAATAGTAAGTACTACATTTGTATTCATGTTATTAGTAAAAATTGCAAATTATTTGCTACTTTCTTAATTTATTTTAAAGATCAAATAATCTGTCAAGTTTTCATACCAGTTTGGCAAAGATTCCACGCTGACAACCATACTATATTCGTTGTTATCTAAATCGATGTTTTTGTATACATAAAACACCTACAAAGACCATTCACATTTTCAGTCACCTTATCAACACCTTTCTCAATATGTTTTTTCATCTGATTTTCATCACATCAATGCGTCTAGAGGTCGTTGATTGTCGTTGGTGAATCATCGAATTTGATTTTTTAATTCAAAACTAAATCTTTTCAGGTGCAAATAGTTCTGTTTTTAAAACTGAAGATATTACACTGATTTTGGATTTAAATTGTATTACTTACGTTAGTGAAATCTAAAAGCAGTTGAATTTTGTCTGTTAAAATCGGGTATTTAGAATATTTATGATGATATTCTATGTAGATTATGACTTTTAATTAAATAGCTATTAAAATCATAGTAATATACCATATGAACGATGAGATTTGTTTTATGGATATTTTGTTTAAGACTTCATCTTTTCAGAAAATGAATTAAATTTTAGAAATTTTAGAATACAATCGAGTCTTGATGACATTTTCGAGTGTTCCAGCAATTGAAATATGATTTTTTTATTTATTATTAATTATTTATATTCGTACAATTCAATTTAGCATTTATCACGAAGATTATCATCTAATAAAATATTAGTTGGAGAAAAAAAAATCTAACGCAAAAATAAATGGTACGTATAGAAAAGAATGTCTGTCTTCAGTTAAATTCAATTTCAGTCATTCAGTGTAACCTAATCAAGACAATGTCTGAAGTAATTTACTACAATGAATACTTGACGACATGATGAGAGGTCATTAGAATTCAATACAAGAATAAGGTTTGATTTTTAAAATTGATCGTCATCATTATATCATATATTTTCAAGAGCTTAATGGAGTAATCGTAAAAATCTAAAGAATTCAATAGATGTTAAAGGAAATCAATAGAATAAAAGAATTCTAGCAAAGCTTCGAAAGTAAAAAAGTGCTTACAATTAGTTTTCTTTAACTATTACTCTAAGTTTAAGTTGATTAGCTGTTTATAACTACAACTCACGGTATAAGAAAAAACCTTGAAAGGATTAATGCTGCTAGGCCTGTCTTCTCAAGTAACGACCATTTTACTATGATTTCACCCTTTCGCAGAGCAGTAAAAGAAAAATTGAGTCAAAATATTTTAATCCGACAATTTTCTCTGAAAAAGATTTTTCGATACTTGTTACTTCCTGAAATATTCTGACATAATTGATCATTTTTCTTATGATATCAGATTATCAATCGACATTGATTTTTTTCAACGTGTCTTGAGGAGAAAGCAAGCATCGTTTTTTAATAAGCGTGCCGTCTTGAGTTTATTAGATCTATTTTGACTGAAGATTTCTGCAAATAATTTTAATGAAGAGATCTTTTTCAAACAAAATTTCATATGAAAATTATTTCAACGAATTTTTGTCGTACTTTTTCTGTAATAGACTGAAAACTAACTATTTTGATCACACCTCAAGGAGAAAAGTCTAATGATAGATGTTTTTTAAGACTTTGAACCACACCATGACTCATAATAACAAAATTATTTACTCGAGATTCTCTGTGGATAAATAGATGTGGCTTTATGAATAGATAAACGAGAACATCGGTTTCACTGCAATGCTGCCAGGTAATATATGCAACTGTAAGTACTACATATCAAGTAAACATAATTCACTAGTCATGGATATATATGTCGGAGTTGACTCTAAAATTCAGTTGACTTTAAAATGTATGATGATAAAGTTGTTATGCATTAATCGATAGTGAATAGTTTTTAACTGATGGTAAATTTTCTGTCTGAATTTAAGAAAGTATTAGTCATAAACTATCGAACTATCATTATATTTAATAATGAAGGGTTTTTTTTACTCAAATTTAGATGCTGATTTGCATGAGTTGGATATGGAACGAAAAGCGAAGCGCTTGAGGGTGTGGATGTGAGCATGAGTACATCTGAACATGGTAGAAGACCCACGCCCACAATAGAAAACAGGGCTACTATAAGAAAAATAATTGAAAATGCTATAAAATATGTCATAGGGATAAATATTCAAGATGTAGGATTTCTTAAATCATTTTTTTGTATATTAATAAGGGATTCTAGATTTTTTTTGTTTACTATAGTTTATATTTTCTGGATCTCACATGTATTTTTGAAGAAAATGGTGAGTGTAAGGTTAAAGGCAAGGTTCTTGTGGCTCCTTCGCCTCTCCATTGCAGACATTAACAAGCGTGAAAAACTAAATAAGACATTTTATTCTACCGACCGATTGTCTTGCAACACATTTCACACTTTACGTATTGTGTAGTAGTAGAAATAGGTGGAAAGTCATACGCGATTTCCACATTTTAGCGTCAAAGGGCTGCGCTAACTAGCTTTTTCTTCGATGTTCATTTGTTTCTCTCAATCTAATCTATTGAATAAATGCTATTTATCATATTAATAACAATTCTATCATCATACATTTTAAAGTCAACTAGCTCTACTCTAGTTGACTATTGAATTTTAAAGTCAACTGAATTTTACAGTCAACTCCGACATATATATATATATATATATATAGATATAGCTCGATGACGATCAATGATCAGAGAAAAAAAGACAGTGACGTTTAAAAATCGTTATGATGTCAATTGACCGTCTGAAAATTTTTAGATAGTTTAGAGAATTGGAGAGTTGTAATGTTTCTTTCTGGAATCCTTTATAAATACTTTATCTGATTAGAACACATTGAATCGAATTATTCTAGATCAACTGCTCTTCTTTAAATGGCAAAAGGCAAAATAATATTTTTAGAAATAAGTAAAATCACATTCTTAATGGATGAACGAACATTTTAGTATTTTGTTTTTGAATGAATCTTATAATTTGTTTTCAATTCGTTTTACATCAAACATATTAGAAAAATCTAGTGATGAATACAATCAGGTATCTTAATTCAGCTATTATTCTTGCTGAAAAGAATCTTTTTCTTATTATTAAGATGATAATTTAAAAAAACGAACAAAAGCAAGTATATGGTAGATTTCGCTTTTTCTCTCATAGAAAATACTTCCTCAGTTTAACTGTTATCTCATAACAATTTATGATAAACGTTTAATAATAATTTTTTAATGTGTTTTTTCTCTTGATATAGAAAGCTAAAAATTTTGATTATATACACATTGAATGACTTAAAAGTCACAATTATTTAAGAAATATAAATAAGAAAACTACTGATTTAGTTTAATGAGCAACTTCTTGTCACTTTAAAATAGAAGCAAGTAAGGTTTTCTTCGTAAAGACTCGGTTCATCAAAAGTGCAGGAAAGTAACATTTTTAATGACCCATTAAAAATTAAACTTTTCTAATGTAACAGAAAATGGATTCTATACACGAGAACAAAATGTGAAAGAAAAATTGCAGTATCAAAATGAATTATAAAGTAATCTGAAGTCTATAATGGTAATAGAAGCTCAACTAGATTAAAAAGTAGCAATGTATAAGCGACGTACCATAGAAATAGGTTTATTTTTGAAAGACAGCCGTAACTGTGGCTGTTCCTAAAAGATCAATGCGCTTCGTCTTTATGAATCCAGCCTTATCTACTCTCTTTTTTTCAAATTAATAAAGCAATTTTTGATTAAGTTCAATGAGTTACCTATTTATCTCTATCGGTCAAATGATCATGATTTTTTAAACCCTATTTGCATTGATTCAAGATTTGTCATGTTTAAAAAACCTGAAACCTCTTTGCATAAATCAGTATTGGAATCCATAGGCAACATTAGAATGCATAAATTCTTTGCTAAATACTTAAAACTTAGTCAACTGAAACCTACTGTAGAGTTGGTTTTTATTAAACTTCCACATTAAAACATTTGTGTCGTGAATCTTGCAGATTTTATCATAAATTCTCCCTTGAATGTTTACCAACTAGAATTACAGATGAATTTTGTTTTGTATATTTTCGTGTTCAATTTTTAAATCTTCTAACAAAAATATATTGATTGTATCTCATAGTTCGTAAAATACTCATAGAAAAGTACTGCATGTATTATTACAATTAGAAAAATAAATTTTAAAAAATCGAAAAAATCCTCGAAAGAAAAGAGTGCAAAATCGATCAACAAAATACTTTATTAATAATAGTTGTACATCGAAAATATTATACACCATGTTCGGATACATGGAATTTTATTATAATTAACATTTTATTTTTAAATAATCATCTAGTAAAATGTCTTGTTATTACATGCTTATAAATACATGTATCAAATAATCAGCATATTACAAATGTTGAATAGAAAAAATCTTTTATTTTAATCCTGTTCATGCATTTTAGTTTAAGATAGAAAGCTAATAATTATATGACACTCTTTATAATGTATACAAACAAAAGAGCAAAGTAGATTGTTTGTTTATTTTGTCTTTGAAATTTCCGAGAATATGGAATTTAATAAGGACATTTGAAGATTTTTATATTTTATAGATAGATTTTGACAACAGAATTAAACATATCTTTAAACATTAGGATTAATAAAACTTTTCTTTATCGTTTGTTGCATCCTTTCATTTGTTTAATGGGTTTTATTTCAATGTACGGGTAAAAGAAACTTTATCGATGCATCTAGATTTTCTATAGATCGGACATTAGAATAACTAGTTTCATTTCCTTTTGTTACTAATTTTAATGTTACGTAAAATGTGTATTATGCAATCTCATAATCATCTTACCGGAGAATGTCGTTTTTCCTTCGTTACTATTGAAAACTCAGCCTTGTCATAGCCAGCTTTTTGTTTGCTTTAATTAAACTATGGATTGAAATATAAAAGAAAATTCTTTACATAATTGACGTATACGATTCAACTGACAAGTGCCGTCTAATTTTGTGAATAATTCATATCGGTCATATAGACAATATGTTGTTTTTTACTATGAAATCATGATGTACAGGAAACAACATGGAAAAAATACATTTCTGCTACGATGCTGATTGAAGCATTGCTCTCATAAAACATATTAGCTACAGCTTCTTAAAATAATTAAATTCATACGTGGGAAACATTTGCAAGTTTATTTTAAAATACGTTGTTGTTTTCCAACGCTTTTAATTTATAATGTTGCTGATGGTAACGAAGATAGGAGACGTAATAGAACAAACATTATCCTATTTTTAGACAGCATCTATTCTTAGTAAGTACACAAAAAAAGTATTTGACAGATATTAGTTGTTTTTAGTCTTATATTTTATGAAAGATAATCCTGTCTCTGTGTACTAGCAATTCATGACAGATTATTGTGATTTTTCTAATAAATTGTAAAAATAAATACCATTTATGACATATAAAATATTATGAAAATAACACATGAATACAATAGGATAAGGTTTATTGAAATTTCTCATATATTTATTCGACATTACTAAAAAAAACTAAAAATATCGTATATTGATTCGTAAAAATATTGTTTTATTAATATTCATAATATTGACGTTATATGAGCGTTTTCATTGCTGGTTATGACATAAATAAACCAACACAACTTTTAGAAGATTTGATATAAGTAAAAAATAGCTTGTTTTTATCTTTCTTGTTCTATAATTTCTTTTAGTAGTTTTCCTTTTTTTAAAGTTTATCAATAAAATAAATTGCGATTATCTTATTGGTTTTGTCTTCATCGGACTGGCTATTGGGCAGTCTCTCTCTTGTGTTGTTCTCGATTTTTTTTTCTTTTCTTTTTTCAATGCTTTCTCGTTCTCTGTTTCATTCAACATTAAAACAACAGATTGTATATAGTGAAAGGCGGCCTCCTGCGTTGTGACGGCACCGGTGAGTGTGTATGTGTAAAAAAAAATGGAAGAGAGAAAAAAAAAGAAAAAGTTTCGTGTTACAACTTTACTGTTTTCTCTCGTTCTGCTCGCATGCCAACCACGACTATAGACGTGCACGCTTTACCTCATCTCACCATCTCGTCGATTAACTTTGAAAGCTCAGTGATCGTGTGTGCGCATATCTTCTCTTTTATGTTCGCTCGCTTTTTCTTGTTTATCGTTAAACTATATATTCGTAATAGATTTTAAAATTGCTCAGACTTAAATATGCATACTTGATTAGTGTAAGTGTTATTTTTTTCCACATATTTTATATATCTGCACAATGGCATCAAAGAATGGAAATACATACGTAGTTTACACCCCCATTTTTACACTCAGCAGTCAGTTGACACACAAATCAGAACGAGAAAAGAACATCTTTACTCCTATAATCTTGAGTATAGTTCATCATTTTACTTGACCGAAAAGGTAATGAATAAACAAATTATGTCAATAAAAATTTCATAGTTTATCCTTATTCTCTTTTCTTCTGTAACACTCTTTTTTAATCATCAATGTCATTGTTTGCTCAGGTTGCTATTTGTCTCTCCGTCGATAAGTATGTATGTTTATGTTTCAGATGTAGATATTTTAGTAAAAATAAATTTTCATATGTATTTATATAATGGCGATAAAACGTAAAGATTTTCAGAAGACGTCATCAATTATACTCGAATTTTTACTAAAACTACCTGATGAAGAAACAAGCTCACGTTTACGTGATACCCTTTTACATGGTCTCCATTTCTTGCAACAATACTATTTAATATTACAAAAACGCGATAAAGAACAAAAACCATTGCAATGGACTATAGAACGTGGTTTAAGTCCATTAACACCATTCCGAGAAGCACCCGATAAATTTGAATGGCCATGGATCGATGTTGAATCAAATAAAGTTAAACAAACAATACCTAAACATTCATTAAATAATTTTGTTAATTTATCACCAATTATTGTAGCTGTACGAGAAGGTGATTTACGGTATGTTAAAGAATTGTTAAATTCTGAGCCTGAATTGATTGATCGCGTTGACTCGTTTGGACGTGATTTATTAACTTATGCCGTACAATATCAACAGATACATATTTTGCGTTACTTATTACTTGAATGTAAACCATCTGCAAATATCAACATTCAAGCTAATGACGGTTCAACATGTTTACATCGCGCATGTTATAGTGATGACGGTCAACAATGTAATGTTGATATAGTACGACTTTTACTAGAAAACAATGCTGATGTCACTAGACAAGATGTACACTTGAGATCACCATTACATTGGGCTGTATTAGCTGAAAACACTGATTGCTTAAAAATTTTAATTGAATACAATGTTGATATACATACAAGAGATGCTGACGGAATGACACCTGCTATGTGGGCATGTCACCTTGATCGTTATGATCATTTCAGAGTAGGACTTCTCTTGTTCTTTTTACATTACAAAAGCTAATGTTTATCTAGGAATTATCTCGTTATATGCATGATATTATGGAGAAAGATGATGATGGACGAACATGGATTCATCACAGTGTACGTAAAACTGAACCATTGGAATGCTTAAAATCTTTATTGTCGTCTGAAACAATGCAATTGCGTGATAGTGAAGGTCGAACATGTTTACATGTTGCTGCTGAACAAGGTTCAGTTCATGCATGTCGATTTATTTTTGAAACGAATGAACAACTTGATAATCCTTCTTATGTACATGAAGGTGATAAATATCGACAAACACCACTTCATTTAGCAACTAAAAATGGTCATGCACGTGTATTAAAAGAGTTATTAGATCATGGGGCTGATCCACATCTTACAGGTATATATATAAATATATATTTTTTTTTTGTTCTTTATTTCTCTATTTGTACTAATATTTCTATGTTTAGATATGCACGGTGTGTCACCATTTGATTATGCACAAAATCGTGGACTTTACTTTTGTCGAAGTGTTTTTGAAGTTTATATGCGTGAAAAACGTTCGAATGGTTTCGATAATCAATTGTCAACTACACGAAGTCTTAATAACAACAGTACAAACAGAAATAATGGATCCGATGTAGCACCAACACCACCAGCTGATGGACGTGCAAAATTTATACGTTCCAATAATCGTCGTTCTTTGACAGAATCATTACCACAGCCTAATCGCTCATCGCCAGCTCTATCTGTTGATGCATTTTCTCGTCCAACCCTTTATCCTAATAGTTCATCAGTTACATCAAGTCGACCTGATGATGATCATCATGGAGATGATGATGAAATGAATCGGCAACGTTATCGACCGCCGTCATCTACAGCCAGTGTTTCAACAACTGGACCGCCTGTGAAACCACGGAAAAGTTCAACAACTCCAAATAGTTCATACATTAATATGTCGAAGCCACAACAAAATCATCGTCATTTCCATCTTCCTCCTTCGCATCATCATCATGTTGTCGTTACAAAAGCTCATTCCGATGGTGATGAAGATGACGAACCTAATAGTCTCGAAGGTCATGGTGGTCAAAGTGATTTTGATGATGATGATCAATCGCCAAGGCCATCAAGACCAGATTCTCGTTTGTCAATACGTAATAGTGACATTCGAATGCAACAACAGCAACAACAACAATCAAACGCCAATCTTCGACGGCCACATTATAAACAAGTTAAAAATGTAAATCGGCATTCGATGTATGATGACTATCGTTTTCTTGATGAACAACAACAACAACAACAACAACAACAACAGCAGCAACAACATTTATCATCACTTGTTAAGTCAAAGCAACAAAATCGCACAGCGCTAAATAAAGATTTTCCAATTCCATCAACAAATCGTATTGGATCAGGTAGCGGAAATCAATCAGCAACCAGTAGACTTAAATCTGGATCAAAATCAAGTTCAAATGAATCGATTCCTACACTTGACTTAACGGTTGCTGGTCAAAAAGTATTTCGAACAAAACAACAACCTGATGCATTCCTTTCGAATTCGTTACCATCAGCGAGTACTATGCGACCACCAAGTGGTCGTCTTAAACCGATTAGTAGTGCAAAATCGACATCCTCGTATACTGATGAGCTGTCGTCAATGTCAAACAAAGCATTAGAGGATGTAACTAACAACGTAAAACAAGCATCACCATTAATACCCAAAACACATCTTTATAAAAAGAAACTTGCACCGCTAGTCAATAGTAATGACATAATGAACAAAAAAAATTCATATCGGTCATCGATTGATCAACAACCGTGTACAGTTGATGATGTACCCTCAGACAGGTCAGAAGAAACAAGTGGAGGGACGAGCACAGGAGGAGGAGGAGGAGGAGGAGGAGGAGGAGGGCGAGACATCAGATCATCAAGCGGCAGTGACAAACGCTCAAAGCATCATTGACACATAATCATTCTTTTTTTTTCTTTTACTTTACTTGAATACAAAAAAAATATCCGTCCAGTTCCTTTCAACAACATATGGCTCCTTTTTTTGTGTATATATTTTATATAACAGCAAAAAAAACAATAATATGTGAATGGAATGAGTGTTTTCTTTTTTTCCTTCTTCTTTGTATGAATTTTTGTTTTGATGAAAGAAATGAACTATAACAATTAACTACAGCAAAAATAAAATCTTATCTTTCTTTTTTCTTTTTCTCGTAGTTTATCATGAACGGTAATATAGATAGCCGTAGCTCTACTAATGGATATTATACTGGTAACGCTCCAATATACCGCAATAATTATACATCTAGTTTTGCACCGAACACTCCAAAAATTTATTTTCGAAATTCATATTCACCAGCTAATCACGAAAATATTCATTTAGAAGAAAATCAAAAATCAAATACTTTAAATCGAAATCGTCCATACATAACTAATTTTCAACAAATACACCAAAAACGATATTCAAATATTGATGAACATGGTTTTGAAAATGGTGAATCCTCCTCATCCTCCTCATCAATAGCATATTATAATCGTGTTTATGCGCAAGTTCGTTCAAATACACCAACTTCTCAACATCAAAATCTATCTATTCCTTCAACAATATCCAAGCACTCAAGACCAGCGTCTCCTCGATCTCAAGTAAATAAATATATGTACAAAGATTAATTCAATTATGCTGATATTTTTTCTTCTTCTTCTTTTGTAGTCTCCAATACTTAGTCTAGTACCAATAGTTAATCATTCTGCGTCGAATTCTTTAAAAGATGACGATGATGATCCATCACTTGATTATCGTCAGTATACAATGGATTCACTGATTCAACGATTAGTACCAACCGATACTTATATACCAAAGGTTTCTGCATAACTAACTGCAATTTTTATCTTCTAAAATATATGTTATGGCCAAAGTTAGAATACAGCCTGATTCAGAATTCGTTTAGTCGAAATTGGAATTCTAATTGCGTCCAGACTAAAGCGGAATTCTGAGTTCGACTAACATGAGCTTGGATGAAATTCGAATTAATTTTTAATGAATAGAAAACAAAAAAAACAAAGATTTCAAGAACAAATCTTTTTTAATTTTATTTAACAAAGAAAAACCTAATTAATATCACAAATTGATGAGCTGGCTAATTCGAGTTCGAATATAAATGAAGAAAAGAAAAGGTTAAACTAAAACCAAAACTAAATCTATTCCTAGATTTGCTTTTAGTTTAACTTTCCGATATATGCGACGTATGAATGCATATATACTCCTCACCAGCACCCACATTTGAGCACTCCTCTATGGTATCCACCACCCACAAGCACAAAGTCCCCCGGGTACTCTTCATCCGCACTCGCACTCGCACCTCACACCTTCAAGATTCAATTCCAATTTGTGATATTTATTAGTTTTTTTGTTAAATAAAATTGAAAAAAATTATTCTTGATTGTTTTTTTTATTGGTTTCTATTTATTAAAAATTAATTCCAATTTCGTCTGGTCTAACTTAGAATTCGAATTTCATCCAAGCTCGTGTTGGCCGAACTGAGAATGCCGCTTTAGTCTGGACGCAATTAGAATTCCAACTTCGACTAGACGAATTCTGAATCAGGCTGTATTCTAACTTCGGCCATAACATATACATTCTATTTCCTATTACTTTTCACCAAGACAAATATGAAATCTTTCCTATGACAGATCTGCAATATTTCACTATTTAATGCAAAATCTTGCAAAATTCATTAATCAAAATCTGAGAAACACTGAATTTTTATAATATTTCGTACTTATTTTTCTCTAAAAACATGCTTTTCGTATAACATAATTCTTATTTCTTTAGCAATCATTTATTTATCCAATGCTTCTATGTTCACGAATGCACATTCAACCCAGTATATTACTTAATAGGTTAGGTAGTTTAACATTGAGTTCAGTAAAACATTTGACACATGTACGTATTAATAAAAAAAATCCTCCTTCAATTTTTATTTATTTTAATTATTTTCACAGGATCGAGCTATTCGAATATTGAAAAATTTTCTTTATGTTTTATCACAATGGACACGTACATTTCCATATGATTTTCGTAATACAGATACAATAACACAGTTAGAAGATATTTTTAAAAAGCTTCATTCTTCTGAACCAAATCTTCAATCAGAAACCCATTATATACATAAAAAACTTCTTTCAAAGGTTTGCATAACATTAAAAATATTTTTTAACGCGTCATCGTTTCTTTTTCTTTGTAGCTAAAAGCGCTAGAAAATTATGAAGAATATATACGACAGATCAATACAAAAGCATTAAACAATATCAGTCACAAGGCATTAACTGTATATCATTTGTTTTTCTTGAACAATAAAAGTATTTATTAATTTTTTTCCCTAGACTGATATTATCAATGAATGCCCAACACCAATTTTATTTGCTCAACAATTAACTCATATTGAATTGGTATTGATTGATTTTAATATAATTTGTTCTTATTTTGTTGTTTTTGTTTTCCTCGTAGGATAGACTAAAACCAATAGGTGCTGAAGAATTAATTCAATATTTCATTATGAAATTATCATCAGAAGAAGCTCGAGCTCATCCAAATCGAACTTTTAATAGTCAAACAGCTAAATCATCAAATAATAAATCATTAGAGGCTGTTCATGATAAGAAGTTAACTTTTTGTCTTGAAACTTATGTACAATGGTTTAATCGTTTAACGTCTTTTGTCACTACAGAAATTATTAAACATACAGATAGACGTTTACGTAAACGACTTATTAATTATTTTATTGATGCTGCTTATGAATGTCTTCGTTTACATAATTTTAACTCAATGATTGGAATAATCGGTAAAATAGTTTTTTTTCTTTTATCAATATTTCAATATTGAATACTTTATCTCAAAGTTTAACTTGACATTATTTCTTTTTCAAGGACATATCTGACAGACCCGATAGACAACTATTGTATTTAATTGCAATGTAAATTTTTCTTTCACATCCTTATAATCTTCAGTCATACGAGATTTCCTTATCAGTAAGCTTTCTTTTATGTTAAAAAGGCACACATCTGAGTTCATGCTTGAATCGATATGGTTAATACGCATGAAAAAAAATTTAATATTTTAGCTATATCTAAATATAGTTTTTTTACATATTCATGATGTTTCTACGATAAAAATGTCCATTCATCGTTTTTATTTTTGTCAAAAATACCATAGAATTTTACACACGAAAATTAAAAAAGTTCACGCAGGCAATATAAATCATAATTATTTCATACTTTTTGTCTCAAATATTCTATGTGATAGGTCATAATCGTTTTATTAATTTTTTATGAATTTCTCTACATATATCATTGGAAACGTTACATTTATAGTTCTCAAAAGTATCATATATCTTTCGAACTACCTATTTGTTTTTTTTTTTGTTCATAATGAATGGTAATTATTCATGTGAAGAACTATTTTGATCATAATATATGCCACGTCCTTAGTGATTTAAAATGCTATCTATGTGGACAGAAAAAAAATTAATTCATATTTTCTTTGAAATACGAAAAATATTAACTAATTTTTCATATAAAGTCAATGTCGATATTTTAACTTTATTCTCTTTTAGGTGGTTTAAATAAGCAACCAGTAAAGCGTCTAAGACGATCGGTGAAAATTTAGTTACCAATATTGTTTTGCTTACTGATAATTAAAATATTTTGTTCTAGTGGGAAAAAGTTCAATTAGAAAAATTTGAACAACTTGAACAATACACAAATGTATCAAAAAATTTTACTAATTATCGACTAATACTCAAATCAGCTGTAGAAGATGCTGAAAAAAATACTTGGGCAGTAGACAAAATAGTTATACCATTTACTAGTATTGTTGTTCAAGATGTTTATTTTATAAAAACGCATAGTAAAGACTACACAGTAGAAGGTGGCATCAATTTGAAGGTTTGCTGTATTTGTTTCTCTTAACCTTGATAGTTAAAATATTCAACCATATTATTTTTCTCTAATAGAAATATTATTCCATGGCAAAATTTATTTCTGAAGACTTTGTCCAATGCAAACAAAGTAAAGTATGTAACTCTTTTCGAGAAAAATCTATATTCTTTAAATAGCTCAATTTCTTATTATCTTTCACGCAGCTATTTAGTAGATAAAACCCATTATCTTTATACAACCGGAAATGCTCGGTCTGTATTGAAGATGCTAATCTTATTTCCTGTCATGTATTCATCATTAGATAAGACAGAGATGCAAAAAACAAAATATTCTCCAAAATCTTATTTTCTATCGTATCGAAACTGATGATTCATAGTAGTTTGTCGTAATACGATCTTGATTATAACTCGAATTATGTGAGTTTTCTAATTTTTGGATGTATTCATTCATACATGATGATAGAGAGCAAAATAAAACCTATATGATTCAGGCTTACTTTAATGACTAATAAATTAGCTTAAATTTATTTGTAGAATAATTTTCTAGAACTTTTCTTTCGAAACAATTGAACTCGATGTGAACAATAAAATATCACATTTTTTGATCTTTATTTTAGTGTTCGTTTGAACGAAATGATGTAATTATTAACTATATAACTACATCACCGACATTCAATGAAAACTGTATGATAAAAACATTCCAAGTATTTTTCATACAAGTCAATTTATTTTTAGCCTTAATGCTTGCTTCATTTGAATGTGAACCACCAGCAACATCAAATGAACAGGAGAAATTAACTATGCTTCAGTAAGATAATGTGCAATGACATTCTTCATTCGATTGAAATGACTTCTTTTCTTTTTCTTTGATTTAGAACAACAGTCAACACATCAACATCAAAATCTGGAATTTAGTCGTTCTATTTAATAAATCAGATGATCTCTTTTTCTTGTTTCAAATTCCAATTCATCTTACTATATTTGCAATATTTCTGTCTCAATATTGTTTGACGAAAAAAAAGCGAATTTGCTCTTCGTGCTTCGTCTTCCATGTTTTTATTTGTTGGTTTTGTTTTCATGCATGTAGTCAAGAACAAAACAAGTGACTTCGTTTTTTTCTCGGGATCTTGTTTTTCTATTTATTTTTTTTGTATACTGTGAATTAGCTCAAGTGACAACACAAATTCACTTTTTTTTAGTATAAAGTATACATACATATACTTTTGCCTGTGCAAGTCTCGTTTCTTTTTCGTTCCTCATTTTTTCTTGTTATTGCTCCAATACTCGACATACTGCGTTATTCATTTTTGTAAGCAGGGTAGTATTACGTGTGTGTGTGTCTGTGTGCGTATATACCTAAAGTGAATTTGCGATTCCACCTCTTTTTTTCTTTAGTAAGCGCTATGCTCTCTATTTCTCTATTCAATAAAATGCATTCGAATCAAGGAACAATAGAAATGATTATTATTCGGTCTTGTCCGTTCTTTTTGAATACATGTCAACGTATGTATTGTACATTTGTCGCATTAAATTAAATGTTTAGGAATAATCATATGGTGGCCTTTTTATGTGTAATGTACTGTTGACGAAAATGATGACGACCTATTGTGTCGAAAGAACAAAATCGAACCACCTCTTTTTCTCATCATACATAGAACCACTAGAAAAAAATAATAATCGTTTGAACAATATAAATAAAGAGATAAGGGACACAGAGAGAGAGAGAGAGAGAGAGTCGTCAACAATAATATATATATATATACAGGAAAGATTAGGCATATGTATGCATATTTATATATATATATATATATATATATTCATACACCACCGCTGAAAAATAGTAGAAGACACCTAGTGTGATCGAAAAACGATGAAAGGTTCGTTTTTTTTTTCTTTGAGACTGTATTTGGTGATGTTTGTTGATGTTAATGTGCAACAAAGGCGATGGCAGCAGTGAAGTAAAAGAAAAGAAGCAGAAGAAAATGCAAGACATATTTCAATATGCTTCCTCACCTTTACAATTTGATTATGGTTTTCGCCTGCTGTGCTTTACTCTCTTATTTCATCGTTACTCTTTCATTTTCTTATAACAGTAGCATACGATCTTTTTCAACAGAGTATCCATATATATATATATATATATATTCTTAACATGAGCTAGAACAAATTTGTAAGCGCCCATTCTGATTATTCGCTTGATTTTGATCTTGTCAAATAGATGTGAGAATTTTATTTGATGCTTTTTCCTATCGAAATAGTTGTCGGGTTGCCTCTTTGGTATTCAATCTCTATGACTGTTTATTCTAATCTCATAAAGCTTGAATACCGAAGGATGACTCGAGCACAACGATGATGACGATTTAACATGCAAGCGATGTCATTTTTTACTTATTATAAATCTGGTTGAATACTTACTTTTTATTCCTCTTCCTCAATATATGGTTTAACAAAATATTAATGTGAATTTGTACTTTTGTTTTGCTTTTTTACGTTGTTTGTTATATACACGTAAACGAACATAACAAACATGTAGATGGCAATTTAATAGGAGACGAATTTTAGACACATACAAGCGAAGAGATGATTTGCTTTTTAGATAAATTTTTTTTTCTAATGATTTCCTGTGCTTCTTTATTATTTTCTCTCTGTCTCTCTCACACATAATGATGAGGCCTTTGGACTTAGAGATTGGTCAGGGCAAAATATTCTTTTAAACATAGATTTGTTGATCATGTCGATGACGATGATGATGATGATGATGATGATAATGATGATAATGATGATGATGATGATGATGATGATGGCGATGACAAGTGCTTGTACTTGTTGATCCTTTGTTGATCGGTGAACGATTCATTGTCAGACAATTTGGATGATGCTGATGACGGCACTAGCCAAGGGTTCATATTACTTGTAATAGGATTTGTTGCCGATGATGATTTTGTTAGTGGCAAAGAGAATAATAATGAATAAGACCGTAAATTGCGACAATAATCAAAATCTGGATGATACTTGCAAAGACGAGCTATTTCAGGATACCGCTAGAAAATAAATAGACAGAGCAAGAAAAATTAAAACCTCTAGAATGATAATTATAATGTATCTTACTCCTCGCAGAACTTGTTCTAATGTTCGATTGCAAAATTGGTCTGTATCAACTACAGTTTTTTCCGTCGTTGTCATACACAGTTGCATAATCAACTTTTGCTCAAGCTAAAATAAAAAATAATATGAATGCAGAATTCTTCTTTTTCTTTTGGTTTTTTTAAATAAATTTAATATATACATACATCAATGTGATTATCCATTTCTTGCCCTGTGTGATATGTTTTTCTGTCTTCATTAAGACTTCGTGCAAACCGACGATAAGTAAATCTCTATTATATATTTATATATTAATGATATTAATCGAGAAATGAATTACCTTAGCCCTAACGTTTTCATTATTAACCATATTTTGATTGATATTATTACAATAATTCATTCCGACACCGATTGTCTTACAATAATAGGTCAGAATTGGAAAATCCTATACGAAATAAAATGCAATGTGATCAGAAGCACAGGTACCAACATAAAACCTATGTTCTAACACATATTATCTGAGGGCTACTACTAACTACTACTACTCTTACCACTAATTTTAAAGTATATTTCCGCACGAACAAAAGGAATTCTGTAGTAAATACTTACACCCATAAGTGCCGACTGCAATGTTTGATCACACAGATTCTGGATAAGCATGTCAGTTTTGTCAGCTGAACACGTACTGACAATGAAACTGGTCAACTACACATAAACATAGATAGATATTTTACGTTTCTATCTGAGACATATTTCTATTTACATACATCAAATTCAGTTAGCTCACGTTTTGAGAGACGATACTAAGAAGATACAAAAAGAATAGTAAATTGAACTTTGTTTATAATGTTTTTACTTGATGTGTTGGTTGAAAGAAAAAGGCATTTATGATCAGTAAAATTAGAGTGATCATTGGAGATTTCATTGTGACTAGAAGATGTTGCCAACAAGTAAATAATAGTGATAATGATGACGACAATGAAGAGGAAATAAAAATGAAAAAGAATGAGGACAACCTGGAACAATAAATAAAGACAATATGAAATACTAATGCCAATTGTCTATGTTAAAAATAAAACAGGAGGGGTTCTTTGTTGTCAACTGATTTGGCGTGTTCAACTAACCAAGCATACGATGATCATTTGTCAACTAAATCTCTCCCTCTTTTCTTTCTCTTCTTCTCTTATTGTCAGTTACTAGTTAAAATTGATTAGGTTGTTGATGACTTTTGAAAGCAAGCTTGGATGATCATTATTGTCATCAAAAAAAGGAAAACTTACCAATCAGACAAATAGTGAGAATACTAAAATATATAGCAAGAAAAGAAGAAAATGAGAAATCGAAAAGATTTATATGAATGTGAAGTATATTGTATCTTGCTTCTTCTATCTATTATAGCATTGATCAGTTACATATATATATATATAAATATAGAGAGAGAGAGGGAAAGTCTTTTTCTCTAGTATTAATGTTCTTATTAATGTGAGAGGGTAAAAAATTAATCTTTTTATATATCTATATGATAGCGAGAGAGAAAAGAAGCAATATAGCACAGAGGAAAAGGGAATTGGAGAGAAAAATCTATACGCAACAGCGACTATCAGCAATAGATACATCTCTATTCAACGACGCGTTTATCTTTAATTGAGAAAATAAGGTAACGAATAATAGAACTTCAGGAAGCCCATTAATGGGAAAATTATCCTATTAGGCTAGTATGCCACACATATTGTTAAATCTGAGAGAAATAAGGAAAAAATGAGACAGACACATCTCTGTCACATATTGTTTCCTGTGTACGTTTTTCCCTCTCACATCTTCCTTTGTAATTCTTCCGAAAAAAAAGTATATTATTAGAAGACAAGCAATGAGTTCTTTGGATGTTAAATATACCAATGACTAATATAGATGAAAAGAAAAACTAACAATAAGATAATGGAGAGGTAACGATCAAACAATTACATGTTTAAAACTAATCAACATTCATACTCAAAATGTATTCTCGTATTCATATAAAAGTATATTTGTCTAAATGTGATAGGGATAGTATTAATAGGATTTTTAAAATACGGAAATATACATATAGGCGCTCTATTTTTTATGTTGATTAGTCTATACTCTTTGCTAAAAGAGTTGGTCTAACTCTTATTTGATGAAAACAACTTAATAAGCTATTCAAAAGTTGTTTCTTATATTCTACGCAGATGATTTGATTCTTGCCCGATTGAAAGAAAACAAACCTATTCAACATCGTTGAGCTTTTCTCCTTGTCGGAAAAAATGATCGAGAAACAATATTGTTAGTTTTTAATTGAAAACAATAAAAAATACAAAATATACTCTCTCCTGTATGCTTTCTATTTATAGTTTTGATCAACAATAATAATAATACGCTACTTTGATTTTGTATAAAAAGGAAACATGCTTTTTTTTACACGGCAAAACACAGCTATGATCTAGTTCAATTACTATATCGTTTTTTGTTATGATTCAAATGTAGAATAAAAACGTTGATTAGCTTTCATAAACCAATATTTCTTTATTATAGTTTGTTATATGATCTATCTCTTGTCTCAATATTTGTTGCTAGTTTGTTTTTCTACGATTGGATGTTAAGTGAAGTAGAAAGAGTTCAATTATTAATAAAAAATTATATTTTATAAAACGGTTGCATAGAAATAACGAGAACAGTTCAGGGTTTCATTAGAGCTCACTAGAGAAAATAGTAGTAGCGTTTAATCATTACTCAGTTCAATAGTATTCATTAATCAAGAAAGAAGGAATAATAGCCGTTGATTGTTCATCGAAGTAACTGATAACATTCTCAAAAGAATAGGAAAAATTAAAAATAAATAAAGAGAGTTTCATATAAAATTAAACCTTCACAACAATTGTCATGTGAATAGAATACGAAATAGAAGTCTAGGAGAAAATATTATCGATCCATAACAGAAAAATTCATGCTTCTATACGTGTTACCCTTACATTTATTCTCTTAGTGTGTACAGTAGCTATGGTGCTATTCATCGATATATTTGCTAACATGCTTTTCCAATTATATTCGTCGTGTCATTTCACATTAATAGATACTAGTTTCTACGCCACATAAGATTAGGATTAACGAAATTTTTTAATTCGGTTTATTAGAGTTCAGCATAAATAAAACTCTAACTTAGATAATGAACTAAAAATCAGGGATATACTTTTCCATAAGAAATAGATAAAAAGAAATGGTGTCTAAGTTCTGTTATCGAAATAGCAAGTTAGTTGAGTACGTGAGATTCTAGTAGTGTGAACGAATTCTACACTAATGGTCTGATTATTCTTGTCAGCATATTTGTGCGTGCCTCAAAAAATATTTCATCTTGCACGCCAGCTTATAATGCTTGACAAGTTGTTTTGAAGTAATTTTTGTCTATGAAATATGATCTTCGCAAATACAATAGAAGAAAAATATGTTTTTCTCATATATACAATTAAAAAAAGCAATGATCTTCTAGACTACATCAAAACTAAGTGATTTTCTAAAAAATAGATTGTTTTTTGTTAATACTAACATGTTTTCAAATAGACAAGAAAATATATTATAATTGTTATTTTCCACGATACATAACTGACATACAAGTTAGCTATCTTAAATTATAGATCCTATTCTGTTTTGCTCCAGGTAAAATAATTTCCCGCTTTTATGACTTCTTAAGAAGCGGAAATCTCAATTGCAGAATTTTGAACGCGTATGTAAATAGCTTCTGTTTCACTAACAGTATACTTTGTAATTTTTATAATATGAAATATCATCGGAAATTAAGATTTTAATTAAATGATAGGATAATTACTATTTTATTTTAGAATAATTATTATGACTAAATGAAATCAGCAGTGATCGACTAAAGAATCTACAAATAGTTAAATGAATCGTTTGATTGAACAGAAAAAAACCTATTTAAAAAATTCAACTATTGATCTACTGTTTATCTTTCCAAGGGAAACACTGATTCTAAGTAGTACATCGAATATTAATGGCATAATTACTTAAATATTTAATCGTATTAGAAATCTCATTTTGTAGTCAAGCTTACGCAATAAGGCATTGAAACAAGTAGAAAATTGATTTATCAAATATAATGATACTAATCTATATCGTCATGTGCAACTAGTGAAACAAAACAACTGTCTATAAAAGTAGCAAGCTTTTTCAAGTGCTTTTGTATTATATAAAAAAATCAAGAACTTCATACTTTGGTTAATAATATCTCACTAGCAAAAAACTAAAATGATCTTATCGTTGTAGAATTTTTTTTGTTTTGGATGTATATATCTAAGTAAAAGATAATGTCTTAAGTTCGCTCTTAAAAAACAAATATTATTCATGTATTAATACTACCCGATAGAAACAAAGATTCCTATGAGAACGTTCTATTTCTAATATTAATCAAGTGAAGCGGATGAATTTAATAGTGTCGATCGAGAAATGTTCGATGATACACCCCACTGTGACATAGAAAAAAGTTATTAATCAATACATTCATCATAATAAGAAGACAATGTCTAAAGGAATATATGAAGAAGAAGAAGAAGCGAAAGCTGGCTTCGCAGCAGTACTATATATCCTCTTTTTCCTATAATTATAAAATTGATCCTATAATATACTATATTTTGAGCTTTTCCCTATATTCCTATTTTTTTCAAAAAATTCAAGATCCTTCCCAAAAAATTCCAAAAATTCTTGATAAGCGTTCAACACGCCATTTAAATATTATCACCGATGTTCATAACAAGTTGATATTAACGATCAATTGTCGGTGACAATTTATATGAAGCTTATTTCCTATTGGGTCATCTAGATCATATTTATAGTACACTCTTTGCCTTAATTGTCTTTGCCTTATCAAAGATTATCTCATAATAGACATGTTCCCCTACATTTGTTAACAATTACATTCTACATTTGTCGATACTATTCTTATCTGGTTCTTGATTTCATCTTTTATTTAAAAATAAAAATTTTGAAGTTGATTTTACTGATTTTGCTCATATTTATATATTGATGCCACAATATACGAAGTTTCGTCCTCGCTGGTTGACCAAAACAGACTCTGAAGGCCGTAATGCGAATAAATGGTTAAAACAAGGCGAGAAAATATCAACGTTTAAATGTACTTTATGCAACACATCTGATCTTGATTGTAGCAATCAAGATTAGGCTGCCATTGTATAACATATGAAAACCAAAGCTCATTGAGGTTTGAGTGGATGTGGGTGTGAGGGGTGTTGATGTGAATGTGTGAGTATTTTTGTTCAGATACCCACACCCACAGAATAGCTGTCAAATTCAAGTTCGAATATAAATGGAGAAAAGAAAAAGTTAAACCAAAACTAAATCTAAGAATAGATTTAGTTTTAGATTAACTTTCTGATATATGCGACATATGAATACATATATACCCCTACACCCACACCCAGTTTTTTCGGTGTCTCAATCTTTTCCTTGAACAAATTTGGGTCCTATATTTCTCCTATATAGTTGAGGACGATCGTATTTATTTTAGATCTGTCCTATATAGAAATTCCTATATTTTTTTGGGAGAGCTGCTGCAATATCAGAGCGAATGTCTTTAGACACATAATATTCCTCAGTCATTTATATTTTCTTTTAATTCTACGAAACTTAGCAATTGTAACAAGATTAAAATTTCACCTATTCTACTATAAACTAATAGACAATGCATTGACATGTAAATTTGTTTAATGATAGACTGATTAGCTAGTAGTCTGAATCTAAAGTAATCATCCAGATAAAACAAAAAACAACAACGTGAAAGAACTACACCGGTTTTAATGTGAACAATGTAATATCTCAATATTAGTTTGTTTTTAAGCTACTCTTCCCTGCTAAAATAAAACAGTTTTTGCTGCGACAAAATTCATGCAGCATGGTAAGTTCACGATGTACTACGGTTCTATTTGAAAAATTGTGATAAAATTTCAATACGGTGTCATGCTGTTATCGTGAGAAACTCTACTAAATATGATCACTGATAGTTCATTTATTAATCTAGACAGCGGTGACACGACAATTGAGCGCAATGACACTTGAGCACTTATTAAACAAGTGATTAAAGAATACAAGAAAATACTTTTATTTAAATAATCAGATTCACATAAAAAATTGAAGAGAGCTCTTGGTCATTTAAAAAACACGTCTCTTGTTATTAAATCAACAGAAGAAACAAGCTGTTGTAATTGTGGGTGTGGGTGGGCGTGGGTGGTGTTGTGTTGTGCTGTTATTCTTATCTCTTACGCCTACACCTGTTTTTACAGCACCGCCAGAGGGTTTGAGATTTCTTGTCACGTCTGTAGCAAAAGGCAACGAAAAACGTTTATCCTTATTTTTTGAGGATTTAACAATTGACATTATATAATTATAATAACCTAATGTGATATACCACGAATAAATGTATAAAGATAGAAGAATGTAGTTAAAAGAAGTTATTCACTTTCTTACGGATTACTATGGGGACATTTAATAGCATCCTATGTAATAAAAACCGCATGAAAATCGGCGGTTAACCGCGGTTTTACCGGTCCGATTACCGGCTCTCATTACCGCAGAACGGATNAGCCAAGATTCGGCGGTACAATTTAACAGAGTCCAATCTTTTTTATTCGTTTTGCCATTTACTGTTACGAGAAATGATGTTACCAACAAGTGAAGAACAGCCTCCCAGGTCGTTCATTCCTTCAACTGGATCCAATCGGATCTGAAAACGGTTTACCTCGGATCTTATATGAAAACCCACTAGAATCGACGGATTCTGGGTTTCAGACCGAGATTCGGGTCCATAGGATCGGAATCCGATACACCAAAAACGTCTGCTATAGTCAACCCTTAAAAAGCTTTTTTTTGAAGTAAATAGAATTTTAATAATTTTTTAAAATTCTCCCGTTGGATCCGTGAATACTTCCGAAGCCCAGAATCTAATTGAATTTCCTCGGTTAGTAGGATGTTATAGGATCCGGTAGAATTCGTCGCCGGATTAGTCGACCTGGGGTGTGGTTGTTGATTTGTTCGTAAGATCATTTCTCGTGACAGTAAACGGCAAAACGAATAAAAAAGATTGGACTCTGTTAAATTGTACCGCCGAATCTTGGCTTTGTTTTGAAACCAGCCAGAGCCTGGTAGCCTTTGAAATAGTAGAGAAATTTGGATATACGAAAATCCGACAGTTGCCACTGGATCTCAAGCTAGACTCAGTATTAAGGACTGAAACGTTTACAGTAGGGTATCCAGAACCTGACACATCTTCTGTGAAAATTTCATCGATATTGGACGATAAAAATTATCAAAATTATTAAAGGAAAAATAATATGCTTTAGGATGGGAGGAGGAGGGGCTTAATACTTAGTTTTTAACGGGAGAACAGGCATGAAAAGTGTAGTCTCCCGAAAATTGCCGTTTTAATTACCACTATAGTTTTCGTTTCAAATTATATGAACCAAGCTTAACATCGAGAAACTAGATGGTATTCGGGTTTCACTCGATTACGAAACGCGGTGCGAAGCACGATATACGAGTTACGAAAGAATACGACTCATAAAATAAATGAGAGGAATTTCAGTTATTATTTATAGTTACTTCCTTCTCTCCTAAGAGATACATAGCCCTTCCAAAACAATGCGTTTTTTTCGTATATTATGATGTGAAAAATTGATAGTGTGATCGATCATATTTTCATGTTTAACTATAACGAATAAAATCGTTAGTGGTCCCCTACAGACTTCTGATAATTAATCGAAAAGATGTCAGCAATTGTACAGTCGACGCGTATTATTAGTGCTAGCGATAATTAATCGCTGCTAGGATCAGTGACAAGTCTCAGCGTGCTCGGGTCGACGTAATGAAAATGAAATCCACAGATTATCAGTAATATCCGGATTTTACTTTGGGCGAACGAAAAATCATAGAGCAAATTGGACAAAATTTGGTAACTATTTCGGCCCTCAACGATTCTAATGACGTTTCAACCAATATCAGGCGATATGTGGTTCCTGAGATCATCGCGACACAAAACGACGACTTGTGATGCGTACGTCAAGTGAGTGAAAAATAAAACTAGATGGTATTCAAGTTTTACTCGAATACGAAATGTGCTGCGAAGCTCGAATCAGATCTTCACGAAAAATCTACAATTCAGAGAAATCTTGAATAGTCTTTATGGCGACATGATGAAATTCATTACTGAGGAAACTCTATTATTACTTAGCGATGCATTCTTAAGGATCGATTTCGATTGATCGATTAATTATCTCCATGATTCATTGTCTTAAATCAGCTGTAAATGAATAGACTATAGTTGCTAACATATGTTGATGACGTCACTTTAATTATCTCTTCATAAATTTCTTTCATTTTCGTCATTTTGGAACCGCATTTGTGAGTAAACAAAACGTCCGATGAAAAATTAGAAAAATATTTCTCAAGTTCGATCTCGATACTTCGATCTCACGTTTCAACGAGTTTTCTACGATTTATGGTTCTTGAGATCATCGCGACACAAAACGTCGACTTTTGATGCGTACGTCAAGTAAGTAAAAAATAATAAAAATAAAAATATATTAAAAAACTCGCGACGGACTACATAAATGCTTCTGCTTCGCATCACATTAAAAAAACTCGCGGCGGACTACATAAATGCTTCTGCTTTGCATCGCATTAATTAAAAACTCGCGACGGACTACATCAATGCTTCTGCTTCGCATCGCATTAAAAATAAAAAAAACTCGCGACGGACTACATAAATGCTTCTGCTTCGCATCGCTTTAAAAAAATTTTCGCCAAGCATCGCTATACAGTGCTTCGCATCGTAAAAAGAATACCATGGCCTGCATCTTGAGATGTTCTTTCAACAAGAAACTAGATAGTATTCGAGTTTCACTCGTATACAAAATGCGGTGCGAAGCAAGAATCCCGATTTTCTACAAAAAATCTACAATTCAGCGAAATCTTGAATAATGTTTATGTAGCCATAATGTAATTCATCACTCTAAAAACTCTATTCTTACTTAGCGATACATTCTTAAAGACCGATTTCGATTGATCGATTAATTATCTACATGATTCATTATTTTAGATCAGTTGTAAATGAATAGACTATAGCGACTAACAACTGTTAATGACGCCATTTTAATTATCTCGAAACAAATTTCCTTCATTTTCATCGTTTTGGAACGTTATTTGTGAGTGAATAGAATATCTGATTAAAGAATGGAAAAATATATCAGATGTTCGATCTCGATACTTTCATCGCCCGTTTCAATGAGTTTTCTATGATTTTCGGTAGTCGAGATCATCGGGTCAAAAATGACGAAAAAGATGCGTGCGTCGAGAAAGCAAAAGAAAACAAGCGACGGACTACATAAATGCGATGCGAAGCATAGCATCGAAAAGGTCATAAACTACAATGGAACTCCTTTGAGATTTCGATGATCTCCCATCACAAAAGAGTGGGTCGAGAAGAAAAGCGAGCAAGATTTTCCAAGCCTAAGACAGACTAAGAAATAAAGTTTCATATTAGCTATAGAAGACAAAACCTCGGGCTATCTTTCCGAATATATATCTCGATTTATACATATATATATATATTTTTTTTTTGAGAAAGATTAACTTTTTTTTGAAGCAGCACAAAATATATCTTGACTATACAACAATTTCATTTTTGTTTTATTTCTTTCGATAGTAAATCAATAAAATTTTGACTAATACTAATACATAGTATTCATTATTATCTATTGTTTGAGAGATCAATTGAATGAAAAGAAGATTGACATTAAAAGAAGTAAACACAAAAACGGCAAGGAGTTTCTTCATTAAGTAGGTGGGAAATACTTAATGGTATTCTTACACGTGGACACTGAATGTGTGTACTTGATTTGTATCTACTAAGTTATTTACGTTGAAGAACTTACCTACTGGTTCCGAAAAACAATAATTGTAACTAATAAAGATAAAAATATCCTTTAATTAAATAGAAACAAAAAAGAGAATTTCAAAGCAATTTGTACTATTTTTATTTAGATGATTACGTGGGCAACCGTTATCATAAAAATAGTCTCTTGCTTCATTAATTTAGAAGAATTTTTTCAAAATCATCACGTTTATATTTTTCAAGCACGTACATTTTCAACAGGAATACCGAATCGAGGAGACTCAAGTACAACAATCTTTTAATGTGATATTTTTCATTGCGTTCAAGAATCCTACGTAAATATTAAATTGCAGGAATCACGATCAATAGTGCACATTTTCTACAAATAGAATTGAAACAAAATGCTCAACAAAGAGTTTTTCAATGGAGTGGAACATAATTAAGATAGAGTCAGAGTGAAACAGTAGCTCTGAATAGGAGATTCAAATGTTTATATTTAGACAGTCTCTTATTTATGGTGCAAGTGGTTTTCTTTTTGTTTTCGTTTATTTCTGAAAATTGAAAGGAATCTAATAGAATTTAAATTATATAATTTTCTTTTAATGTTAACAGATGGATGTGTATGATAAGATACTTAGGCGTTCTTCTTCAAAACATAACCAGTGTTCAGCGGCGGCGAAGCGTCATTAAGCTAGGTGAGGCTCATAAATTTTTTTTCTACCGTGAAATGTTATGAAAGCATCAAGCAGAAAATAAGTCTTCTTTTTATTAAACTTTAGTAAAAATAAAAATGGCCAGTATAAAAAAGAAGATTGAAAAATACCCAAAAAAGATTTTTCTTTGCTCCTGCTTTGATGCTAGAATAAAGAATAACAATATTTAGCACAAAAGCAAGTGAGGTTGAGCCTTGTCTTGTGAAATCTAGGTGAGGCTCAAGTCTCATGGGTCTCAGTAGCTCCGCCGACACTGGCAGTGTTCCAAATTTCAGGCACGGTATTCTAGATATGAGTGTGGCAGTTTAATCAGAAATTTTGCATTCAGTTGAAAATACAATACTTAATAAAGTTTAATAAATTTAAGTTTTTGTTTTCTAGTTAGAAAATCATTTTTATATTCACATAGACATTTTGACGATTGGTACACTGAGCTTCGTGTTGTGATTGTTTTTTAGTAAATAAAATACCCCTTGTATCTATAGATTAAGACAAAAAAAAAGTAACCTTTCCGTCTCCTGTTTGATTTCATTTACAGTTTTTAGCACTGCTAACGGTCAAAAACCATACGCAATTAAAAATACGATAAATATTAGTTGAATAATAATCATATTTTAAGACGATTAAAAAGAAAAAATAATTATATTACAAAGATTTTTGTATTGGAATATTGAAAGACGACTATAGAATTACTAAGAAAAAGGTTAACATCATAAGTATTAGAAAACTACTTTTGTATAGATTTAATTAAATACCTAAACGATATATGCAAAATAGCATATAGTTCAAAAACAAGTAAAAAGTGAGATATATAGAAAATATTTTCTATTCGTCATGACCAATTAACAAAACTGAGCGCTGACTTTCGTTATTCTACAAGCCACTGGTATGAACAAGTTGCAATGAATACGCTCCATATAGTTGCTGTCAATGCGGCAGAAGAATTGACTCTCGATATCGTCTATTACTAACTTATGTATGTGCGTGAACAGTATCCTTGCAATCATCATTGTACATATAGTTTCCAAAAAAACAGATTTTTTAAAAAATTAAAATTTTTCTTAGTTTTTCATTTTGTTCAAAAATATTTTCCCCAAATTTTAGATAAGTATACTAATTTGTGGAATATCACGTATTTACTGAAAATAATAAAATCTTTCAACAATTAAAATTAATTTAAAAAACAGTTTGATTTTATCAACTCTGCTTTCTTAAAAATAGAATCTATACAAAGTTCACAATGTTTATATTCAAGTTATTAAAGAAAACAAACAATATTTAAATTAGCATTTTAATGCCATATATTTTAGAGATCATTTTTCGAAGCCAGACTTTCTCGACGAGATCTTTGTTCAGTATACAATTGTCTTCTGTTTTCGTCATTTAAAATTTTGATTTTTTTTATCCTTCAGTCTATTAAATGCATGTGTTCTTAACACTACTAATGATGGATTTCGCAATAAAATTAATATTAAATATAATTTTTTGATTGCTGTCGATGAATAATCTTTGCCTAGTTCTTCATTAGCTCTTGTTGATATTATCATGTGTTTCACTGAATGTTGTTTAATTTTGATACACCCATATAAACTACTTGAAAACGTTAACATTATTGGGTTTCGGTGTGCTGCTTCCATGTGAATAGAATCGCAATAAGCTTGAAATCCTGCATCGAATGTTTCAACTTTTCTACCCATAGGTGAATAATCAAGACGAGACATATGTAAAATTCCACCAATAATACTTATAATAATACTCACTATTGATGATATGAGAACAAGGAATACATCAAGAAAAAAATTGAAGTATAAAAATATCATTAATATTCGTCGATTATCTATTGCTAATATATTTTCATAATCTTGTAAAAATACAAATCTTGCTAAAATTTTATCAATATACTGTTTAAAAAATATTAATAATAATAATAATAATAATAATACTGGTATTATCAGTTTTAGAACTTTTTCAATCAGTCTTACACTACCATACGTGATAGATGAATCAATAGCCATATAAATAATCCATGTAAATAGAGCAATTAAAACATAACCCCATATAAGATAGGCAATGAAAAAGGCTGCAAAATGAAAATTACTTATTCCATAATCAATATATTTTTCTTTATTTCTTTTTGAAATTTCTGAATTATCACCGGAAAATATTTGCTAATAAAACGAGTATTTGAATCACTGCTATGACACATGCTGTTAATATAGCAATAACAAATGAACGAATTAGATTTGGAAAGAGAACTTCAGATTGTTTAGACCCATCTTGGCCGACTGATGATACGGCATCAATCAATGCTTGAAGGGTAGTTTGTAATCCATCTAGAAGTGACACTATAAGTATACACGATTGAACTGTCATGAAAAATAAAAGAAGAAATTTTCAACAGAATAAGGATATGATGAATGTAAAAGAATTTTTCCTTCTCGTGTAACATTAAAATGTTGGGATTGATTTTGATTTTCGTGTTAATTTTATTTACTAACAACATTGGTAATTTTATAACTACATATGACCAACATATATACTGAGGAATATCCGTTAATAGTTGTATAATTATTAAATTTTGACCTATACCATAATATTGAAATAACCGTTTCATGTATGTTCCATTGGCTGCATTAAAATCATTATCTGATGGATAAAAGTCACTTTGACATAAACTGTGATTAACTATTGTAAAACTAAAGTCGAATCAAGCATAAAATGTAGCACAGGCAAGCGACAAAATTGAATCCATATAAATAGCAGACAATATAGAATAATACCGAACGCCAATAACAAATACTTCTACTGTTTGTAATAAATAAGCCACAATGACTCCTACAGAAAGTTTGAGATTGTATTAAAATATCGGAAAGGTTTTTAAAAATGCATGCAAACCATCTACTTTTACTGAAGTTTCATTGATAACTTGATTTACAATACGTAAACGTTCATCAGCAATGATTGCAAATATAACAGCAGTAAATTTTCGTTTTACATGAATGAAAATGTTCACTGGTACAACAGCTGCAACATATCCATTTAACTTATTTTTCATCGATGAAGTTCTTTTTGAGAAAATAATGAAAATCAATAAAAAAAAATAACATGCTACTGAAAATCTTAAGATATTAAAATCTTGCAAATCAAGTAAATTACATATTGAATTTCTTTTGTAAAATATTAAATCTTCTCGTCTACATTTATCAATCAGTCCATTATGAATTGGCTGTACAAGTAACCATTTTGTAATTAAGCCTAATACTGTTCTTATTATCATTAGAATAGCAATGAAAAAAAGAAGAAAAGCGAGTTGATTTTTTAACATTAGTTAGTGCCAGTTGTGCCCATCTTGGCCTTGATATATCATTTTTATTGACTCTAAAAGCAGAAAATAACGAAGAAACTTTCAGTTCTTTTGTACAAAATAAAAAATTGAAAGTCCATAGAAAAATACGGTTAGCAAACCTAATAAAATATCAAGTGTTATCACTTGGATCCCACTGCTAGACTATAGAAGCAAAAGAAGAAAGAACTTTTAGACATTAACATTACAAGTATCATTTACATAAGTTAAAATTCTATTAAGAACCTTTACTTTAAACTCATTTTCATCAAAAAAAAATATAGTGGGAGAAAAATGAAGGGGTACAGTTCAAGATAGATAAAATAAGATGTATTACATAACATCACTTGTCTTTACTAATGAGTTCATGAAGTAGAATAAAGTAGCTGTCATTTCTTAACTTAAAATTTTTTAAATCAGCGCAAATAAAGACAACAAGTTCGCATTGCATAGAGCTCTTATAAGCACATTGTATACAAGCATATTCTTTTAATCACAATATCAATATACATATTTCTTAGTATTCTCCGAATTGATCCATTATCTAAAAATTTCTAGGAAATCAAATCTTTATTTTTAATATGAGGATATTTTTGTTTCCTGGGGTACTAAGATCCTTGTCCAGCCTTTATTTTTTTTTTGGTGAAAGTCTAGTGAATTGCTTTCCTCTTTTTAATGAAAGATATAAAGTGTAGTATGAATTTTTTCGCAATTTAAACTAAAAATGTTTCCTGAATACTAGTATAATCTCCTTTTTTGATTTACCGTAGAACTGCCGGCTTATTATTAGTGTTTAGTTAACTAATGCGATTTTCAATATAAAAGCATAAGCTTTCTATTAACAATAATGCTCAACCGATACTCCTAAATTGATCCGAACGTCTAAGTATAGCTTTCGATATTTCATACATCACATGAATCTATTCTTAAGAAAGACTAGATTAATGAAGAAGAGAATTCATCCTTATTCGCCCTATTGATTTACGTGTGTTACAAAGAATTCCGGTCCACCAAAATTTGCATGCACATTTCCATTGACGATCACTATCATTTTGACAATAACCATATTGGCCGCATGGGTTATAAGTTGAACAATCTAAGTATTTAACATTTATTTCAACTTAGACATCTATTCGTATTTCAAATACTTACTGTCATCTCGAATTGCTATTGTCGATACCAGTACAAGAAGCGTGATCGAGTCAATCATCTTATTCATTGTCTAACCTTCTTTGAGAAATAATTTTAATAATGAACGCACTAGCAATAGTTGCTTTCTTATTAAAAAAAATAACTTATTTTTCATTAAAAGGTTCTGCTTCAAAATTTGTTTAGGTTATTTTCTGTCAGCCCACTATCGAGGGGAAATGTAACTTTTTCATTGAATTATTTCTTGTTTTCATTAAAAAGATTTCGTTTACTCCTACTATTGAAATAAGTTATAATTTTATAAAATGTCGATCTAAATAAATTTTAGACAGATTTAAGTCTAGTCGATGAAGTCATTTTTGGTAGAAAATAATATAAATTCATTTTTCATCTATACAAAAATGTAGCAAATTTTAGTATTGAAGACTAATTTTCAACTCGTCTTCGAGTGAATTTTATTCAATGTTTTTTTTTTCGTATGAGGAAACGGTATAGTAGTCAACAATCTAATCCAGTTTTAATCATAAATAATATAACTTAATAATGCAGGGTGTCCCAAAAGTCCGGACGAAAAAGAAAATTCAATATCTCCCTTGCCCTTTCATCAAATAAGCTTATTTTTGTTTTTCATAAGAAAACCTTTAACAGATACTTCTTTGAACTATCACTTTTAACTTCAATATCGAAATGTATCCATTTTCGATTTTTCAAAAAATGCAAGTCCCTCAGATCATTCATTGCTAGAAGACCACTCGACTATAACGCCCTGCAAAAGGTTCATGCTCTTGTGCAGTTTTGGCAATGATAAGGAATTTTTAGTGGATTATCTCCTCGATGATCCCAACTTTTCGAAGAAAAATTATAGTTTCGAATTTTTTCGTGAAACTGTGGCCAAAGCGAGGTCTCACTCAAACTAGCTTCTGTACAGAATTTCAGAATTTTTGGATATAGTCTTTCCGAGATATGAAATTTTCAAAGTTTAGGCGCTTTTCCATCGATATTGTGCAAAATTTTCAAAATTCATACCTCGGAAAGACTACATCCTAAATATTTGAAATTTTGTACAGAATTTAGTCTGAGTGAGACCTTGATTTTACCAAAGTTTCAGGTCAAAATTAATGATTTCAGGAAATTTCCTTCCAAAGTTCTTTTTTTAGAAATCGAAAATGGATACATTTCGATATTGACGTCAAAAGTGATGGTTCAAAGAAGTATCTGTTAAAGGTTTTCTTATGAAAAACAAAAATAAGCTTATTTGATGAAAGGGCAAAGGAGATATTGAATTTTCTTTTTCGTACGGACTTTTGGAACATCCTGTATAGATTGATAGAATGACTCAGGTTTTATCCAAACATATGAAAATTAGAAATACTTGAAGTTTTCTAGAAGTAGAGTAAACGAAGCAAAACCATGAAAAGTAACATAAATGTATTGTAGATTTATTATTGCAATAACACCTTACGAATGAACAAAACTAATTGTAAATTTTGATCAATCGACACATTTTCAACCAAAAATAGTGACTAAGTTTTTAACTCGAAATTTTGTAACTTATTTCTATCATTACAAAAACATAGCAATTAGTTTTGTGACTGTTAAATCTTTTAGCTTACATGAAATATATGAGTTTCACATATCAACTGGTATTGTGCTATAGAAAAGACATTTTGTTATTTCGTTTAAATATTTTCTGCTTATATGAATCAAATATATATGCATATAAATAGAAAAGCGTTTTTAGTAGAACATATTTCATGAAATATTTCTTTATGTATTTTTATATTTAATATGACTATTTAAAAGCGTCCCTTTTAGAAAATCGAACCTTTCAAGAAAATATTAAGTTTAATTATTATTATGATAGGAAGATACAATGATGCTTCTTTTTTCAAAAATGTACTTTGGACAAGTCAAAAGTTCTGGTTAAGATATTTAATGGTTATTGTCGATGAGATAGCCTATTCAGAAATGAAAAATACAATCTATTATGTTCTATAGCTTTTTCTAGCACTTCGAATAGTATGTAGAAAATCCTTTTCTTTTATAAGATTTTGAAGGAACTAGCGTCAATTTACTGATAGATAACTGTATATTCCCAGTCCACAAAATGAATGAAGATGCAATGCATATGCAGTTGAAGTCCGCAAAAAAAGTCTACGAAATCGTATATCAAAAAAATTATTTTATAAACACCTGTAACTCAGTAATATCAAGCATGACACTATTTTATAATTGGTCGTGGCTAGATGCGAGTGTGTAGTCCTTTATCATTAAATTGGCTCGAATTCCTTCGAAATCTTACGAAAACAGGATTTGCTGTATATCATTTAGTGCATCTGAATAATGTTCTGTATATTTTTCAAGTTCTGTAATAAATAGATCATTCATTGATTAATGATGGAATGAAATAAATTTTTATCAACTTAATGTGAAATTATAGAAATAACGATAAACTTAATAGAATATTGTTTTTTTAAATTATCAGTATATAAAACACTTGATATAATTCATGTGTAACATGAAAGATATAGAAATGTAATTAAAAAAATTTTATTATTAAGATGCTAGTAAAATATCTTGAATAGTTTCAATAAAGATTTAGTGATACTTTGATTTGAATCATTTTATGATTATGGAATCATTCTTTCTTTGTTTTATTAACATTTATAAAGAAAATTTTGAATACGTTTGAATTCACAGAACAACATATTTTGTTTGAGATGTAACAAAGAACAAGAAAAAGTGCAATAGGATCAATCAAGTTTTAAGTCTGATCGACCTATATAACAGATGTTACATAGATAGACTTATGCAAGATTTTTATAGTAAGAAATTTTCTCTATTAAATAATATAGAACTTTAAAAGATTCTGATAATTCAACATAAATAAGCTGATCAAATATTTTCTTAGTAAATTCTGTAGAAAAGGGAAACTTATCAGCGTTTATTGAAGATATGTTCAGTTAGATGTATTCGTTTCTTATTTTTCTATTTTCATTTGAAATTATAACATAGAAGAATCAAAGTTCTTGAAAATGACTCTGTTAAAAGATATTCGATTTTTTCATGAATTCCTTTTTAAAAATCCTAAATAATTATATGACATGAAAAGAAAAAAAAGAAATTTTTCGTTTCATTTTTTTTTATCTAGTGGCGTTGTTATCTGGTGTTCGCAATGCAAAAAAATAGGAATTTTTCAGATAAAATTTTCGATCGTATGAAAAAACAGTTTCCTGATGTGGAGAATTCGTTGGTACTTGCTTCAATCCTTCTTGCTAATGTTTATGCAGCATCAGGTGATAATGAAAAAGCATCAGGTATTAAAGATCATTTATATCGATCAGGTGCACAGAGGAAAATCGGTATAACAGTGACTGAACTCAATGGAAATTTGCTAGTAAGTCTGAATATAGTGTTCAAATGAAAATATTCGAAATAATTTTGTTTGATTATTTTAGCAATTTTGTGCTCATGGTCAATCTCATCCTCGATCAGTTGATATATATGCTGAAATTAATCGAATATCAAAGGAATTAATTGAACATGGTCATGAGTACGATGTAAGTTCGATTGTACGATCAATTAGACCCGATGAAACAATTGAATCGATTCTATGCGGACATAGCGAACGATTCGCATCTTCTTACCAAACTCCTGCTCACTGGCATATAGCCAAAATGATTTTACTCACGAAGACCAAGGGCGGAATCGTAACACTTAATGAAACAAGACCCATTTCATTACTACCGTGTTTCTCAAAAATCTATGAAAAATGTTTCCTAGTCCACTTAAGAAAGTAGGTGGACGATCAAGGAATTTTTCCCGAAGAACAGAGCGGGTTTTGTCCAGGACATAACATGGCCGTTCGTCTTGTCTCAATGATCGATCAAATAGGTCAAAGCCTATCAAAAAGTACGGCGGCGGCAGCTTTATTCGTAGATTTCAAGTCAGCTTTTAACCAACTATGGTACTTCGGACTTTGGATCAAACTAAGACGCCTCGAATGTCCATCTCACATAATTGCTTGGCTCCGT